AAAGGTACTTAATAAAGCTAAATGAAATAAAAGAATCAGTATTAGATTTATCTACTTTACTGACTAAAAGAATCCCTAGATTTGTAGTTTATAAATTTTTAAAGCTATTCGCATACGCTTATTAGAATACGAACCTACTTTTTAAATAATAAAGTTAAAGAATTAGGATTAGAATTCGGTTTAGTATAATTATAAGAAGCTTAATCGGATTTAAAAGGAGAATTTAATAGTTTGGTAATATTAAAAACTAATTTATAATACTTTGTATACTAAGTAATAGCATCCTTTAGGAATATTAAAAGATAAAGAGATAATTAAAGTCTATACCGAAGATAAATAGTTTAAAAGAACGTTAAAAACCTAATATAAGAAAATAGAAAGAGATTCGATACTTTAAAAATTAATTTAGCCTAAAAATTACTAAATTAATATAGATCAAAAAAATAATAAACGATAAGGTTTTACAAGAAAAAGGATTTAATATAGATATTAAATTATTATTAAATTTTATAATATCGTCGATTTTCCAAAATTCTTTTCTAAGTCCAATTTATTAAAATAACTATTTATAGTAATACCTTTATAATTTGAAACGCTTAAATAACGGAAATTGATCGAAAATATATTATTACCGATTAATAATAGGTTTATAAAAACCAACCCTATAAATTTAATTACTAAAAATTCTTACTTATCTTCTAAAAGCAATTATTCTAAAGATAATTAATACGGAAGCTAATCGAAGGGTTCTATACCAATTTTAACGGAATAAAGATTATAATGCAATTTGAAATTAGTATTATTATTAATTAAATTTTACGCCCGAATATTTCATCTTCTCTAAACCTTTAATTATTAGGAAAGAGAAGCGTATCGGTTTAAATTAAGAGAGAGATAACTAATTAATTAGAAAGGGAAAGATAAACGATACCTAATAATTATAATCTATTAAGCAATTATAAGGATATTTATATTGGGACTCCCTTTACCCAAATACAGTTGCTACCTATATTCCCGTTTAAAATTTTATAATTTTAAATATTTAATTCTTAGCAATTTTTAAATATTCCTAGAAGTATTAGCGAACTTAAGAGTTTAAAATTAGGATCTCCTATAAGTATTATTTAAAAAACGCTATAGCCGTTCGAAAATTTTAATTGAATATTAATTTCGCTAATAACTAAAAGAACGAACAATCTAATTATTTAATAGAAGAATAATTAAAGGAAATAAATACTCATATTTAATTAAGGATATTAAAGATTATTGCCTACTAGCAGATTTAAATATTTTTATTCTATACGGCAAACTCCTATTTAAACTTCTATTTAAAACCTTACTCCTAATCCTTCGGTCGAAATATAAATCCAGTTTAACAACTATATTTTCTAAATAAATTCGCTCATTTATTTTATTCAGCGCAGAGAAAGTAATCTTAATAGTTTATTAAAGTACAATCTAATACGTCCTAAAACGTAGAATACGGATTTCGAAAAACAATATAATTTAAATATAAAGTCGCCCTTAGAGAATACTAATTATATACTTAGAATATTTTAGTAGGAATGGCTAATAAGATTGGATCGATAGAAAACGCCCAAAACCTACTGAAGAGAAAAAGAATTTTAAAAGAAAAAAGTAATATTATAAGGGGAAATAATGGTAATAATAGTAATGTAGGAAATTAATTACATATATTAGATAAGTACAAATTTATTCGGAAGACCTTCTATAAATTCAAAGGGAAAATTCAATTTAGGGTAATATACTTTATAATATCTACGCTAATTCTTTTCACAATTTTTTTATAATATATTTTATTCAAAAGTATAATTACAAAATTAAAAGGAATTAACTAACTAATATTAATCAGGGATTATAAAAACATTAGGAGATTGATAGAGCTAATCATATAGATTATTTTGATGGCTAATCACTTATCTATAATTAATAAATAGAATTAAATAAACTATCGATAAAAAAAGAAAATTAATAGAAGAAGAATGGAAGGATAGGAGGATAATTAAAAGGAAAGGGGATTAATACAAAGAAAAGGATTATAAAGAAAGATAATAATAAGGAAGCAACAATATTCTTTTCAAATATACTCTAATATATTTTAATTAAATATTTTAAATCGTCTTTCGTTATTTCTTTACGTAAGACATCTAATCAATTATTTTATTAATAATTAAACGTTTTCCTAATCTTTTGCTTTTATATTAATGAGAAGGTTACCTTTATTTATTAATTATCGAATAATAAGCTTTATATTTATTTATTCTTTGGATTTTGAAACTATTTACGACCTATTTGTTTACTCTCTTTAACCCTCCTCTCTCTCAACTTCAAATTTTAACCTTTCTATCTATAATTAGCGCTAACTACCTCGTCCACTTAAGTTATAACTTCCAGTATTATTGCCCTGATCAGCTATCTATAGCAAGTTTTTGTTGCAATATGTGGTTGGTTTTGTATTGTGTTATTGTGTTGTTTTGGCTCATTTCACTATAAACCTCGAGGAGCTTTAACGAAAGTAGTAAAAAGTACGTACAATTACTAAAACTAAAATTTAAATAAGTTCCCTACTTATTTAATTAATATAAACGAAGATTGCTTTCTTTATGTATTAGTAATATATAATATTTAATAGTAATTCGTCTAATCTTATTAACGCTAAGCGACTTATAAATACTACCTTTAAAGAAACCTAGCTAAAATTACTTAAATATATTAACGACGAATTTATACCCTATAAATTAAAATAAACCAATTATTAAACTAAAATTAATTTTAATTTTAAGAGTAAAATTACCTTCCTAAACAAATCTATTAATACTAGTATTAAGGTAGAAGGGTTATCAACGCGTACAGGCCTCAATAAGGTATTCTATACTACTAAAGTAATTACTCAAAAACGCTACAATTTATATAAAGAGGGTATTACTATATTTAGTACGTAAATATATTGCAATTATCTACAAAAGGGCTAACTAGGTAATTGTAAGCTTTAAATATTTAATTAGGGTCTAAATATATTAGTAAAGCAATATATAAAGGCGTTTAGTATAATATAAGTAAACTGAAACCTCCGCTCTTAAAACCTCCCTCCCTATTGCAATAGTTTTAGAGACTAATATAATTTACTATATACCTATAAATTACTAAAGCAATACGATAACGAAAATCCCTAGAAAGCTCTAATCAACAAAATTAACTATCATCCTTTCTAGCATCTCAAGGAAGTATTAAATACCTAAAACTAATACTTCCACGTTATTTCTACAATTAAAGCAATACCCAAAGGACGTCCTAAAAATCAATATAGTCCCTTTAGCAATAAAGCTATTATCTTTACTCCTATTCGAAGTCCCCGCGGGGTAATTCGAACGAGGAGAAGTAAATATATCCCTAATAATACGAGACGTAATTATTTTCGAATCGAAGTTTCTAAGCCTAATTTAAAAACGATAAATACCACTAACAAAACGGCTAGGGACGAAGTTAACGAATAAAATTATATTATTATTATTAATAATACCCAATAAGCAAATTAGCTACCAAAACGCAAAAGGGGTAAACTAAAAGAATTAGGCAAAGCGAAGGGGGGTAAAGCGAAAACTCTAACTCCAACCGCCTCTTTTAACCGCCCGGCATATACTTCCCGCAAATACCCTATTCTAAAACTAAAACCGGATTCTCTAAAACTAGGCTCTCTACCAAATTCACCGTTAAGCTCTATTAATAGGGATAATATTAAGAAGGAACACCTTACTACTCTAGATTATACTATAGCGTAGTAGAGGAAACGGGTAGCAATTAGAAGGAGGGAGAAGGAGGCAGTAGATAAGGAAGAAAAATAGACTTACCTATTAAAAAACTACGTAAAAGACCTTAATCTATATAGAATATAGCTGGGCAATAATTAAAGAAATCCCCTAATTATAAAATAAAAGGCTTAATTAAGCCTTATAAAGCCTTATAGAGCTGCACAAAGCTTCAACACTATATAAATATTACTAAAATTATTATTTTTCTATATTTAATACTAGAAAATATTGCCAAATAACTTGGCGCACCCTTTTAACTTGGCGCACCCTTCTGACTTGGCGTACCATAATATTCAAAAACATTGAAAATACTAGAATTTCTATGGGAAAACGACGTATAATTATGACAGCTAATATATAGTACGCGAAGTAAAAAATAGTACATAAGGATATTGACTACGGTGCGGTAAGTCAAGCTCTACATATACATATGTCGCTCATTGAACCTTGCGCATCTGCCCAAAGAAGATTCCTTGCGAGACCAGCCCATCATAAAACGCTAATTCAAGATAACTTTTCCAGCTTTATCCAAAAGTCATCAACCCAGCCATGATTACCATAGTGGAAAAATACGGACGGCATCTGGCCCAGAAGGTACCGTCTGGCCTAGAGGGTGCCGTCTAGCCCAGACGATACTGGGCCAGACGGTTGAGGAGGCCTTCCGATTGGCTGAAATACTTGGCCCAGCTCAAAGCTTAAGTCAGTTCCTTCCCAAGTCCCCCTTTCACCAAAATGACGATGGTTCTTTCCCCAAATCCAACACCTTCCTACATATAAGAGGAATGAGCAGACATTTCCGGCAATCAATTGCGCCAGTGGCTCAATGGTTCTTGTGTTTGCTCTCTTTCTTGTGATTGCCAGTTCGATCCCGCTTGTGGTTGTTTTTTTCTGTCGCGCGAAAAGTTTCGCGATGGCTTCAAACTTCGAAGTCGAAGTCTTCCACCACCCACCTCAACCTAGAGTAGCCTTCTATAGTTAGGCTTTTGCCTTTTTAAGGGGATTCTGACCAATTAGAGGGCCTCCTCAACCGTCGGCCCAGACGAAAGCATCTGGGCCAGTTTACCAGACTGCTTTAGGAACTGAGGCTGGGGCAGGAACCCCCCTCTGGACCAGACGCCCCCCTTATATTTCCGCTGCGGTACCTTTACATCACATCCCATCACATCATAATTAGATCTCAAACGTCCCACTCAACCTCAAATCCCTACTACTAGCCCCAACCCAAACCTTATACTCCCCCCTCCTCAACCGCCACTGCTGCACCTCCACATCCCAAACGCTCAAATCCCTCCTCGTCAACGCAAACTCGGCCCCCCCTTCCTCCCCCGGCGCCAGCGGTCCCACGCGCTTAAACCCGCGCAACTGCCGAACCGGCGTCTCCTTTTCATCCTCCTCCTCTTCGTCGGAAGGAGGGATACCAACATACAACTGCGCAACCTCACTTCCCTCATACTTGTCCCCGGTATTTTCAACGCTACACCTCACCACGAGTAACGTCTCCCACAAGTCCGGATGTCCGCCCTGCTTGATGGGGGTGTCAGGGTCAGGGAGTTCGGGGAATCGGAATCGGGTTGTAGCGGCGAAGGAGGAGGAGGGCATCATCGTCTCTTCCACGCCTCCGCCGGGGGCGATATTAGAAGAGACGTAGATTTCTAGGTCTGAATAAGAGAAGGTGGTGTAAGAGAGTCCGAAGCCGAATTCGAATCTGGGAGTGATGCCTGGGTGCCGGTCGAAATAGCGGTAGTCAATATGGAGACCTTCGGGGAAGTTGTCCTCTGGGAAGAACTCGTCGCCATCAGGTTGGCCGGTGGAAGGATTGAGTAAAGTCCCGTAATCAGATTCCCGCTTGGCGATGGTGTAAGGAAGACGGCCGGACGGGTTGACGTCACCGTATAAGATGTCCACCAAGCTGTTGCCGGATTCTTGACCCGGTAAACCGGCCATCAACACGGCGGTGACGTTGGGGTGGGAGATCCATGGGTCTACGAGGCGGATGCCGGCGGAGTGGACGACGACGATGGTTTGGGAGCACCAGGAGGCGATGTTGGCGACGAGGTCGTCGCTGAAGGCGTCGGAGAGGGCAGGACGGTCGGACATCTCGGAGGCGTAGGCGTTGATGAAGACGAGGCAGGCGTCGGCGTTGAGGTATTGTTGGGAAGGGTTGGCGGAGTGGAAGTCCCAGCGGAGCATGCCGCGGTCTGCGCGGACGCGGTGGGACAAGGCTTCGAAGGGGGAGACGACGTAGGGAGGCGTGGAGCTGCCGGAGCCGCCGCCGGTGATCAAGGTGCCGTTGAAGGTGGTCCAGCCGCGGTTGACGTCGTAGCCGCCGCCGTAGCGGTCGGGGTTCTCCCAGGGCGTGGACTTGACGATGGCGTCGTAGCCGTAGACAGCAAGGAACTTGGGTTTGGTGAGGGGGAGCGTGCCGTTGACGTTCTTCACCAGAACTGTTCCCGCCGCGCCGATTTCGCGGATAAGGTCCGCGTGGTCCTCCTGTACGTCAACCGGGTCGGGTAGCTGACCGCCTGGAGCGACACCAACGGGTGGGTAGGTGCCGTCGTCCTGGCCTGCGTATAGCCACGCCGCCAGCACGCGGGTCGCCATGTCGTTCAACCGCTCCTCGGCCACCGATCCGTTCTTTACGGCTTCCATCAGCTTCTCGCCCCAGAGCCCATCCCGCGGCATCACCACGTCTAAGCCCGAATTCGCCGACGCGACACCGCTCATCTGCCCGTCCCAATCGCTCACCACAAACCCTTCGAACCCCAACTCCGTCTTGAGCACTCCATTCAGCAACTTGGAATTCTGGCACGCATAGCTGTGATTCGCCCGATTATATCCGCACATGACCGCGCCCGCGCCGGCTTTCAAGGCGTCCATAAACGGCCAGACATACGCCTCCCTTAGCGTCCTATCCCCAACATTGGCACTAATCGCATGTCCTTCTCCCCCGGGGGCATCCTGACCCCATCTTCTTCGATACTCCTGTTCATTCAACAAAAAATGCTTCGCGGTAGCAATCACCCCCTCCCCTTGCACACCCTCCACAATCTTCCCCATCCCGACGCCAGCCAGGTACGGATCACTCCCCAACCCTTCCCAATTCCTTCCTCCCTTTGCCACCCGGCCCAACGGCCCCGCCAGCGGTCCCAGGGCGATGTTCACACCCTTTCCGCGGTACTCAGCCCCCACGGCCCGGCCGTAGCGGTACATGAGGTCGGAATCCCACGTCGCGGCGAGGTGGATGCCCGCGGGAAAAGCGGAGGCGAGTTCCTGGCCGCGGACGCCGGTGGGGCCGTCGTAGAAGCAGAGTGGTGGGATGGAGAGGCGGGGGATGGCGCCGGTGTTACCTACGCATGGACCCGGGTAGCCACGGGTGAGGTTTTGCAGTTCGAAGGGAGTCATTTGCGAGGTGAGCGAGAGGGCGTGCTGGTAGGCGGATGACCAGCGCGAGGAGGAGGTGCCGTTGGCGACCGGGGTGGGGTAGATGGGCGGGCTGAGGCCGTAGTAGGGGAGTTCGGAGGGGTGTTGTCCGTTGGACTCATGGTGTTGTGTTGTTGATGGGAGACTGCATAATGGCAGAGAGGCGGCGGCGCAGAGGAGGGAGACGGCGCCCTTCATGGAGAAGACGACTTGTTTTGCTTGGTCGGCGAAGTAGCCTGGGCCTGGGAGGCTCGTTGGCGGCCGGAGCTGTTCGTAGAGACTGCTGAGATGGTTCATGATTATGGTTGTGAGTTGGATGATTGCATTTCTTAGAGTGTCACTTTGGTTACAGTAGGTAGTCAACCGGAAGACGGCAAGGACAGCCACGAGGAGAAGGACGATATTTGGCGATCCGGTTCCGTCGCTAGGAGATGATGGCCGCGGTGTTTAATATCGGATCGAGCTTGGTCTTTGGAAGCCGATAGACTGGGCAACCACCATCCCCAGATGGAATCTCGTGTTGAAGACAGAACCCAGCATTAAATGATCTTCTTACCGCCAGTTAGTGGGCCCCGGGATGGGTGTGGCCGCCATGCAGTGACGGACGGGATTTCCTTACACTAGTGTGTTGCATATTGAAGATTGACATGCATGGTGGTTGGCGCTGGATGCCGAGAGGGGAATAGCGGTAAGGGCGCTATCTGTTATATAGGGATAATGAAACCTGTAAGTGTTAGTGCATGTAACCGCCTGGGACGGCCTGGCACTGTAAAATGTGCAGGCGTTGCGGCAAGCCGATGGAGAGATGCTGATGTCAGGTAGGATTTATTCTCTTAGACTGCATAACGAGCTGTTCTAGACTTTCATGGCGATGAGGGTATCCGATGAATATTTAGGGATTATCTGCGGGGTAATCATGAACTTGTATCCATTCGGGTGTCTTTTAGCGGATGACGCGGCCGCCAGCTTTCATCGCCAAGCAAAGTTGATGATAGCTGGCAGACTGATGAACTGGTTAGAAGCGGTTGTGTCTCACTTAAAGAGGAGCTTTTCGCTGACCATTCTCATCATCTCTCCGCCCCCTTTCCTATCATTACAAACGGAAGTTGTTCGGATTTTTGTAAGGAGTTGGGAAAGGACTCAATGGACGGGACCCACTCCGATCACTAACAATTAACGAGACATGGCACTAACAGCATGGGCGCTTTCTGTCTCCTCACCTTCTTTCTTTCCCCCAACATCTCTATGAAGAGACATTTGTCTGTCTTCCTCCTACGGACGAGACTTTGTCTGATAAACTGAGAAACCATATGAATGAGTGTTTTTCCACTTCTTATTAACAACACAAGAGAACCATCATTTCGCCAGCTTACTCGCTTTCTAAGCGCCCAGAACACCTCTCTCTCCCAAGAAATACCACCATCGCAACGCTGTTCACAAGCGAATGCAACAGGCGCTTCCTCAAGGTGTTATAGAGCTGCGTCCAGCGGTCTTGCTCGTTAACGAACGGTCTGGGCTACCATTCGGAACCATTCTCGGCTACGTCGGGCCTTTTATGATCTTCCACCCACGTGCACCACAACGATCGCGCATCGGATAGAAACACACGAAGACGACGGGAACATACGACGAACAGCGGGAGAAGACTTTTTTTTTATCCCCGAAGAGAGCTTGTTTACGATAGACTCTGATTGATCTCGATTCGTGGAGACGTACTACCTGAAACCTTTACATACTAATGCACCTCGGAGAATATGAAGGGGGAACCATGTGGAGATATGTATTTGGTTCGGAATGACGGGTAATGAACTTGGCGCTCGCTGACTGCCTTGAAAACCCGGGTTCATCAAAGTCGTTGGAAGATTATAAGTATTCCTTCCGTGTGGGCGGGCGGCTAAACAACGGACTACGGTATAGCGGGCCATATCATATGTCTCTATGCTGCGCTGCCCCCCCAACTCCCAAAAACTACATTTTCCCATGTGAAAACAGGGACGGCACGAGGCACGAGGCAAAGAAGACTTCTTCTGGAACGGGATAGCACCTAACGCGGAAATATTTTCTCTGGTGCCTTGCATACTAACCGCATCTATAACCTATTCCCGACCCGCAGTTCCAGTCGGTGGGATAACCCATGGAGGAGGTAGTACATATACCTAATATCCCAGAGGCGTAACACCTATCGAGCCGGCGCCTGAGCGTGTGTTCAATATAATCCTACGTGTATGAAATCTCGCGTTTGGGTCAATAACAATGAGGAAACGAGACTCACCGAGACCGCGCCCGTCACACCGTGCTACCACCTTGCCGCGCGTCACATAGAAGAATAATGGGAGGACTCGGATGAACGACTTGGCCGTGCTCGCGGCGACACGTGATGGGCAAGCGGAGATTTGGTGTCACATTGGGTGTCTTGATACGATGTAGGACGGACTGGGAAGGTCTGACGAGGAAAGGACGGACGGGCGGGCTAAAGGGTCCAGGGTTTACTTTGTGTGACCTTTGAGACTTGAGCTCATGTGTTGGAGAAAGCAAAGAAGAAAAGATGGAGAGAGAGAGAGCAAAAGGTGTATGTATGTTGGTGACGGCGGAAATGCAAGGCGAAATTGCAGGATCTGATAAGATTGAGATGGAAGGGTTGTTGTTGTGCTGTGAGTATGAAAGTGCGATGCCTGGTCGAAATCGCATTCGCATCGAGACTATCCCCTTCTCGACATGGACTCTCCAGAATCCGAAACCATGAAATTGTTTCGTTCTAGGCCGATTGATCAACGCCAAAGTCCCATGCGGGCCCGGTAGAAGAAAATGAAATGCTTCTTTGTCGTTGCCAATCCGACCCGAGATTCCAATTATTGACCCAAGGCAGAAGGATTTCCCACCAAGATTCTTGGTGGTGTCGATCATGCAGTGCTCGGGGCATGGTGTTGTGGGGTGCGTGAAATGAAGGGCCGCCGTCTTATTACATATCTTCCCAACGTCAGAAACAAATTGCCTGGAAAGTGAGAGGTGGAAAAGAGACAAAAGTCTGACTCTCGCAAAGTAAATTCGACTGAAGTTGTTGAAGATGGTTTTGGGAATCATGGTGATACAAAGGGTCTGAAGTGTTGGTGACCGCCACGCATGTCTGAGACGTCGAGACATGGAAAAAGTTGCCTTGTATGCCCTTCTCCGCGCTGTTGACTCTGGCGTCAGACCTCCCAGGCCTCACTCGACGCTCCTATCTCAGAATCATTTCCACGTTTCTTCTGTTCTATGCGACTGTGTCAAGTGATAATATCGTCCATGGTACCGAGTTCTCGTCAAGGGGGGTTTCTTCTCTTTTGTCTGTGCAATGCGGGGTTGACCTGTTCAGCTGTTCACTCACCTGCATGGTAGCGAGCAGCACCCCTCAGGCACTCAAGTCCCAACTGCCGACCCCTCGTCCTCTTTTCGGGGGTGCGTAACGGGCTTTTAAAAAGGTACGTACCGCCACTTTTCAAGTGACAAAGTTTAGAGGTCGACTTCGAAACTTCAAACCCCCGCATTCCACCCTCCGCAACCCGATATAAAGCAAAACAGAGCAAAAAGCCCCCTTTTGGGCCAGCTGAGTTGCGTGGATGCGTTACCTTTTTTGCAGCGTGGATATTGCTCGAGATAGATTTGGACTGTTGGAAATGGAGGTACTTGGTCTGGCGGATCTTGGTGAGAAATGCGGGCCAATGGTGTTAGAGGATGTGTTAGAGGATGGAGGTGACTGGGGAGGTGGTACGTATCTTTCTACAAGCCCGTTACGCGACACCCTCTTTTCTTTGTCAGTCTTGATGCTGTCTTGGACTGAAACTTTGATGCCCCTCTTTGTTTCCCTGTTTCATGATATTCTCTGTTCCGTCATTAGTTCCAAAAAAAATGGCATCAGATTGTGGGGGACGCTCATCTTGGAAATGGACCAAGGCCCAAGCCAGCCAGCCAGCCCAGCATTTCGCAAGGCGCGCCAAAAACGGTCACCTCCACTGCTCCACAAGATTACCAGGGTTCCATTCATTTCTCGTGGTTGTGGAGTGCCCATTAAGACTGGTTGGGTTTAGCGTCAGGTACAGCCGTCAAGTGCTCCTCCTAATTGGATCGCGGAAGCCCTGGCCGATCCGTGTATGTGGGACGGCTGTGGCTAGAGCCGGGGAGGGTGTGTGTCTAGTGGACCTGCCGTACTCTTTCGTAGCTGATGGCCGATGTTTCAAGATTCGCAATATCACCAACTGTGATCCTGTAATTGGCACAAAACGAACAACATGGCAAAAGATATCAGGATGCATTCGTTATTGACATGCCTTTGCTTCTTTTCCAACCTGCGGTACAGCTGACCATCAGCGATATCTGATCGCCATGAAGGATGGGCAGGAGGCTTCTTCTGCACGGACCCAATCGGAGGGCGAAAGGGGGTCGAACACGACGGAAAGAGGCTCTACTGGCTGGATGCAACGACCAGTGAAACCAACCAGCACAAAAAAAACACGACTATCAGTCGCTCACTGCAAACGCAAAATCCGCCTCAAACGGCTAATGGGTGGAATTCTGTGGCTGGTCAGCTCAATATCCGTCACTTCTTTCTCGACGGTACCCCAAACCCCCAAACTCCACGACGGCGGCGTGGGGTGCATGAGTTTTGGTTTGGCCTATGCGGCATGATACATCCAATCACTCCCCCCCATCACTGCATTCTGGTGTAGATCCGGGGGAGTAGGGAGCAGATTGAGACAGCGAGAGTCCAGCCTGGGGTGATTGTCGACCCCGAACAAGACAATAGTCTGCACCCGTGTCGCACAGCCAGAAACCGACCAGGTTTTATTCGTATATCGCGGTAGCACAGAGACCCCAAGTCTGGACATCCGTCACCGTAAATAATCCAGTCAGTTGGTCGAGTCCTGGTCCATCATTGTCGCACCGGCAAAACGTGTGTCTTCTTGGACGTCTGGCTGGTTCGGTACTTTGGCCACCATCGTCCCCACGTCCACCTCTATTGATGATTCGACTCTTGGCTGTAAGCCTATGTGCCGAACGGCCATAACGCAAAGAGGATGGGAGCAAATAGCCTTCAGCAAAGCTTTGTTTGCAGCCGCTTCTGTTCCCGCCGCGGTGTTGTGCCACTGTTCAGGTGGGAGTTGTCAACTGGCGAGACTGGGCTCAACTGGTGATGCTTGGCGGATGTCGGGTGTCCCGAGATAGCTCGGCTAGTGGAGACGGCAAGAAGGCTCGCTCGTATTAACGAGGTCCATGACGATTCCAACTTGTTATTTCGACACTGATTCGTTGGCAATTTGCGTTAATAGTGGCGGGAGTACTTCCAGGTCGATGTTGGGCCACGACGTCGAGGCATTCAACTCTGAGTAGGAAGAGCTTCCCGTCTCTCCAACAAATTGTATCCTGTCAATGTATGTCAGATGCAGCACTGTCAGATACCTTACTGTCCTGTACCTGCAGTGAAAAGATGTCGTGGGTTGCAGCACGTCCTGCCGCCGCCGACTAGCGACCCGCACCGCATCCGCATGCCGCAACGCCATACGCTAAGGTACTCCGGGTACCTGTGATGGAGGGGTGTGTTTCTGAAGCATATTTCAAAGGTTCGAAAACAATTTGTAAGAGAAGAGAAAGCCAAAAGAAAGGGCATGCCTGAACACCATGACTCGTGAAAATTGACCAAATAAGGGATGTTCCTTCCTTTAAAGTGGGATCCGCCTTGCCCTACCTGACAAAGTTACCTTGCAGGGAAACAAGATGGGATGAAATGGGACGAACCTCTCTGTTTTCTGTCGGTGCGCAAGGCGGTACCCCATAAAACAAGCGCAAAGACAATCGCCTTGGATCATGGATCGCAAAGCTCATCTCAATCCCAATGTCAGTCGTGATTGTTGTCGACGATCTGGTAGCCTTGGCTTATCGCTCTCCATGGGGTTGGCGGCTCTCATGCCTCACCGAGCTCACTGACCAAATGCATCAGTGCAGGCTGCACTCTGCAGGGACGGAAACAGATTGGAGACTGGTGGGAGCCAGCGGGTAATTAGGATGAAAGGTTCAGTCGTCGCGTTTCCGATTTTTCTTTTTTGCCCCTGTCCGACCTTTTCTCGAGGACTTTGCCCAATGAAATTGGTAATTGGCTTGGGCAGCTTCATTTCCTGGAGCACCGAGAGCGCACCATTTTTCGGGGAGTGGTGCACGAGTGGGCGCCGGACGCACGGTGGAATCGTTTGTCACACAAATTGCTTTTGCATGCCCGTGCCCCTTTTCTCCATGGACGGATCTCCGCCAACCAATAACAGAGCTCAATTGGCCTACAATAAACACACCCCCTCCCCCTCCGAGGTCATCCGGTCCACGGCGGGAGTCGCTCCTCCCCAGTGCTCTCACGGTGAAGGTGAAAAAGCCAAGTCGGCCGCCAAGGCGCTCCACCCCACTGTTCAGGTGTGTTGTTGCAGTCGTTCCTGGTGCCTGCCTAGACGGGCCCTGGACTTCCTTGCGTGTGCGTGCCCTCAGAAGGTGAACCTCCCCGGCGACTTAACCTTTTCCACCTTGCCCCTTCATCCCCAGATCCAGGTTCCCAGGCCTGGCCCCAACCCATACAACCCAAAACCTCGTCCCATCCCGTCGCATCTTGTCGTCCGACCATTCCCTTCCTCTGACCACCAACTTCAGGTCCGACGACACGTCCCTCTTCAGCCTCTCGTCGCTATCGGTTCCCCGCGTTCCAACCCGCTCTTGGTGTGCCCGCGCGCCGGTCGTCACTCCTTTACCTGGCCGACAACAAGAAGAACAACCCTCTTCTCCGACGACGCCTTCTCTTCGTCCGCTCTTTTCTCTCGAATATCTGTCGGTATACTGCGACCAAAATACCCGCGAGATCGTCCTATCCCTGACATAGCGAAAAACTTTCCTTCGCCATCCTGCCTTTTTATAAGGCAGAACATCTTGACCTTCTTTTTTTCACCACACTCGCTCACTGTGTTATCTTCACCCATCGAAACTTCTCACGCCTGATCGACCGACGATAATTCAATCGGAAGACTAGAAATCCGTACGGTGCGATAGACAGTCCGGGACATCGTAAAGAAGCCTCGACTTTTCGACACTATTGCCCTTGCAGCTTTGGCAACACCAGACTCACGTCTCTTGCCCAGGGCTTTTATCACAGATCCCTCTACTTTTGTTGACCACAGAAGGCGGGTTATACGGCTTCGGACTCGCCCGATAACGGCGGCGAAACATACGGTGAGTGGCCCGGGGTCTTGGTACAAAAGGTTGGGATCCCCGCGAACACGAGCAAGGGGCGCTGTTGCACTTAGCACGAGACCAAGCTGACACACAATTCTCCCTCACTTAGAAACGCAACACAGCATCTAAACAGGTTGACGGGACGTCCCTTGATTCGTCTTGCCATACCACCGACCAGATCGCTTCGGGTGAACCCACACAAAATACGATCTGCACTACATCCCTGGATGGAATGCAAATCTCACCATCCGCCACTCTGATCTAATCTGGGGTAATTCTTTTTAACTGAGCTTCGCTTGTCTCAGTTAGTGTGCGCTTGTTCATATCCCGACACCGCACCACAAACCGCCAGTATGAATCGCTTCAGAGCCAAGAAGAAGGCCAAGGAGGAGGCCGCCGCCGCCGCAATCGCCCGCTCTAGCGAAGACTCCGAGCACTCCTCCGTGTCAGGCTTCAAGGGGTTCAGGAAGGGCAAGAAGGCACCAGTAGAGGAGCCCAAGAAGGAATTTGATCTCTCGACAGCCCTTCCTTCCGACGACAACTTCCGCACGAGTCTTCTCATGACAAATCTGTCGGCACGCTTTTCCATGCTAAGAGAGCAAGACGACCCCAACACAAAGATTGGCAAGGCCAGCGACGACAGTGTACTATACCCAAAGCGGCAATCGCGACTTGCTGACTTTGGTGGGTTTGGTGCAGCCGGCCGAGGTCTTGGGGACATTGCCGAGGTGGAGTCCATCAAAGCTTCTTCTCACTTTCTCAGGAGCGATTCGATTGCTTCTGCTGACTGGGACAATGGTGGAAGCATATTAACTCGCGGAAAACCTATTGAGGGTAACAACTTGTTTGGCGGAAGGCAAAAGATCTACAAGGTGCCTGCTGCCAAGTCTGGCGGCCTAGGAGGCCGGGCATTGTACGCCGATGACGATGTCGCCTTGTCCGCTTTTCAGCGTTGGCGTATATCTGAAAAAGAAAAGGAGCAGCAAGAGCATGAAACTATAGAGGAGCATGAGCAGGATGAGGAGCATGAAGACCACCAACGATCCGAGTCACCGCCCCCCTTGGGATACAATCGCAAACGGGAGACGAATTCGACCACCTCGTCGGCTTCCATGATGGCCCGCAATTCCACTGCTGCCAACTCGATTACATCACAGCCTGCAGGATATGTGTCAACTGCCCCTACTTCAGCCGCTTCTACCCCCACTCTTGACCGATCGGTGACCTATAAGAGACGCCTATACGAGCAAAGCACGAGCCAAGATGGGCCAGAACAATCCTCTTTACTATCGAGGATCGAGTCTCTCAACCGCCAGAGGACCGCGGCCTCGGGCGTCAAGGCCCTTGGTGACCGACTGGGCGAGGAACGGACCCTCGCAAGCAAAGCAAGCGCCCCTCAGCTAAGGTCAGTCAGTCCTCCGATCACTACTCCTGCGACTGGTACTGGGGACTTGGGAAATGGGGCTGCTCCCCAGGCGGATCCCAAGCTAAACTTTGGTGGCTCTCCTCCACTCAGTCCCCCAATCAGCGAGACTGGCGAACCGCACCCTCTGTTGCCCATTCAGCCTAACGATGTTGGAAAAGCCACCGCTATGGGAGTGTTTCAGAAGCCTTCGCAACCATACGACGAGACCAAGTACGCCCAGCGCCAAATCCAGCTGCAGCAGGGTCGCGAGACGCCAACCCGTCGCCCCCGGGCAGGGTCTGATGCTTCTTTCGCTACCGCTCGCTCACGGGAGTCGTCTACCCACAGACAGCCCTTTGAGGGACGAGGGGAGCCTCTCAGGACTCAGCCAGCACTGGAAGAGGAGCCCGCATCTACCGATCTCGATTCGCAAACACCCGAAAGTCTTCAAGCTCAAGCTTTAGCAGCCCTTTCCGGTCAGCTCAGCCTTCAGCGTCCTGCCGATGAGGAACACCCTGCGCTGAGGGGGGCTGCTGCTCCACCCCCGCTCTCTATCAACACATCAACAAAGCCCGAAAACCCAACAATTTCAATCGAAGAGTCAGTCGAGCCTGCATCGGCAGACTCTCCTACTCTAGGCCCCAACGCTGGACTTGGTGGCCTAGTTCGTTCACACCTTCGGTCAGACAGCGGTGCTTCCTCGATCTGGGGTGCTCCCATTCAAAATAACCGTCCTGAGCCACGACCGCTCGATATGTTGCCGGAGCCCAAGATTACCCCCTGGATTGCGCCCGAACAAGAATGGACACTGGCCTACTACGGAAATGGTGCCAAGCCAAGCACTGACAACCAGGCACCTGAAGCAGTGCAGAAGGAAACACATGCCGCAGACTCCGCGCCCTCCAACCGGTCGAGCAGCGCGACCGATCACGGGCTGTCCAAGCCTTCGAACAGATCCAGCAATACCGACAGCGAACTGGACGAGTTCGCAAGTCAACTGGCCGAAGCTCGGCGACGAGTGAGGGAAAGACTGACTTCTTATGCCGAGTCTGATAGCAGCAGAGCGACATCACCAGTCAGACAGCCAGAACTTCCCTCCCATAAAGGTAGCCAATCGTCCTTGAACCCCTTGGGCATCAGCATCCTCAAGGCAAAGTCAAGCAGTAACTCTCTGGTTGATCGCTCACGGAATACCTCGGGAAGTCAATCCAAGTCCAGCCTAAAGCTTCTGGGCCTTGGGGGCACGCGGAGCCCAACCAAGGATTCATTTGGCACTATCAGCAGTTCTCGGAGCCCAACCAAGGATTCATTTGGCACTATCAGCAGTTCTCGGAGCCCAACCAAGGATTCATTTGACGAGAGGGAGACAGCCGTACAAGCGATCCCAGAGAGGAGCAAGGCGCGCCAGGCTCGTCATAGTTCCGAGACTGAGCATGACAACTCATCTCAGTCCGCAAACGACAAGGAGGATCCTTCAAACGCTCATCCAGGATTGATGGCATTCAGAAACGCTAAACGTGAGCTGCAAAAGCGGAAGGAGCTTGAGGCTCTTGCACAACAGCAGCTTTCCACGACCGCGCAGTCTCCGGATGAATCAAGCAACATGGAACCGCTGGCCTTGCAATCGCCTCCTCCAAGAGCTCCCGCCGGGAGAGGACGAACGCCGAGCAGGGACAGGAAGGTACATCCGATGCAGTATAGTTCACGCGGCCCTAGTCAGGAACGTGGATATGGAATGCATCGCAGCTCTCCTCCTGCTCACATCATGCCTGGTAGCCGTGAGAGAAGTGATTCAGAAGCCAACCGGGGAAGATCAACGTCCCAAAGCCGCCGGCTGCACCATCATATGCTGCAACAAGACGGGCAATTGGCGCCTGGGAGCCCTCGTGGCCCAATGCGCTCTCCTGGTCTTCCTGGCACAAACATCAAGCAGTCTCCCATCATGCCACCCCAAGGCTATCCCAAACTTGATAGATCCAAGTCTGCAGGAAATCTGAAAGCCGGCCGCCCAGGATACAGTGGCTACCCAGGGCAGCCATCACCCGCATCGCCAATGCCTCCTTCGCCGTATACTGCAGGACCTGCGGGATCCCCGGCGGGAACGCCAACATTCGGTCCCAGATCAAGACAGCCTACAGCTTCCCAGCCATCTTCAGAAACAGCGAAGCGCTTCGTAGACAAGCGGGAAATCTCTGAGCCGACGTTTGTGATGGCAACCAGCCGTATGCCGACGATGGATCTGCCCCATGGTTATTCACAGGAAGTCGGGTCTCGCCCGAGCAGCCGCGCGGGAGTACCACCTGTACCTACCACGGCACCTCCAGTTCCACCCATCAACCCTCGTCGCAGACGCGAGAGCCCACTCGATACTCCTGATGGTGCCGGTATGGGAGTGCCTCGCCCTCCATTTGCCAATCAAACAGAGAGCATGGTTGGAGCGGATGCTGAAACGCAAAGTACCTTCTCTGTTAGTGACGACGAAGAGGCCGGAAAGTCTGACCACCGGCGACGGTTGCGCAAGCCTCACGTCGAATCAACTGGCCGTGTTGGGCGAGCTCTTGCTAATATGAGGGAGAATGGTTCAACATTCTCTCTCAACAAGTCGAGCCGCAGCACAAATGGCCCTAGTGGCATGTTCTAAGCGCATCTTGTGTCTTGTTTGGAAGCCGATTGGTGCAGCCATTTCTGTCACTGATTTGCTCAAAACCAATTTCTTTGCCATTTGCCGTTCCTTGAAACCCGTCTTTTCTTTCTTCAGGGCTGTGTTACTTTCGCGTTATAAGGCGTGTGGCACTGGAGGCAGGAGTGGCCGCCGTCTTGGTATGAGGCTTATGATATCGAGATACCTCTGCATCTAGATCAACTTCGTGTACAAAACTTGTTATACCTATAATTTTCTTTTCTTGGTTCTTTGTCGAACATCTCGTATCATAGTGTCTTATACTTCTTCCCTGTCTCCAGCGGCTTTCCGTTGGCCCCTCATATGTCTTAATTTTGGCTTCTACTTTGTTTGCTTGTGAGGTATCTGAGTGAGCGTGCGCAGTACCTGGAGTTCTGCGCGGGGAGAACAAAAAAGGATGTTGGACCCCGTGCATGGCAGCGGCGGGTTAGCCACTCCTCGAAAGAGGCTGACTCGGGGAAAAGTACCTGTGGACTCCATTACGTTGAGGTGGGGGAGATAGGAATGATCAAGGGGAATGGGGTAAGAAGAACATGAGCCAAGGGTGTACGGGCACGGCTGGATGCTGATGGGAGGTGGGATGCGGTTCCCAGCACGGTTATGGGAGGTTCTTAGGTAATAGGAAATATACCAACTTTTGATCCAACACTGAAGTTCGAGAGCAACTGGATGAGATTATACTGGAATTCTTTTCATCGTTCCAGGCTAGAAGAGTTGAGCTGGCCCGCGTGGAAATTTCGAATCGGTAGCACATACATTAGGAGGGAGACACGGCCCGAATATCCTAGGTCTTCCGAAGTTTTCCCAGAGGCTTGGTTACTCCGGGATAAGTGTCAGACCCAGCCAGACCGAGGATGGGTAAGGGGTCCAAACAGCTCCACAACGTTGCCTTCCGAATGAAGATGTGAAGTAAGCAATGGGGTAAACTTCGGGAAACCTCATCTACTTACACCGGCCAGTGATATATTTCTTCGAAAAACCACTATAGGCTGATGTTGGCGTTGCGTCGTCATCTGGAAATGTACAACTGAATAGAGGTAATGTTGTTTCATTCAAGGTAACCAACCCCTCACCTGCTCACTCCTCAGTTCCCATCTTCCCACCATCTGGGTGTGAGCTGACATATAAAAAGGAAGAAAAGCCCATAACAATAACCTTCGTCCACGACTTCCTCATATCAACAACTCAGCTAAGCTTCTGCCGCGACCATGCCTTTCATTCGCCCCTTTGAGCCAAGAGATACTGAGGCTTGCATGCACATTGTAAGTGGGAACTTGAAGCGCCTCACTTCGCCATGCGACACTGCTCAATCACTCATCCTTCCTTGCTACCGCATCTCCCTACAACCCAATATTATGTTCATCCATAAACCCATCCCTCACCAAGCCATACAATCTCTCTAAAGAAAAACAAGCCACTAACACCGAAACCTCCCAGTGCCGCGCAACCCTCCCTCCAACCCTCGCCGCCGACCCCGTCGCCGCCCGCATGTCCCCTTACATCTGGTGTCTCCAATTCACCCACCTCTCCCCACAAACCTGCTTCGTCCTCGTCGACGACACCTCCTCCTCCAGTTCCCCCCCAGAAGACGAAAAAGTAGTAGGCTACGTAATCGGCACCCCAGACGTGCACTTCTTCGCCTCCTCATCATACCCCCGCTACATCCAGGACGTGCTTCAATCCCCACAAGGCCTGATCGACGTTCCACCTCCCAAACAACTCGACCATTTAGAGTCATGGCTACTCGTTGTCGAGACCGATTCTTCGGAGTCTGGGGAGAAGAAGAAGAAGAAGAAAGAGGTGCTTAAAAAAGTGAATACAGAATCGCTGGCTCAACACGCTTGTAACCCTCGGTGGTTAGTGTTGGAAGGACCGGAGGGGGGGCCGGCCGAAGAGAGGAAAAGAGAGTTGGTGGAAGGGTGGAGGGCCATGTTGCATATTGATTTGTTGGAGGGGTGGCAGGGGAGGGGGTGGGGGAGGAGGATGATTGAACGGTTTGTGGAGGGGGTGAGGGAAGTTGTGAGCAGCAGTGGAGGGAAATTGGACTATGGAAGGGGGGTGTATTTGGGCGTGGCGGGGGAGAATACGAAGGTGGTGAAGTTTTATGAAAAGGTGGGTTTTAGGGTTTTTGAGGGCGGGGAAGTGGAGGGGAGTGTTTGGATGGTTAGGGATTTGTGAAAGTTGATGAGTTGCTCGGGGCGAGTGAAGAGGATGCAAAGGACAGGGTGAGGGCATCACGGTATTGTTTCAAGGGAATGAGGAGGATGTGATCAAGACATTTTTGGCTTCTATCGGATACTGTACTAATACGCTCTCCATCAAATGCAAATATTGAGGTTCCTACTGTCTGCAGTTGCAATTGCGAGGGAACGCCGAAGCGGGAGCACAACTGCACAAGCGGTTGCTCCTTCTGCTTTTGTCCAGATGCTTATGAAGCATGGCTTTGTCCCGACACTCAGCCGCTCTTTCTCCCCAAGAAGCTTGCCAGAGTCCAAACATGATTCGCTTCTTTCATCGATTGGATTTCTGCTAGTGGCCTCTCCATGAAACAAATTCTTTGAAGAATTTCTTGCCCATCACATCCGATGCCACCCATTGCCCATCCGGCCGTCACTGGCACCCGAAAACCCAACCGTTCTCGTTGATGTCGACGGCATGGTTGCGGTTACCCCGACCGACAGTGGGCCATGGCCAGAATGGTGACCTGCTCTGGGAGGATGGCTGAACCCTCCTCCCAGAATCGGACCTCGGCTGTCGCCATCTTCTCTTCTCCCGCTCATCATCACCAATCCCGGTCGTGACAAGTCTCCCCTCATAGGCTGAGGAGATCCCCGCGGAATACTAGCCAGGTATTCTGACAGGTAAGTGGCAACTTCATCTGGTTTGTCGAATGGTGGTGGCGGCGGCGGCGCTCGTCTGCGTCTGTACCTCGGCGCCGGGCACCCTGGCTTCCATACTGCTATGTCCTCGTCCTCATCCGCACAAATATCCATCTCGTCAGCTCCATATCCAGTAGCCCTCGATCTGAACACATCCAGCAACACCGCCGTGGGTGGTCCGGTTGGTGCCGGCGGTGCATGTCCCGGGAGTACTACCCCTTTTCCCTTATCTCTCTGACCCTTCTCAGGTACCATGCCCAAGCCGTGTCTCTGCACCATCCACGGGCCGTTCCTCTCGACAATCCGCTGATCCGCTGTCCCCAACCGTTGCCCATACCGATTCAGCACCACGCTATCCGGCCTCAACACTCCCACATCTCTTCGGTTGCGAAACTGACAGCGCGGGTTCGCGCACCTTGTCAAGTGCATCGTGCAACGAGAATCAAACACATTGCTCATCCACTCGCGGCAGGCACATTCCCAGTGGCATGGGTCGATGTGGAAAGGGTGTGCGTGTAGGCCAGCGACGGTTCGGACTATCGTCGGTCCCTGCGCGTGGGCACCTCTACCCCCTCCGGGAGGTAGCAAGCTGTTGAAGGATAAGAGACCGCCGAAACCGGGTCCGAGGGCACAGTTGGAACACTGGATATGAGAGCAGGCTGGATCGTGACAGCGATCAAACGCTTTGCTGTTCACCATGCCGATCTTGTCGAGGCCCTTGTGTCCATCGTTTTGAAAGGAATGGATCGCTCTGGTTGCACATTGACAACAGAACCATCGGTTTAGTTGAGTGAGAAGAGGGATGCGCAGATGGAAGGGAAAGTCGCCCGGAGCCGAAGGTGGATAGAGAACTTCATCTCGGCGGAGCTCTTCGACGCGCGGTTCCGGGAGACCTTCGGTTGGAAAGGTGGTGAGAATGCGGGTTTCTTGCGCCGAAGAAGTGTTGGTTGGATATTGGTGGTGCTGGGAGTAGTTCATTGTGTTTGCTTGTTTGTGCCCTCTGGTTGCCTGGTAGCAGTGGTCTAGAGGTACACGCATTGATTTTAGGGGTCCCGACTGGCACGATACCAAGCTGGAGGTAGCCGAGTCGGAACGCCTCTGGTTTCCGAAGGACCCTTTAAGACGGATTGAGGAAGAGTTCACTCCCGCGATGTTGGTTTCTTCGGTAATACTGCTGCATTTACCGAGGGGTCATCTTGGACAGTGGCGGCATGCGGTTGGAAGCGTGTATACGGTATGTCCTGTCGAGAAGTTTGATGGTCATGTGCTGATTACAACGCCCCAATAGTACGCAAGATGAGAAAAGATGCGATCATGCAAATCTAAAAACGAGGAAATCGGGAAGCAATAAAGGCAACACTGCTGTGCCTTATCATCTGGACAAACCACTCCCCGTCTCCCCCTTTTCATCGCCGGAGGTTGACCTGGACCCCATACGTACGTACCCGTTTCCGATCCTCGCCCTCTCCTAGCGCAATGGTAGTGGGAGTATCCAAGTGCAGTCGGGATAAGTTCCCTACTACGGCCAACTGCATGAATCTTTTAATATCGGGTTCCGTCGTACATGGACTAGACCGGGTAACACTGGACCCCATGGCAGGCACGCGTTCCGCGGAGAGCAACTGGGCATAAGAGCATCGGGAGCCTGCCGGCCGGAAAATGTGAGACCTGGCCCCTTGAGACTCATGGCTTGCAAGGTAAACACTTTGTTGACCACTATGCAACTACAGCCCAGGTTTGCTTCTGCGGCTCTAAGGCGGCGATTAGAAGGGCGAGGTCTAACAGAACTGTGTAACAGGACGGCCGCGTTTCAAGCATACCGTACACTAACCTAGGGTTGCTACTCTATCAAATACAAACGCCACATGCGTATCGATGCGACATGTCATATGGTCGAGTAATAGCACGGATACAGACGAACAATGATGGGAAAGTTGTTTGGAATGGAGGGGGCCAAGCTTTGGGCTAGGTCCCTTCGAAGTCATGGGACAACATGCCGACAAACGCCAGCAAACAACTGATATTGCATGGGAAAATCGCATCATGGGACAACATCGAGAGGTGCGTTGATAAATCAAATGTGCATTGTTGTATTATTTGCTAATTATGTAAAGATGCAATACTAACAGTCAAATCAAAACCTCACATTTGTCCACTGTTTGGTAAATCAGACCATAACTGTACATTGGTTGATCAACCAGAACATGGAATCAAGAACACACAACGAAGCAAGATAACCTGGCTACTTGCCACTTACCGCTTTCCGCTAAAAGCCCTTCTTGATCAGGTAATCGAAAAGATTCCCTGCAAAAGAAGTGGTCGCAGCCGCCAGCTGGGAACCCTTAACCACCCCGGTGGCAGTCTCACAGGCGTAACTCACCCGTCTTTTCAGCGCGGTGATTGCAGCCGGAGCCGGAGCCTTCGGTTCAGGAATATTGAGGTCCTTGAACGAAACAAGACTTTCATTTCTCTTCATTGTGCCCGCTTCCTCGTCACGGATCTGAGTCTCAAGCGCAGGTGGCATGTACCCCTCCTCAAGACTGCTGATTATATCCGTCTCGGTCTCATTGTTAGCGCAGGCACCGAATCCCTGGTCACTCGATCCATTGCCGAAAATGCACATGTCGAACAACGGCTGGAGTGATCGACGTACCTCATCGTCAACGGGGGTCATCGGCTCGGGAGAGGCGCAAAACTCTCCTCGATGACGCTGGTTGTCAGGCGGAAGGATGGTAGTGCCAGTGGTGGTGCGAATGGGAGATGAAGGGAACCACGAACCTTGTTCATACTGGAGTTCGAGCTCCAGCATAGGGGCATGCTGTGCGCGCTGCACGCGCTCGAGGAGAAGGGGAGTTGGACGATGCCTGTTCTTACGCATCCGTATCCTCCTCGCCATCGAAGTCGATGATGGGGATCCCATGGACGACATGGAGGCCCAGGGCGAGGTGAACTGCTCGTGGGGAAGCAGAGGCATGCTGATTGGTCTCGTTGCTGTCGTAGCTTGAAGATTTGGATCCGTCAGAATGCTTCATGTCGGGGAAGGGGAACGAACCTGAGGACTTGGATTCGTTCGAGTCATCCGAGTCAAGAGCCAAGCGGCGGGCTCCGCGTAGGAGCGTAGAGTGCGGTGATGAGAGGGGTTGAAGGCGCTCGTGAGGGAGGAGAGGCGCTTCGAGGGGTGAGTCCATGTTGGACCAGGATGAAGAGGAGGAGTTGGTTGATTGCATGATTGTTGTGGATGTTTTCCTTGTTGTAAGTGTTTGTGTTAGTTGCTTGTTGTCTGTTGCGAGATGATGAGACATTGTTTCAGTTTCGAGGGAGCGACATTGTCTATTTATCTTCGAGTGAAGACATTATCATGGTCGTTGTTGAGCCCATCCCAAGGTGGTTGTTCTTCTCTTAGTTCTGTTTTTCTCTGTCATGTTCATCCACACAATGGTCGTGGTAATTGAACCGTTCCCGGGTTGTGCTTCCGGAAAACAATGAACAAAGAGAAACAGTACTCGTGTCCGGCACTCAAGACCTCATTGTTCCGGACCGGTAGACACCCTTCCCCGAGTCTGCTGGAACAAAGGCGTTGTTTTCGGGCCTAAGTGAACACGGTTGAGTTATTCTAGAAGGTGGGCATTGTTCCGGAAGACGGAGTTAGCTTCCCCGTGTATTGTAGCCGGGATGTTGATTTGTCTTAGCTTCGAAGTGATTTGTCTCTTCAGCCTCAACACGAAGTGGAACATTGTTCCTGAAGATAAGTGACGTTCATCTTCCACATGGCTCATATTCTGAAGAACAATCTTGCACTCAACAAGTCCGAGGAATGAGGTGGCTGGATTACAGCGTTTTTCGATGGATCTGAATGTACTCGCCCTTGATAAGAAACAAGGGAATTGTTCACGAAGTCGGGTATCATTCCATCCCCCCTCCCCCTCGCCTCGGATGTTCTTGGTGGTAGCAATGTAAGCCGTTTTGAGTCCTTTAGGAAATCTGACATGAGCCATGTGGGTGGCAGGTTCCGCTGTGTAAGAACTCCATCGCATTAATGTACTATTCACCCTCGACATGCTTGTTCCCGTTCACTAACCCTGTTCTAAAAGAGTGGACAGGACTGCAACAGCTACGTACTGAGAGCCTCAACAATCCGTCGAGGATCTCCATCCATCATGTCATGTCGAAGACGCAGCAGCAACAAAGGAGAAGATATCCGAACCCAGGCCGGTTCGGTTGTAGAAAAGGTGATTGGCAGAGTGTTACCCAGAAGTGGGAGATGGCTTGACGTGGAGTGTTGAAGGAGCCTTTGGACTTGAAGTGGGGTAGTTGGCGACTCGGAAGAAATGCAGGCGAGAGAGGAGAAAGGTCCGTCGTTGGGGTATGAAAAGGGGGAAACAGTTTGATTTTACTTTGAAAGAACAAATATACTAAAGGGGTAGTAGGGATGCTTCGGCGACATGCACATTGTTGCACTTAGTTAGGGTCTAGACTTAATAATCAACTAGTTTTTTTTTCTTCTTTTTCATCATCGAGTACCTTATCTATTAGTGTCTCAGTTCTAAAGTTCTAATCACTCATCTAATCTCGCATCCACCACAAACTTCTACTTCGCACATGTCACTCACTCTTCATTACCATCCATCTAATCTACAACAAACCCAACTCAGGCTGATGCTCCCCCAGCAGCCCTGACTCTCTTCCTGGGCACCGAACAAGGCGAAAGAGCCTCGTCCTCGTCGTCCATTCTCCCCCTTTTCTTTGTCGAAGGCTTGAACCAGAAATCCTCGGTGCCATCCCAGTTCTCCTTGTTTTCCCAAAAATGCGGATCAAACTTGTAATTTCGAATACCATCGGTTGGGTGGATTCCTTCATGTAAGCCATAACGAGATTGGCGGTAAGCCGTCATGCGCCTGAGAAAGAAGAGGTCATTTTGAGTAGGGATCTGGGTAGTACCTGCCTTGGGGGTGGTGATGGGAGAAACCTTGACTGGTGGTATGGTCTGGGCTTGTGCTGGCGGAAGAACGGAGCTTCGTGGGAGGGGAAGCGGTTTTTGTTGAGGGAGAGGGGGAGTTTGAGGGGGTGTAAGCGGCATCTGGGAGGGATTAAGTGTTACTTGGGGAGCAGAGACTGGTTTAGTGTTCGTGTCAGAGACCTCAGGGAATACTTGTCCCGGCATAGTCGCCAGCATCTCCGGGTGTTCAAGATAATAACGGAAGTCCTCCTGTCGACGCTGTTTCATTTGCTGTCCATACGACTTCGGTGGCGGTGAGGGGTGTGAGTACTTGGCCGATAGCGGGAACAAGTTAGCAGACGGGATAGGGATGGGAATCGAGGGGGTTTTGAAGCCCAAGCCTTTCTGGCTGAAGACTTCGCGGGCAAACTCGGTCATCTGCGTCAAGTCATTTGCTAAGGTTAGCTGCTCTATTTGAGCTCCGATCAGCTGCTTTTGTAACTCATCGATCTTGAAGTCGCTAACCTCAAGTAGATGGAAGTCGAGAAGAGCGCCGGCAGCCTCCCAGAAGTTCCACTCCTTGTACAGGACTCGTAGTTTCTCCTGTTGTGCCTTGAGCTGCTTCTCTAAGTTGCTGATGATATCCTTCACAACCCCTTCCAGGATGGCAGGTGAATCGGGATGCATTTTAGACATGGTGAATGAATTTCGACAAAGTCGGTAGTACTGTTTTGGGCTGTCGCTTGACACACTCGAGTGAAGTAACGGGAAGTGGTGGAAAGTGGTAGGTATTGACTGGCAGCTTGCAAGTACTTGTCTCTAAGTCGTTGAATTGTTGTCAAAGTCTGTTCGTAGTGTCATGGCGATGGCTGTCTTATAATCTTGATCGGATTGAGATGAAAAGCCTAACAAGGGCATTATGAACAATGGACAATGACCTCGGCCTGTTCTTTGACCGGACGGGAGCGGATCATCTTCCGGTGGCTTCAAACATAGTCAGACGAGCTTGATCAAAGTAGCATACGGCCACAATGTGAGATGAATGAAGAAACAAAGGAGTGCCAGCATTGAACAGACTGAGAGAACCGAAGGTGAAGTTTTGTTGTTGTGCCCTGTAAAGAAGTGCAAGACGGAAGTCGAAAGGACCGCACAGCGTCCTGAGCTGACAACGAATGGCATGCAACCGCCGACAGATGGCAGACTTGGCAAATGTCACATGCCGGACGGTGATTGGATGAACCAGGTGATGGTTCGTCTGGGCGGCAGCGAGCCGGAAGAACTTGCGGTCTCTGATTGGTTGCTCAAGCCCGAAGGGAGCTTGGTACCCGGCAGGCACAGCAGGTTCGCACTCACTTGGAAGAAGCACTTCTTCATTGCTCTTGCCGAACCTGAGGATCACGACGACAACGACAACGAGGATCTGCCGTGATTGGAACAGCAGATCAGTGATGGGCAGTTGTGAGACACTGACAACTCACGGACTCCAGCTGCAGAACAGGGCACTTACCCGGTCGTGTCACTTAAGCTCGTGACGTTGAGTCCATTCCATCCATTTCAGCCCGCCTGGACCTGGACTCTTTGACTCCTTGACTCTTCAGCCTGGCTGTGCAACCTCGAGACAGCCACACCACCACACAAAGTGCGACATTCGGCACAGTCCGACATGTGAAAGTCATCACCATCAAGGTACATCAAGTCGTACCATGACAAACTTCCATGCCAGTTTCCGTGACAGATACGGGAATGCCAGCAGGGTCGCTTCACGTGAAGGGATGCTTCTGGACGTCGTTCGGGTCGGCATTTGAGATGTGCAACATCCATCAATGAAATGCCATCATTAGTTCCAGATAATGGCAGGGCATCCATATCTCTCGATTCGCAGCTGACAGCGATGTCCGGCGACGACCAGTTATTGTACCCGTTTGTGTTCCCGATGATGGCATCACCAGCCCGTCCAGCCCGTCCTGACGCCTCATCCTTTCACCTCTTTCTACAGAACACATTGGCCATTGTGCCCTCGCTTTGCACCGTCAGCTACCCAATATAAACCGCGGATTCTGCCAAACTCCGTGCCGGGTGAGAACCTAAACAAGACGGACTCCCGGGCCGCCCCTGCTACACACCACAGTGGTCACTGCATTTGGTCTAAAACGATGCAGGTGCAATGCCCACGAAAAATTCGAACAAATAACAACCAGCGATGTGACGCTGAGAAGTTTTCAAGAGTCAATATTTCCATTACTAGAACAGCAGACAGCCCACCATCCACCCGCCCTCACGAGTTCACCGCCAACGGCGCCATTCCCATTACACCATCGTTCACATTGCTGGACAACGTGATAACGACGAGCTCGTGGCAACTCCCCAGACTCTCTTTTCCTTCTCCGTCTCTTTCCTTTTCCCCAGCCATTCTCTAAAATCGGAACAGTCATCTTTTTTTGGCGACGTGCAGCAGAGTTGGATCATCTCAACCCCACGCTCTGACTCGACACACTGCAGTCACGAACATCCACAAAATTTTTGCCATTTTTTTTTTTACCTGCGAGGTCAGCGCCCTTGCAGTTCTTTGCAGTTCTCTGCAGCATCGACGACTGCAGCAGTCGATTGAGTGCGTCGACGATCCATTCAAGCAAACGAGTGGACAAATCACAGCGGCCACAGCCTCCTTTTGCTGGACCTCCGGCTCCGTTCACGAGCTCCACCGGCCGCCCCGCTCTCCGCTGCCGGCACTCGTACGACGTGCATTGCAACTCACTGGGGCTTTCAACGCTCAAGGCCCTGTCTCTCTGCGGCCTGACCGCCTCTTGGGATCCAATCCCATCGTGGATTCTGTTGAAATTGTTCTCAACAGATGCATCCGCGATACCCAAATCGTCCAAGCTGCGATTTGCGCCTCGGTGACGCTGGGTCACCGGATGGAATTGGTGGAATTCGCTCACAACGTTATTGACCGTCGTTCCCGATCAGCACTGCGAGACACGAACAAACGTTAACGAGCGGATACGCAAAGTGGACATAGCGATCTTAGCCAACGGCTCCCCACATACCTGTAGGAGGTAATCTTATCTCGAACCGCTAGAACCGCTAGAACCGCCAGCCGTGACGTCGACGGAGCCTTCCTGGAGCCCGGAGGACCAGCCGCTTGGACGGGCCGAACATCGACTTTACAAGGAAGTGAAAAACTTCCGGCCGCCTTCTCGAATCAATTTCTTTTAGGTCGTCTTGGCTACTTCAAACAGGCCCCAAAAAGTGTTGCTTTCTGCTGCAGTCCAGGACCGGCTGCATCCCGCTAACGCTTCGCTAACGCGCTTCCCCGGCGGACCTTCCTGTTCACACGCTGCCCCTTTCTGCCAATGGGACTTTTGGACTTGTCTAACAAGTGGCTCCCTCTCCAATTCGACAAGCTCATTCGTCCATCCCCAGGCTTCCCTGCTGCGAACGCTGTCTTGCTCTTCCGGGGTTTTGCTGGTGATTTTCGGTCATTCTGCCCCAAATTCACGCCGGCGTCTTGTCTTTCGAGCGCTGACCGCAACTTTTTGGCGACAAAGTGCCAAAAGTGCCCTTTCCCAAATATCCCTGCCAACGATCAAAGCTTTAAAACAAGGCCCATCCACCCCCGTCCGGCTCCAGCACCGTTGTTTATTTATCGTGGTTGGCCTCCGGACCTCCTCGAGGGTTTCCAGCCTGCTTTATGCCCCAACAGAGGTTACACATCAACATCTATACGCACCATGGCTACTCAGCTGTCCTGTGACCGCCCGCACTCCCGGGTGAGCATGGTATCCAATCAGACATACCATAGCTTCAACGACATCGAATCCCATGAACCCGAAGTCGTCTCGCAACAGACCACCATCGTCTGCCACGCTCCTCTCTCAAATACTCTTAGCAGAGACCGCCCTCCGCCGCCCATCCAGGAAATGCGACGCCAAGATTCTGGCTACGCATCTATTCAACGCAAAGAATCTCGCTCTTCGTGTCGCCTATCATCTACCCTCTCGACGCCATCCACTTCAGCCAAACGGCGCTCAAGACCAGCCATTCAACGGTCCACAACCAACACAAGCTCCGGCACTCGCTTGAGCAGGAAGGGTAGCAAGGCCGTCTCACAACGCCGGTCTTACCAATGTCGTCCGGCCCAGTCTCAGCAGCCAGTGACGTACTTTGAGTTTCCTGTCTTCACCACTTCGAATCCCGAATATGCCATCGACGAGGCAGAGGTGAATGAGGACAAGTCCGCGCAAACGCATGTTCATCCCCTGCCACCGCAGACGACACACTACTGGACCAGCGACTCTACCAGGAGGATGGAATATGCGGCTATCGATGCCGCCAGCCGGGGTGTGCGCGGATGGTTCATGCGTCACATTGTGCCAGAGAGCAAGAGGCATGTTGGATTTGAGGACGACCGAGGGAGCGTGGTGCGGTACCGTCTGGACCTCGAGGATGACAATTCGGCCGAGAAGACGGACGACCAAAGTGAACGGAGGCGCAAGAGTTGGTGGCTCGGCATCTTCAAACGATGAACCAACCTTCTCGCTTCATCACGCTCGAGATCTCGACATGGAGCACATACATACACGAAATAACTGGCGCATTTGCATTTACCGGTCAAAGCGGGCGTCATTAGCAGCACTTTGCAGCATCGGTTCGGCGACTATGATCAACCAACAGGCGTTTTATACCCTTCATTTGGCTTAACACAACTTTCGAGCATTTTTATCGACACACGGGCCGATCTCAACATCCCAGATCGACCCAGTCAACCTTGGCTTTATGGCGTCACAAACACTATGGAGAATTTGTACATTTTGCAGCATGTTATACGGAGTTTTTACATTATTTACCGGATTGTTTTGGAGGGAAAGGTATATATATGATCAGAATGATGATTTGCTTGCAGGAGTACACTGGGCTGGGTTTGCAAAGGAACTACATCAACACTACTGAAGATGGATCACCGGAAAACAGGACAACACCGGAGGAATGGGGTTAAAGGAAAGGCTATGTTGGACACAACAGCCTTGCCTTTCAACGACGGGAATTTAGCGACAAATGTTTTGTTGTTCTTTTTAATGATATAATCGCTAAATGAAATTGGAGGGATTCGCTTGTTTGCAAACACTTCGTTTACCGTTCAATATTGGCGTTCCTTTTCTTCCTTCCATCATACACATGCCTTCCTCTGTCGTCACCAGAGGTAACATTGGGCCCTTTGTACATATGTTACACACACTGGCTGATCTTCCAAGCGCCTCACAGATGATGTACAGCTGCTACCTTGCGCGCGGTGAGCTCCGAAGGACAGCATGTCTCACTCACACAGGTAGGTATTCCCCCGATTCATTGCGCCGGCCTGTCATCCTCCTGATCGTTGGGCTACAAAGAGCTCAGCTCAGGACCCTCAGTCAAAAGCTCGTGACACGCTTCCGTTACTCAAAATTACCTCACAGAACAGAGCAGAATCAGATGCGTTCCATTACAGTAATTCTGTACCAAACAAGACAAGAACAGGATAATAAACGGTTCATCGACCTTCGGTGACTCCGCTCTCCTGAATTTCACGTTCACCTTGTACACAACGGGCGGGCACACACCGGAAAACCGGCAAACCGGCACAACTGAATGGGCACTGAATGGTACACTAGCACGTGGCAGGCACGTTTTTCTCATTTTCATCGTGTCGGTTATTCCATTGTTCGGTTGAACCGACGATTGAATGGACCCCTGTACCTGGATTTACATACTAGAAGTCATGACCCCACATGCGCCCACCGCCCACATGCAGCCACATCTACATCGCGTTTTCCTCCTATTTAATATCACTACCCTTCTTTTAAAAACAACTACCATTTTATTAAGTTTGATTGTACTCGTTTCTATTATAATAAGCTCGTCTTTAATTAAGTAAGCGCTTAAAAATATTTACGACAGACTTTCCTAGCGTGTAGCTTTGAAGAAGTATGAGATTCTTTGGTCTACTTTCGCCGGCCGTTTTCGAGGCCGTTAAAGTAAGCGCGATTCGAAAATACCTAATTAGAGGCTATTACTAACTTAAGAAAGCTTTTTATGCGATTAAATTCTAAATAAGAAGAAGGCTAGCCGTATTCCTAACTATTGTTAGGTCGCTGGTTTTGCGATATCGATCCTTAAATGAGGCTATAATTATGATAAATTAGGCGTTAGATGGATAGATTGCTTCCTAAAGAGAAATCCTAATATTAAGACTAAACTTTCGAGCCCGCTCGAATCTATTCGAATTCGAAGATTAATTAAGGAAGCCTTTACGAAGTTCTTTGACCTTCTAGAAGCCTAAATTCGAAATAAGGCTATTATCTTAACTAATATCGTTAATATAGACGAATATAGACTTTAAGAATTAGAATTAAAGGATAGGAAGGTCCTTAGGATTGCCTTAATAAAGAAAGTATACTTAATAACAATTAATATAACGATTTAAGTATTTATTATCGAATACGGAATCGTTAAAGGTAAGAGGTTGATTTCTATCGTCGTTTTTACCGGGGTATCCCTTTAAAGTTAATAGTTCCTTGATAATATAGATAATAAATTTAAAAGCTAGAAGTTTAATAGCTTATTGACTAGATAAAGTAATATAGAGATCGTTTTACGCTGGTTAAAAAAAGTTTACTTCCCTAAGACTTAAATAAACAACGGTTAGTACCTTCTTACCTTGGATAAATATTCGAATTATCTTTTTAATAATTTCCTTATTAAAGTATTTTAATATAAAGTTTAATTATTCTTTCTACTTCCCTATACATTTTATAAGACTTAACTACTCGACCGGTCCGTATTTACCGCCATTAAATTATATTTTAAAGATTTAATTAGGGATTTTACTAGCTTTCTAATATTTATACTAATAAATAAATAACAGTTTCTATAATATTATTAAAGAGCTTTACAAAGGGGCGTAAGCTCTAGAAACCTTAAATTAAGGTTTAAAAAATAAGAATATAGCCAATAAATAAATTTATTATTATTAACGATTCCAAGGCTATTTTAAATGACGATGCCTTGCCCGCCTAGCTATTACTACCCAAAATACCACTAAGAAGCGATATATTAAAGGATAACTATACTTTTAAGACTCCTTAGAAATTTAAAGATATATTAGGAAGTATTTATAATAAATTATCCGCTATCGATTGTAATATTAAGATTGTTTATACTAAGGTAGCTAAGGCCTTCGATAATAAAAACGTTGAATTTGCTATAAAGGATTACTAAATTTAATATTTATAAACTTAATTAGAGTTATAGAAGCCTAGGGGTAAAAGGAAAGTTAAAGAGGGTAGCAACAATAAATTTGTATATATAAATGAGATTCTGAAAGTTTGTGATGCTTTAAAGTATACCCCCAAACGATAGAAGGTTACTAAGGCAACGAAGGTTACGAATCTAATATAGGAAGTAGAGAGAGCCCTCGAATTAACACTTCAAGTTATTTACGAGCATTAGAATGAATAGATAAACATTTGAAATGGGTAAAATCCCTGCAAAAATGTCCAATTTTCGATGTCATCTGGGTCCTAGTTATGAAGTTACATGTGGCCCGTTGAGGGGGGTGGCCGCATGTGGGGTCACGATGTCTAGTGTACAGGGGTCTCTTCCAAGGTCAGGTCCAGTCCCCAGGTACGCACAACAAGGGGAACAAGGGGTTTGTTGATTACGTACTGTGCTCCCCTGCTGTGCCCAACAATGGATGAAGGATGGATGACGATCACCAACTCGATTATTCATGGAAGGGTGTGGAAGGAAGGGAAAAAAGGAGAAAATGGAGTTCTTTTCGGTTGTTGCAATGCCGTTGATCATCTATGGAATCTTCTCTCTTTACATTATTTTGTGGATACAGTACTCGCGCTCCTGTTGTGTCTCTCTGTTGGGGATGCGGCAATGATAGGGGGGGGTCATTCAAGGCCGGGGTCAGGGCTCAGGGGTACCATAACCGGGCGGCACTGGGCACGGCAACTGGGAAGCCTCAGGAGTTCAGTTCAAGGATTGTGATCAAGACCATGACAAGGATGGGGTGAGAGGCCGCCAGTCAGCGGCACAGGCAGGGAGGCAGGGAGGCAGACAGGGGTGGACCGAGTTTATGAGTTGGTGGTTGTTGGTATGGACCTGGACACCGAGGACACTCCCTTTTTACGCAATGAAGGGGGTAAGAGATGGGTTGATAGTTGGATAGGGGGGTTTGAAGAGATGTTGAGGTTGTGGCAGGAGGTGTTAGGTTGGGGTATATCCTCTTCTGTTCTCTTTATTTTGGGTGCTGGAGTGGTGGTTTATTCGCACCCACAACCTACCCGTCTACTAGCTCCTCGAAGTCTCGCAACTTTCTCTCCCTCCATCATCTACTGGACTTGCTTCGTTCAGCATTGTTTCTTCCTTTCCCCGCAGCTAGCTATCACCCATCCTTCTCCTCTGTCATGGACTTGAGTTGATCCATCTTGCAATTTTTTCCCCCTCTTGCTCCCATTCCTATTCTCTGATCAAATCTCGCCCTTTAGATCCCAGGCCGTAGCACACCCATCATCATCTGGCTTTCCCCATCCTCCCTTGTTCACCCCCCCCCCCCCCCCCCCCCCCAAAAGCAATGTAATCTGCCACTGCTCCCTCATCATATATCTCCTGCGATCTTGATTCCTCCATGTGCCCTGCTCTTCCTCTGCTTGCTCCCCCTACTTCTTACCACTGCTTCCACTGCTGCTGCTACTGCTGCTACTCCCGCTTGAACCCGAACTCGAACTCGACCCCGAGCCCGATGAGCTTGACCCGGAGGAACTGCTTGACGTCGGGGCGCTGATGGTGATTGTGGGGAGGAAGACGGGAATGATGGGGGTGTTTCTTCGGGGCTGCGACATCGTGATTTTTGGTTGATGGTATCGGGTGTGATGTAATCTCTTTTGCTTTATTCCTCGTGGATGTAGAACGTCAGGTTGCGGTAAAGCTGCTAGCTAATTCCCCGAGAACTTGCAGAGTTCTGAAGTTTTGCACGAATAAACACCTGATGGATCTTTTGTGCTATGATGCCTTCCGCAGTTCGGTTTCAGTGTTGTGTGGGTAAATAGATGTCTGCAGTTGAGATCCCGATGGTGCTCCGCTATTCAAGAATGGAAGGAGTGGGTGCAAGGAGTCCCGGTGGTTCCTGCCTAAATAGATCTTTGATGGAAAAAATTTTCATTGCGTGGCTCCCGTCGCTCTTGCTTGGTGATGAGGGCAGGAGCGATGCATAGAGGTGAGCCACGACACGATGGCAGCGTTTGCTTCAAATGTGGCGTTTTCCGTTCGTTTGAAGAAGGTTTCGGATGCGATCACGAGAATCTGTCTCATTCGATGCCAAGAGATCCCGTACCAGTGGCACATTAGTCGGAACTTTAATTCAGTAGGTAGACATCGTGGTTTACTGTTTCGCGAATTTGAAGCCATCATCGAACACCGACACCAATACCGTCACCGGCATCGAAGCCTCGGTTCGCGGGGGCAAGTCCACTCAGTCATCAATATACCAACAGTAGGAGGATGATGGGCCGCAAGAAACAAACTGAACGGCGTCCACCATGACATACAAACTGCGGAATGAAACGACTGATTTTGGTTGCGAAGAGCGACTCGATGCTGCGAGCCGCTGCCGTGGTTATCCCGGGATAGCTGCTTGGTTACTCCCCATTTTCCACCGCAGCTTTTACAGTACCGAGTAGATATGTGTTTGAAGAGGTTGATGGGCGCAAAATGGTCATTCATGGGAGGGCATCAATTCACGGATATCTTGATAACCATTTTTACCCGGTGAACATGGTCGGAGCACATACTACTCTTCGTTTTCTAGCGAGTCCAGATGTTGCTGGTCTGGCGAGCAAACCTGAACTGAGAATGTGATGGAGGAAGGAAGTGACGTTGAGATAGGCTTGGGATGAAAGGGGCGAGCAAGGATGGTCGTTGTCCACGATGCATCCACACTTACGAAGACCAGGGTATTTATTCTTCACGCGAAAACATACGCTAAGCGACGCCAAGATCTGGCGATAGCTTCATTGTCGTCATTAGCTTTCTTCTATCCAAATGACATGCAACGGAAATGTCGCTGTCGTGCACCGGCAAAAAAGTGCAAAAAAGTGCAAAAAAATAGTGACAAGAGCAGGGATCGAACGGCGGACGTACCAGAGATGGGAGGGAGTAGAAGAGCCCTATTTGCGTAGCCGGAAGACGCCATCTCAGAGTACTTCCCTGGCTGTGTTTTAGGCGGTCGTTAGCGGTTGTAGGCGATCGTGGGGGTGCCTCGGTGGCCCGCCGCCCAGGGCACACAGGGGCGCTCCAGGGCATGTGGTGCACAACCCTCTGTACACAAGTGCAATGAGAGCTCAGCACACCACACCGCTCGACCACGCTGCCACTTGTCTGTTGATTATGTGTTGAGTTGGGGTCACTTATAAACCCCCATTCGAGGTCATTCTGGGTTTACCTAAGATGCACCACAGCCACACAGCCACGCAGCATGTGCCTCCATATCTGCAAGCCTCTCATTGTCGCGCCACGATGCTGGAACAGAGAGTCCGTCATACTTCATGTTCGTTTACGACTTTGTTGGCGATCCATTTCCCAGGGCTGGAGGCAACAGTGACACTGGCCACCGCTTCGCCCGTGGGAAAGAGCTGATGGATTGCAAAGAGACCAGCAGGCAGAAATTATCGCGGCAAGTGCGGCAGACGAATTTGCGAGTCTTGGGTGTACGGGCAACTGGCAAGTGCAGAATACTTGACACACTTCCCTTCTAAATGAAGCTTGGGTCACAAGACTGCCTGCACATGTAGGTAGCTATTCACGCCCTGACCAAGGCAGTGCTACTATCGTGATGCTGATCACAGCTTGCGACCCGTGGCAAGTTCAACCCAAGCCTCAGTTTTGGGAGTCTTGCGACTCGGGTACAATCGGTTCTGGTGAAATCACTTGGTCCACGCCTGATGGCAACTTCCTGCTGGAACTGAACGTGATCCTACTGACTTCCTTCCGCTTCAAGTATAGGTGATTGAGGACGTGCAAGAGCAAAACTTTTCAGCGAAAGCACGCACGGACGGTAGAAAGCTCCTGCCAAGTTCGTGAAATCAGAGTCAGGAATGAAAGAGATCTTTTCGCTTTGCTGGATTTCCATCTTGAGCAGTATCGACTGTGGGATGGTGTTCTGTTGCATCGAGAACTTGAAACAAGTGGATTTCCCATTCATGACCTCGATTTCAACCCTCTACATACTCCCCCCAATAACTCACGCATTCTACAACCTACGGTGCATACACATCATGCCAAAGGTCCATAGGCCTTTCAAGCTTCTTGCCATTCTCGTGACTCAAAACCATCTCAATCACCAGTGTCTGCTGAGTGTTGACCGTCGTCGTCGTCGTCAACTCCTTCCCTCCAGTGACCTGTTCGGTGGGTGTCATCCATCCCTTATGAACAAGGGTGTCCCATCCTACAAGTGAAGTAGCAACAGAAGAGGGTCCTTTATTCCTTCTTGCCAATCATCGTTGCATGATGTGCCGCCAAACGTGATGTTGTGCAGTTTTTATTAGGAAGGATACTACGCTAGGTTCGGCCCGCCTCATTGGTGCGAAGGTGCGAACGGAGATCTCCGGAGTCCCGGCCACTTCCAGGCCCCGCCGGGAAACTTGTCACCTTAGATTTCAGCTTTCTCTCTCTCTTTTTCAAATCATTCTGGATTGTCTTGCTCTATAACCAGCTTCAACGTAGCACTTTTGGTGGCTTCCGGGCTTGAACAATTCGGTGAATTCGGCCACCAAACATGCACTGTTGAAACTCGGTGACATTCCTGGTGGGATGTCAAATCACCAAATCTAGAATGGAAATGGAAGAGCTCAGGAAGTTGGTTTCCTGATTAAAGTTTTGCCAGGATGTCCAACGGCCCAAAGGAAGAGGGCAAGTGCTACCTTGGAGCGACTTGGAGAGCTTCCGTTGACCAATAACCAACCTGACTCCCACCACTCAAATGATCGTCATAAGATTGCTCTTGCCAAGAAGGAGGGAAGCGTGGTACCTCGGAGGGACGGAGGGGGAGACCTCATGCAAGATCAGCACGAAAAGCAATATCCGCGTCATTCACGGAACTCCGTCGTGATGTCGCGGATCTCGTATCCGTCCCTCCACAAAAAGACAACGCGGACACTGTGACAAAGACAGGGCAGTTTGACAAAGGGGTCCAACAACTGAACAACACTGCCAAACAATGGCATTTCTTGTTTTTCCCATGCTTTGTGATGTCAGTCATTGAATTCGCTAGGTATTTGTCAATTCTCCCCGTCTTTCTCAGTACCTATCTATGCTGAAGATAACTGTTAGTCATTCACTGCAGTCAGTCGCTCCCAATCCAAAATGGGCAAAATGTTCAAAGAAAAAAGCGAATCATTTACTGGCTAGTAACTGCCTCACCTCCTCGCTCTGAAGACATAAAGCAGAGAGAATTTCTTTTTTAACAAAACTAGGCTTAGTTTCGAAAGGAATGGAAGATAGCATGCTATAAACAGGAAAAGAAGAAGATTCATTCCCAGATCATCACATCATGTGCATTCATCATTCACAACCCAGCTCACTCCCTCCAGACCATCTCTTTCGATTTTTGTTGTTCATTCACTCAAGTGAGAGTGAAGAATGGAGAGATTGTGAAGCCATCAGGCCCCACAAAGAACGGTACGTGTTTTTTTTCGTTTGCTTCCCAAAAGGGAAAAAAAAAACAAAGCTCAAACACCGCTTAGAAGCCAATGAGGCCGAGGAGACCGCCAGCAAGGCCGCCGAGGAGGGAGTGGAGGAGACCACCGACGAGGAAGAGCAGACCGGCGACAACCTTGTCGAGACACTTGAGCAGACCAGAGAGAGCGATGAGGAGAGGGGTGAGGAGGGGGATGAGGCAGCCTGTTTGATGATTTCAATGTTAGCTTGGAACTAAGTCCTTTCACCGGGCATGAATGTGAACCAGGAATGTACCAAGACCAAGCTTGATGATGAGGAACTTGAGGGTGCAGGTGATCTCATAGACGAGGATCTTGATTTTCAGGGTCAAGCAGTCCTTGTCGCAGGAGCCGCCATCGGTGCGGGCAACGGGCTCAGTCCAGAACTCGCGCTTGGAAAGGGTGGCGGTGGCTGTCTTGAGGGCGTCGGTGACGGCGTCGAAGTCGGGCTTGAGCTTGTTGGCGGCATCTGTCTGCTGAGCGAGGGTGGGGTTGTCGGGGTAAAGAGCGGCAGTTGCGTCTGTTTCAAGTTGTGGTTAGTATCCAACAAAGTTCGAGTCGAAACCGAAGATGGAGGAGAAAGGAAGACATACTCATGTTCGCGGTGTGCTGGCGAACAAGGGCGGTCAGCTGATCGATCTGATCAGCCTGGCTCTCGATCTGGCGCTCCGCGATGATGGGAGTCGCGAAAGCCGAGGCGGCGAGAGCAAAGAAAGAGAAGAAGATTCCGGCCTTCATTTTGATGGTTGGTGATTAAAGTTCTTGAAGAACGTTTGAAAGGAAGCTTTTTTGTGAAAGAGAGGCTGAGAGGGTTGTGAAGAGCTGGGAAGATCTGAGAACCCTGAGGCTGCTGATGCTGATGATGATGAGAAGAATGAGACTGGACTTGAGAGGAAAGGCCTCTATTTATGGCTTTCGATCGAGGTCAAGATGGTGTTGATCTTTGATGTTGTCGGTGATATCGTCTTCTCTCCTGTCAACTCCTCTTCCTCCTTCTCCTCGTCCTCGTCGTCCAGTCTTTGAGTGTATTCCCAGTGCCGATGGCAAGTGCCGATGGTCGGCGATGTTCATTTCTTTTTTAGGGCCCCTGATGATAGTGTAGGTGAAGCTTGCATGATCCACCAAGTCCAACCACCAAGGGAGATCACCAACTTGTGGACTAGGTTGAAACGGTGGCGAACATCCCAATTCTCCTCCTTCATCTGAGTAACTGAATGCATGATGACCATACGTGGCATGCCTCTTCTGTGGATATATGCAGCCATTCCCAGTTTCCTGACATGGTTATGGCGGCTGAATGGCCGGGGGAAGGCTGTACGGATCGAGGATAGACTCAAACTGTGATTTCCATGATATCACAGGAAAGGAAAGATTCAACGACGATCTCGATGCAAACACCAGATGGAATCAAGGTCCTAGACCCCATATTGGACGGCTGGTAGACAGCTATTTTATAGAAAGTTCCCTGCCGATCAAGGCTCCTTGAGTGCCGTGTTGAACGCGGGCATCACACAAACTAACGCAGAAAGACCGGAATAACCGCCCGGATCTAACCCGTCTTTACATGAGATGGTTGATGGTTCTTTGGCATTCGAGACTCCTATGTAACGAGCGCAGGTGAAGCAGCTTCTCAGTAGGTGAATAGAGTGTCTTTCAAGGAGTCGGCCTTCACAATCGAACGTATGTCGTGACGTACCCACATGTAGTCAGCCGCATCTCATGCTGGTCAGGCGTGACTCGAGGGGATTCAAGACTTCTCTGAAGGGGGAGACGACCAGTGTGCTTCCACTAGGGAGTCAATTGGGTATCTGGGATGGACCCATCCACAATGAACCCCTTCCTGAACCTCTAAATCCTACTGTGCAAGATCACTGGTGACAAACAGGAGCCAGGGGCATGTGTCCGACTGGACGATAGCCCATTGGCCACCCAATACTTGCGGCGCATAGGACAATAGCTTCAATTGCCAAGTTCTTGATAATAATATGGAGAAGCGGATGGAATACCGCATTGTTCTGCATGTTGAGGAGGCCTAAACCGCCGAGTCCTTCGTTGATGCCACCTGATGATGTCAGACAACATGACCATCATGAATTTTTTGGTCGTCGTTGTTGGCCTGTTTGTGAGAAGTCATAATCCAATATATACGGGCGTGGAATTGGGCCAGACTCGAGCACTGGACTTACACGACACGGTCTGAAGGAAAATTTTGACAACTTGTGCGTTCTCGATGTACTAGGCCTGGCAAGGCTGATAGCCTGGTGAAACTGTTGATCCGCTTGAAAATCCTACAAAGGATCAACGTGAGTAGAGGTAGTCTCACCGTAGCAGATGATCATTTCTCAGCTTGGTATAGACTGTGGAGAGGTCTGGAAGAACACGAACCTGTGGGTGAAACTGGTAGGCAGACCGTTTGCTCAATGTCTCAGTGCGGGAATCACGACATTTGAGACCTGGCATTCGATCAACAGGGCGGAAGCTACAGTGTATAGCCCATGGACGAATAGTTGTCGAGTGTCATACTGTATGGAATAAATCCCTGTTCATCTTCCTCCTATGGGCTATGCGGAACGGCCCATGTGGTGACGGACTGACGGGTGTACCACCTCCCACAAACCCGGACGACAAAAAAAGAACAAGCCAAGTGTAGCTGAGCCGCTGCAATTTGCCAGCTGTAAATCTGGACGGCACTGTGCTTTGCGAAAAGGCGGTTGGATAGCTCTGACAATTGCGGGGAGATTGACTCTAGATTATTGTCGTTACATTTTCACTATAGGCCAATATACCTGTACCCAGAATTAGCAATGATCGACACCATAAGGATGCGTAAACAACGAAGTCCTTTGACAGAATTTCGGAAACGAATATTAGGGCTATACGAAAGATACGTATCTTTTCCGCTTACATCTTGCAAGCCAAACCAAACCCGCTATATAGCTAACCCATATAAAAAGGCCCCTTTTGGGCGCGCTAAATTTACTGGTGAAGTCCGTTTTTTAATACAGTAATTTTTCGTAAAGTTGTGGTGAAAGTTTTAAAGAGGAGAGACTTGGGGTTGGACTAGCGACTTGGCGCCAAGAGACACTGCTTGGCCACCAGAAAAGGGCGAAGTAGAGAAGGTACGTATCTTTCGTATAGCCCTAATAATCGATACCAGAATTTCGAACCCGTGATCTCCATAATGCTTCAGATATGATCCAAGTTGCCAAGCCAAGCGTACAGTACCATGTTAGGTGGAGGCATCTGGTGCGGTGTCGAGGGTGTACATGTCTGGTCATGACAATCCTAAGATGGGCCCTGCCAATATCATCTGTCACTTGTCAGCTTGGATCGACGATAGTAAAGCTTGTTAGCCTATCAGAGCAACACAACTCACCCGATCTCAACAGAGGCTGTAAACCGTTGAGATCTCTTACGACAGCCCAAAGGGTATAGGATCTGCATTGCAGCACAGTGTCGTGCTGTCCTTTGTGGAGGCGAGCTGTACGGAGATCGCAGCGTTGCGTTCCACTGCAGAGAAAATGGCCGTGCGGGCGCGTGTCATAACCGCAGGAAATCCTTTCAGCTGCGCTGCCAGCGAGCTAGACACAGAACAGGAACAACGGTCCGGACCACATTGGCCGCCCCATCTTAGGCTTCAGCTCGCCAGCTCGAGGACAAGCACGACAAGATCGAATTATGGTGCATGATGGCAAGGTTGACCACCAAATCAGGCTTGACTATTCCAGAGCGTGGGTTTCCATAGTTGCTAGGTTGTTGCAAGAAACGATGGCGAGAGCTCACGGAAGATGGTAACGTTGTATAGCGCCGAGAGCCCGAGAGCGGACGGACCACGACATACATACCAGTTTCGGCCCACGGAGCAACATGCACCCGCCGTTGTCGGAGAGCGGCTCGGTGAGGAGGGTATCCTGCAGAGTGCATACTGCGGTTGGCGAGCTGCCATGATGTCGGATCAACACCTCCTGACGGCCAGCCAGCCACCCCTAGGTCACGGCATCGTTGCGTGAAACTCGCAGCTGGTGAGCGCCCGCTCGAAGGACAAAGGTTGGTAGTCATTTTCAAGCTCTGATCAGTTGTGTCGTGTCGTGTTGGTGTAGCCAACAGTCCACTCTCTTCGTTTCTCGGTCGGTCCAACCATCCGGACGCTGCACAACGATTTGTCATGGAGCGTAGTGAGCTGTGCTGCTCAACTACAACTGAGACAAGCGCCGTTGAAGACGCACGAAGGGAGAAATGCCAGTCATCTGCTTTAGTAGCATCGCCACCCTGGCCAGTGCTACAGTACCCTGATTTGACAGCGGGAAGGGCCGGAAAATCCACCGTACAGGGGCTTGAACACGAAGTTGTGGATCGCTCCACAGCGCTAAAGACGCACCCAAGCCCACTCCATACTTGTAGGTGCCCTGTCGACTCTTGAACTTGACCCACCACACACCCAGGGGCAACTTCACTCCATCGTCGACTCGACTCTGGTGACAAGCTGGGATATGGCATTGATCGGCCACATCAGCGGAAACCTCATGGACATGTTGGACCCGGGGCGGGTGACCGGAAGAAAGCGGCCGTGGCCAACGTGTATCTTGCTCCCGGCATCTCCGGCTCGTTCTCGGCCACCCCGGGATGAGGTGGAGGGCCGGCAGCCACCGACTCACCGTGACAGCGCCTTGGAAATCGGCGACGACATCGGCGACGACATCGGTGATAACAGCCGTGATGACAGCGGTCAACGGATTGCCGGCAAAGGTTGAATCTCTCCACGGAATGAAGAGATGCTCTTCAGACAGACGATATGATATCACTGTGCAGGCCAATTTGTTGTTGGTCAGGAGCGCACAAATCGGGCGACAGCTGGAAAGTCTCTGCGTTTGTCTGGAGTTGGACGATTGCTGATGGAACGTTTCCGCAATATCGAGATGGAATCTTGATGGAAGGCTGTTTCTCGACGTCAGGTTCCCAAGTGCGGTGCCGTCAATAACAGAAACCAGTTAAGGAGCAGCAGAAGCCTGCAAATGTCAAGTGGTCCGTCATGAAAATCCGGGGAGGGCGGGAGATGGTCGAAAGTTTGGTTGCTGATGTGGCTGTATGGAATCTAACCAATCGATGGGGGGTTCTTGTCTGTTTGTACCGGGTGCAGTGCCCACTGCCACTTGCCATTTTTACTCATTCATTCTCTGTCTTCGTTGTTCCTTCCTCGTTGGGCTGGAGTTGGAAGGACGCAAATCTGACAACCATCAAAGATTTTGTGCAACATACTACAGCAATCCTGCTAATTTGGCAGTTGCCATATGCAATTCGTGCGCTCTCCTTGGTTGTAGATGGCAGTTGCAGCCCTATCAGAACCACATCTTCTCAGTGGTGCTTCCTTCCACTTTCCTTTTGCTTTCTTGCTGCTTGTGCCCTCTTCAACACATTGCAACCGCGAACCTTGGTGGCCTTGGCTGCTCTTCACAGATTGCTGGTACAATTTTCCGTCTCTTCTCCCTGCTCGTGCTGTTGGGAAGGAGCCCATCACACGTATAGAGAAGGCGAGTTCCGGTCATCGCAAGTTCACTCCAATCCAGTTCAGCCGGGCAGTTGCAAAAGCCCGAGGGAAGCATCATCGGATACATTCATGAGACGGGAATGCAACAAGACCTCCCAGACCCGACTCTCAAATCTACCTCCCGTCTACATGAGCTGTCATCGTCATCATCGGCTAGATGTCACCGCCAGGTCCCGTCAGCCAGACCTTCTCTCGTCCTCCAACAAAATCCAATCCATCACTACCCGTTGGGGCACTGACCACCTCACCAACGGGTACTACGACAAGAAGACTGCCGGCGGTGAATCCAGCTATAGTATTGATAGGTACCTATTGTCAGTTCTTCATTCTGACTACCAGCTGTGTACAGGTGTCGGTTTCTCCAGGCTGTTCCTGCACTGTCAAGGACGCCCGTCAACGGGCCGAGCACTGGATATGACCAACACCACGATCCGATGCTTCTAGTACTTGTTTCTGCCGCGAACATGCACCTTATCCGACACAGTTTGAGAGACGAATACAAGGCCAGGCAGTCTGCACTCCTTCCTTACATTAGCGAGGCAAGCCTGCCCTGATGTTGACATAAAACTGGCAGAACAGTCAAACGGTATGTCCCCCGTCACCGTCTGATATTAACGTGGCAGCTGTATTGGTGACTTGTACACACTCCAGGAAGCGATACACAAAATACGATATGCTGATAAGGACTTCGTCATAAATACAATAGTTCTTATCTAATTGTGCTTAAAAATTGTAAGAGTTTTCATCGAGGCCGTTACCGCATTCCAAAAACTCTTTTTGTCTTTTTTTCATCGGTTCATTCTTCAATTCCGGCGCCGTTATACGCGGAAGTCTAACTTGTTTTGAAAATATCCGAGTGTCTTGACTTTCTATTCCGTGACCGCTGATGTCCAGAGGTCTGCATCCTACGAAAGTGATTTGTTTTGGAGAAGTCGTGTGTACGTGATACAACAATGGCCAGGCTTAGGGTTTTCCAGCTTGAGTGAGTAAACGGTCCAAATTTCCAACTTACACACACAACCCTGCACCAAGATCCACTGCTAACGGATGTTTCTCTACAAAGATGACAGACGATGTCTCGAAATCCATTCCGCCGAACATCTTGCGTCGACAAGCTCATCGATTTCAAGCCGCAAGCACCACATCCGCTGCCCAGACCACTGGCTTCCTCTAGTACAGAACTGAGCTCGACTGCAGGTGGAATGGAAGTTTGTGTTGGCCATCAGTCGAAGCAGCTACACGACAGTCTCTACCTCCTCAATCACCGTATAATCTCGTAAAATTGGGATTCGGAACTGCAGAGTCTAAGGTGTACGACAACCACGTACATGCTCTTCAATCACTGCCGATAGCATTTGGCGGACCTTCAACCCTACTGTATCTCACGACACCCAATCCCAATTTCCCGAGGTTTTACGCCATGTTGCCTGGAAACCTCGGAGGGGGCCGAGGTTTCGTCTGTCCTCGGCAGACTGTCAACATGCAGGAGCCGTATCTCTTCTGAAGCAGGCTTTTCAGAAAGAACCAAACAGGAATTACACAGCCTCGAGCGCAGGATACATGCATCGCCAAGGCATCGCCAAACCATGCCTGGTAAAATCTAGAGGTTTTTGCGCATTCGACTGGCTCTGTATCCAACTTCAGCCGGTAATGTCGCTCGACCGTCCAAGTTGAAACGGAGGACAATGCTCGTCAGGGCTCGAGTGGCTCGAATTGCATTTGCCCTTTTCTCTGTTGTATAAGAAGGTCGAACATCGCCCGAGACTGTTAGATCTCGAACAAAGACAGGTCAAGCTGAGGCCGTTACATGTACCAGAAGTGACTTTGAACCAAGATGCTGAATTAAAAGTCGCTCGTTGACGCCTTCTTTTCTACTTCCTCGAGGCCTTCTTTTCTACTTCCTCGAGGCCTTCTTTTCTACTTCCTCGAGGCCTTCTTTTCTACTTCCTCGAGGCCTTCTTTTCTACTTCCTCGAGGCCAGTTTGCCTTGCCTCCTTCGGGCTACGCAGTTCCGTCACGTCACCATTACCCGCTCGATTGGCTGTTCTGGTCTGGTAAGTGGCGATGGTGAGAGCACTGTCAACTCAACGTTCACTAATCGTGTGACTGGCAGATATTTTCCCAAAGTCGCACCACGCACGAGGGTAGTTTATGAACCACTCTTAACTGAGGCACCGAAACACAGGAGAACCGAGTGTTTGGCCATTTGTCTTGCTGCGGAAACCTCGGTTCTATGGAGGAGATGGCCGGCCCTGAGCGGATGGACTCGGTGTGCAGGGTGAAGGTTGTACACCAGATGGCCTGTGATACGCGCCCACGCTTGCCGGATGGAACGCTCGACCGCGATCCGTCCAGTCGGCCTAAGAGTTGCTGGGAGGCTTGTCCAGCCCGGCAGGCCCTTTTGCGCCCAGTACCCCAACATGTTACGCGCAGCTGCTACATACCAAAGTGGTTTAAATGCCCTTATGGACACAGCTGCTGTTGGGCTACAGTCCGCCACATCACCTACGGCTCCTCCGGTTGCACGTGCGATCGAGCCCAGGAGGCTGAACACTCTTATGTCGAGAAGCCGCTTCCAGGATTGATGCATAACACCTGGTATCCGCTGACAGCTTCGTCGGAAGCCGCTCGTGCATCGACTTCAGATGTTTCCGATCCTAGAGGTCCTCTGGCCGGGTATTTAAGCGCCGAAAATTTGTCAGGACTGACGGCGACTTCCGCTACACCAAAAACGAATGTGGCGAGCAACTTCCCCCTTACTGTTGCGGCTCTCGATACACCAGGAACGACCGCAGCGAGCAACTCCTCCCTCAACGCTGCCACTCCCGCTACGCCAGAAACGGCCGTGACGGGCGAGGATGATGATGTCTCCCGGACTACACTCAGTACGGCAACCACACCCAGCATGGCAGTCACGCCCAGTACAGCAGCCACTCCCAGTGCAGCAGGTACTCCTGTGACAGAAAGCATTCTTAGCGTTAGGGTGGGATCATGGCCCGGATGGGTGAATCCATTTGGGCTTCGGCCGCCCCCAGGGTTCACTCCGGAGGATTGTGGCGATAAGAATCGCTAAAATCACGTGGATCTGAAGACCTTGATCTGATGGGCACATCGCCATCTGCTGGTGATCGAACGGGGTACTTCTTCCTGCAAACATCAAATCAAGGCAACCCTCACCATACTTCGTCTCTCGTTTTCACACAGGGAGAACAAGTAGGACGTGTTAGGGGAGAAGATATCTTTACCAGATGTGCGGGATGTGGGAGTGATGTATGGTTGACAGTTTTTGAAGAGGGGAGGGATGACTGGGAAGTAATGGGCGGCCCAGATCCTGAAGGTCGTGGCATGCGTTGACATTGTAGCGAATATGGCGTTTAGCTATAGCTTGTACCTTACGTTGGTTGCAGATCATAAGCATCCATTTTCTGGATTTGCAAATCAGTCAGTCCGTATCGCGGTGGTGCCTTTGTGAACATACGTGGACAAACTGGATCAAGGTCTTGAAGTCATGCTGAATAGCCGGGGACAACCTGAATAGAGTGCCGGGCCTCATACCAAAGGTAGAACCAGCTCGCTGGCGATTCAATCCTTAACTTTGCAAGCGCATTGGGCATTTTGACTCTCTCTTCCAAAGGGCTTGCTTTGTTAACTTCGGTTGCGATTTCGCTCTGTAAGGGTTTCTGCGTTGACAGTCGTGTTTGCTCTTTCCTCTTTCCTTTGGTGATACTGACTGAAATCGCTTTCACGCTTGGGATGTTCCTTCCACGCCCAGCCGACCATGGTCCGTGAAACTTCTACCTGTGACTCAAATCTCCCATTTGGTCAATCCTAATCTTCCTCATTTCTTCCACCTCTTCTCCTCGCCGTCTATTTGTCCTTGGATCATTACCCTCGAAGACACCTTGCCTTTTCCCGACCGGCCTGAATACACTTTCGGTTCATCTTTACCCATCCAGCTTTCGATTCTACTCGACACGATGTCCCGGCAACGTCGACACACCATTAGTGGTCCTCAACCCAACACGCAGGATATCGTTTCCGCAGGCTCACAGATACTTCCAACGAACGTTGATCGTGGTTCTTCGTCTGCCACCTGGCAGGCTGACCATGAGGTGGTTGATGCGACGACGCAGACGAGTGACCAAGCTGCTGATATAGCCGATATGCCGCCACTCACTGGGGCCAACAACAATTCCCATCATCTCTCGGCCCTCGCGCAATCCAGATCAGACAGAATACCTGAATTGACCGAAGCCTTCACGCAACTGGGGACTGGCGATGAATCACGTTCCCACCCGGGACTTGACACACCTTCCAACCCGAGACCTGGTACACCTTCTTCCACAGCTACGATACCTGTGGGGGTCCACGGACTGTACGAATTGTTCGATCATGTGCCTCGTCAGACCTTTTTTAGGCATGTCGTACGCGATATACCAATGGCCTCCTTCGATGCATTCGTAGGGGCACTGGTTCAAACCGGTTATTTGGATTGGGAGGACGACGACCTACCCATAAACCCACCAACAAGAGTCGCGATCATGGCCTTGACATTTCAGCAGCTTGTATCTCCCTCTGAACTCAACCTGCCTCCAGATGTCGTTGAAAGGTTAGTGCCAATGGTTAGCCTAAATGTTGCGGACCGCACGAATAGTGGCTGACTTAATTTTCCAGGATTTTCATCGACATCTCCAAAGCCATCTGTCTACTGTGTGGGAGGCCAGGGACGCCACAATGGTTTTTGGACGTCGCCACAAAACTTCGTGGTCTCAAAAACATGTAAGCCGAATAGACAATTCCCTAGCGCTTCGAAAAACGTCGGTTTTTTGAGCAGCGTCATTTTGGCCAGACACTTGCACAAACTCATGGGATCATGGATGAAGTACGTTGGCTTGTGCAATGCTAACGGTCGACGGTGGACATAGAACCATCACTGACCCGCATGAGTCAAACATTGAGCCGGATGGTGCATGAAATGTATAGGAACCCGAGCAGATATGATGGGAGGAAAGCGTAAATTATCAGCACCCAAGCGAAGCATGTAAATCGGTATTCAGTAACATCTTAGGACCTTAGAAATCCCAGCTTTCATCCTCCCACTACCCATGTCCCGGCTGGGTAACTTCTGCTCCTGCAAAACATGAGCTAGGAGTGTCGCCGGGGCTTTTTGTGTAAGATCTCAGACGTCTAACATTTCTTCCCAAAGACGTACATTAGGTTCTGGTCCATTCCTACCGTAGTTTGCTTGAATGATATCGGCAGAGACTCCCGTCCCTCTCAACATCAGACGATAAAAACGATGTTTGGTAGCTCATTGGCCGTTGCTCGATCAAGTCTTCATGTCATTGTCCCCAGGGTTTCTGACTCACGTTCATATCCCGTGACAGTTTGGTCCGACACCGAGCAGAATAGCGGTCAGGACGATGTGATAAGCGTTCTTGTTCAAGCCGAACATTGGTTGTTGGATATAGGGACGACAAAAGGGTCTTCCCGTCCATGTCCTTGATGTGAGTAATGACCTTTATGTCCATGTCCCGAATGTAAGTGAGCATTGGGAGGACAGACTGCTGCACTGTCGGTCATCATATGGCACACACCCGTCCACCATATACTTCGTGGGCGGTTGGGATTGGTTCGTAGTCAGCTGAGTGTCGTGCCATTCTAGGTAGAGAATTCTGATAGCTAGAGGTAGCAGGTATGATTGGTTCCTTCGGCGTATGTTTGTTGCATCTGTGTGTGTGGTTCTGGATATTCTAGATGTTCGGGCGCTGTGGTCTGCGGACTAGGATTCCCTTATAGAGGTAGGTAGTTTCGGTAGTTTGGTGATAATGTTATAGAAATGCTTCGGCCCTGATCTTGATCTTTAATAGGAGGAGTTGGATGCTTACAAGTAGGAGCTCTATCTAACTGGACGAATGTTGACGTTCACAGTTTCGGGTTTGGGTTGAGGTCTTGAGGATCGGTCTATATCTGTTGGAAGTCCGTGCTTTGGGCGCCCAGTGCCATTCACTGGGCTTCCATCTGCTGGGTATTTAGGCTGCCCTGCTTTCCGTTTCTCCTCTTCCGTTACAACCACAGAATCACAGCCCTTTTCCTGTCGTTGCCTTTCCACCTCCGTCAGTATCCTTAGGCTAGAGGGTGTCCTATGGATGGTCGCGACAGAATTGGGGTGTGCGGTAGGTAGCCACTTGGCTCTAGAGATACCCTAGAGATATGTGAGGCCTTCGGTTGATATTGTAAATATTCTACCCGGATCTTGAACTCCGTGATTTGAGGTGGTATGTTCAGTTGATCCTCTAGAGCACCTATGGTCCTGCGTACCTCGGGTCTCGCGTCAAGTTATTGTTCCGTCGGTGTGGATGTCCTAATGATGATGTCCCTTTTGTCCCCGTGACTTCTGTATCGACTTTTCACGTACGTGCTTATGCATGGTCGTACAACAAGAACAGACATCCATGCGCCGCCCGCATGAAAAATGATTCCTAACAGCAGACTGTCGTATTGTATAGCTGAGGTGCGCAACTTTCGTGGTGTATAAATGGTCGTGCTAAAGAATGATGATGCTGGTCGCTGATCCTGCGGTAAAAGCTGCCGGGAGTATTTAAAATGAGGCCTGTTTGAGACTTAGTAATGTAAGAGGGATCTCGATCATGAGGGGTAGACCGAGAATGTAGGAGTGATGAAGAGGAGAGAGAAAAATTGTCGAGAAGAAATTGAACGGACAGTGCGGAGAGCATAACGCTTGGTGCATATACAACGGCTTACTCGATGCTTGGACACGTGTACTGCTTATGCCGGTGATTGTTGCCCTTCACTTGTGCCGGAATTCTAGTCCGTAATTTACTTCTAGCGATGTTTGTGTCTTGGTCTGTGCGAGTCATGTTTTACGACCCTTTTTGTATACTAGAATTTCTACGTAGACTCGTCGTATGTTCGCTTCCGTCTTAACTGTGTAACGCCAAGGATAGTTACAATACGTAGTATCATCGTCCCGAATCATCGACACTGTCTGGCTCACTGCCATGATCTGTTATTCTCTCCATCTCCTACTTGGCATTTATCTCCATCTATCGTTGTATGCACATAGACTGATAAGAGCAGAGCGAGCCTCCTACGTTTATAAAAGCTATTGACTCGCTCAGCTACGCATCTTAATACCTGGTTGGGTATCAACGTAAGTTTCCACATGCACTAGGATTAATGGTTGCCAGTCCTACCCGAGGTCCACTATCGCCAACTCAGTCAGCCATACGTGCCATATCATTGGGCAGCTGCGAACCACTTAAACCCTAAATGGCATGCGCGTGAGATACGATACGGATCATACGAGCTGTCCTAGCGAGAGTGGCTGGGTATTTGTATCAGCTAGGAAAAAATTACCAATATTACACCGCGTCTAGCATACCTCTAGGACAAAATAGACAGCGCCAGTTCAACCACAATCAATCTCATCCTTACATCGCACAAACCACCTCTCATCAACCATAAGATTTACTAATTTCGACCCGGTGCTCACCCACCGTTCTTTTATAACTCGACTAGTAATCGCTTTTCTCATTCCCAGTCCACGGCATGTTCTCAAACCTCAAACCTTCATACGGTTAGACGCGGTTTATCTCCAAGCGGAGACGGAGAACTTGCACAATTTGAACCGAACATTGCGTCCACTCGAGCGCCCTTCTAGCTCGCCTCAGCTTTCGGTCAACAACAACACCAGCTCACGAGTCGCAGCTTCCCGCGCGACAACCAAGCGCTGAAGGGAACTTGTACTCAACCCAGGCGACCGGGAAGGAAGGCCCCAAGGGAGCCGTTCTCACGCGTTCACAACGTGGCCAACCCATCAAATCCAACGGCTAGCCAAAGAAGAACACCGGACACGGGAAACCGGCGATTGCCTGACATCGCGCGATCCGGTCTCCATCTTTGGCACCTGGATTGCCGTCTTCGCCTATCCCTCACATTATGAGGATCGGCCGTTCATCCTAACCCGGATCTACTGTTCCCAGTTATTGAAAGGCGAACCTCTGAGGCGCGGTTGACACTCGGCGCAAAATGGATATTTATCGAGCATATGAGCTTCACTTCCGGTTGAGCAAGGAAGTAGACGATCTCGAAAAGGAACTCGAGGCCGAGAAGCAAAATGCATCACGAGAGCTGCAGAAAGCGAAAAATGAGATCGAGGACAGAAGGCTCGAGGAGAGGTTAATGCTCCAGAAAAGCCTCGGTACCATACCTCCGAACCTCGGGCAGTTTATTGAAGACAAGCGAGACTTTTATCTGCGTCAAGCTACTCAAAACTACGAGGCAAGGTTGGAAAACGACCGGAAAAGGTTTGTCGAAAAGGTTTCCGCCGTGAACGAGAAATGGAGAACGCTACCTTTCGACATAGAAGATACTGTAGGTGTATATTCCACTCTCCACTAAGTTCACAATTGGGACATATACTGATCGAACAATGTTAGTCAACTCCATTTACGGAGCTGCCATTATCGAGACTGTCGCTACCTCTAGGCACGAAGGCACCTGAGCTGTCGAATGGTACAAGGACACCTGGAATGCCCATGCCCATGCCTTCTTCTACGCAAAAACCTCTGCCTCCCACGCAGCTTGCGCCTAGAGCTCACCCAGCGGCTGGTTTTCCTGTCTTTAACCCGTCAAATCTGTTACCTAAGCCACCGACGGCAGTCCCTGCAGCATCGGTGCAGAAGACTGTGCCCGCTTCATCTACTTCCAAGCGTCCCATCACAGAGACTCAGTCTCCTAACGAGATGATTGCAAACGAGCAACAACCGGCAAAGCGTCCATCCACGAAACGATCCATCACTTTCACTGAGGTGTACCAAGACGGCAATGCCAAGTTCAAGCACATCATAGTCGAGTACCCTCCTGAGAGCGGAGAGTTTTACATTCTCAAGTGTGATGACCATGGCGTTCACTTTGGAGCCAATCCTCTCGCGGGAGCTGCTAAACACCTGGCAAGTAGGATGCATGACCACCAGTCCAAGAACTATAGCGTTGCTATTGATACTCTGGGCTTTCGCGTCATTGGGTGCAATGCAGAATTGGCACGGATGAACAACACAGCGGTCGAAGAAGCTGCCGTAAACGGATACAGGCCGGTCAACTTGCTTCAACTGAGCGTGGGAAAACGGGCGCGATATGTGGAGGCGAATCCCGAGTTTGCTAATTCCTTTCCCACTCCCATTCCTCCTCTAGCCTCACCAGCAGCTGAGGCACTGGTTCCCGCGATGGCACCGCCTTCGTTGCAAGAGACCGCTAGTCCGGCGATGGCACCGCCTTCGTTGCGAGAGACCGCTAGTCCGGCGATGGCACCGCCTCCGTTGCGAGATCCCTCTACCCCTAGTCCGGCGAAAGACCGACGGAAGAGCTTGCACGTGCGGACACCGTCGGATCGCAGCACACGTTCAGCTGTCTTAATTCCCGATCCCAAACCAGCTAGCCTCTACAAAGGGTTTTGGGTTCAAGACAAACGGCATTATCCTGTCATGGTCTTGCCGGTAAAAGAGGCAGACTTGAGTTCAGTCGGACTCCAAAAGACACTAGAGGATATCAAGCTCTTGCAGAACGTGCCTCTTTGCTATAAACTTGGTAAAATAGCAGGAGGAAAGATCAAGTTCGAAGGGTGGGCCCCGGGGTACGAGGATGGCGGGCCTTTGGTCAAGCTTAGGCAGGTGCCGGTCATGTATTTTGACCGAGACATGTAAGTTCCATTTCTGAAGCCGAACCTGGGCCTTTGTTCCAATCCACTAACTTTGCACCATTCAGGTCGTTCGGCTGGCTCTCTATTAAGGATATTTCAGCATTTGACTTTGATGACCCGGACTGGCGTCAAATACCCTACTTTCAAAAGGCTGTTGAGCACTGGGAAAGTCTGAACAAGGTGGGCGCGGACGGTGCACAAGAACCTCGCTTGGAACCTATCCCGGCAACTCTCCCAGAACCCGCACGGAATCCAGCCGCCCCGGCAGCAGCAGCGGCACCAACAGCCTCAATGGCACCAACAGCCTCAATGGCATCAACAGCATCAACAGGGCCAACAGCAGCTTCGTCTGGACCTCAATCTGTCCCGGCGGCAGTCCCACAACCCACACAGAAGCCAGCAATTCCAGCAGCAGCAGTGGCACCAAAACCAGCACCGCCTCGACCTCAACCTGTTTCGGCGGCTGTCTCCAAACCCCCGGCAGCAGTAGTAGCACCACCCAGAGCAGCTCCGTCTCGACCTCAACCTGCCTCGGTGGCTGTCTCTAAACCCCCCACGGTGGTAGTAGCACCACCTACAGCAGCTCCGTCTCAACCCCAAACTGCCGCAGCGACTGTGACAAAGCCCACGCGGACTCCAGCTGCTCCGACAGCAGTAATGCCACCAACATTAGCTTCGTCGCGACCTCAGCCAGTGTCAGCGGCTGTCCCTAAATCTCCGGCAGCAGCAGTAACACCACCAACTGCCGCGGCGACTCCTACAATGTCAAAGCCCGTTGCTCCTAGCACTGTGAGTGTACCAATTCAGTCGGGTCCGAACGGCATTCCCCCGGCCGTGGTACGGTTGGCGGAGATCGCTAAGACCGATCCTCAGCTTAGAGCTCTGATAGAGAGAGTGAGTTCGAAGCAGGGCACTAAGGAGGAGAATGAACGGTTAGAGAGCATCGTTGACCGCATTGCTTTGGAGCTTAGTAGCTCTGGTGAAGCGGTAGCAGCTACAGTTCAGCTTTTACAACCCAATTCGGTCACTTCAGACCCCAAGAATGCGACGGCGCGGGCCGCAGCTTTTGGAGCACCAGCCAGCCGGCCGCCTTCACTAGCAGCTCCGAGCCTAAAGGAGGGCAAGAAGGGTCATGGCACAGGTCTTAAATCACCGGAGTCATCTAAGCCGCCAACACCGCAGTTGAGCAAGGCAGCAATCCCGGCGGCGGCGGCCCCGTCTCCCTTGGTCACAGCAGGCCCGACGCCAGACTCTAGCAAGGCTAGCTCGCGTACTACCTCTCCGACTGAGGCTCCTACCTCTACCCCGATCAACAACCCGCCAGCCAAGCCGGCAACCTTTGTCAAACCCGAGAATGGGGTCACCACGACGCCGCCGACAACGAAGACGACGCAGCCTCAGAACGAGAAGTTTGAAGTGTCCATCGAGAAGGGCAGCTGGAACGTGGAGACTAAGTGCCCCATGGAGGACAACCTTTCAGTCCGGTTGATAGCGTGCAACCAAACCAAGATTGCTTCCACAGCGCCTGGTATGGCATATAAGTATTGCCCATACAAGTTCGAGATCGACCCCAACAACTTTGCCAGCGTCGTGGTCGAGAATTGCCCATCAAACCCAAACGCGAAGACGATCGTAACGATGATCCTCAAGAAGGAGCGAGAGGGCAGCGGAGACAGGACGGTGGTCCTGACGTTCGATCGGTTCGTGAATCCGGACACCAAGGCGGTGGAGAGCGGGCGCGTGCAGGCCAGACGGTTCTGTCGGTGGTTGAGGGGGGTTAATACGAGCATTGCGTACTCTAACAAGAGGTTGGTGGTGTGATATCCTGTGATAGTGACATTCGCTAACTTTTTTATCGAACCCTTTAGTTTCAAATAAATATTATATCCCCGTCCGGTCTCGTTGGGAGGAATTATTCGACTTGGCCTGGAGTTGATGGTGATGCACGAGGGAAGGGCTGGAAATTTTGCCGGGCTCGCGGGAATACCATGTTTTTATTCGGAACCGATCATGGCTCTTTTGGTAAAGGTTTCTATGCATATAGTATCTGAGGAGACCAAGATCATTTCCGGTATGGGAGGTAACGGTCTGGTCAAGGTGTACTTTTCTGTACTTATCACGAGTTACGAGACTAAATGCATATTAGGGATGGGTCGTGGGGAATGACTGGGCTCGGTTACAAGTGTAGACCACTCTTTCACCTCCCTTTCTTCACAAATCGGTAGTAAGGAACTTTTTAAGATTTTCAAGTAAGAATAGTGCATAGCGTTTTCGGATCAAATTCCTGGTGACATCATTGTCGGAGGAGGACAGCAGGGCCCTGTGCGATCGTCAAGTGCCGAAGGGGGCGATTGGCATGCATGAGGCCAGGAACAATTTGCATGTGAAGGCGGCCGCGGTATCATGACGAGATGATGGGGTGCTAAATGCTTCTTTGCAGTGCTAGACCGCCCCGACGCCCCGCTTGAAGCCGCCATAGCTCGGCGGCCTTCAGGCCCCACTACTTGAGATCTTAACTCACGTGGAATCAGACACAGTGACAAGAAGACAATTGCAGCTTGCCAACCCAACTAAAGAGTTGTCTGTCCACTTTCATGATCCGCTTTCCTCCTGTCGCTCTTGGTTGTTCCTGTTTACGCCTCTTTATTTCCTCAACATTCTACTATATTGAATTCAGTCCTCTCCACGTGCGCATCTCCGCAGCTTCTAGCGCCGACTCCATTGATCTGACCGCAAACCGCAAAAAACAACACTTACAAGCCTGGGGAAGAAGGTCGGGGCGCACATATTCGCGGCCTATGACGTTGGGCTAAGACTCGAAGGAGCCATTCATGGGCGCGTGCTACCTCTACCGTTGGGCTTGCGTGCGGAGAGTGAACCGTACACAAACGACCACTATCACCATCAGTTCCAGCCATCATCATCGTCATCGTCATCCTTCTTCTTTTACCTCCTCCTCCTCCTCCTCCACCTGCGGCTGCTCCTGATTAATGGCTGCATTCGTGAGTTCTGCCCTTTTCTTACATACCTGAATACTACTCCTACGGGCTCTTTGCTTCGTCCCCTTATCCCTATCTTATCTACCTTCTCTGTGCCACCATCACCACCTACTATACGGCGTAGGTTGCGCCAGACAAACATCTTCCCGACGACGGGATAGTCGCCATCTGTCCTGTTGAAGATCGATCCGCCATCCCCAAACATTACTAGGCAACCTGCCTGCCAGGTCCCCCTGGCCAGCGATCCCCTTCAAATAGAAAGGTCTGTCGGCGATCCCCGCTGCCGCCGAATCAGCACCAAGAGCTCTTAATCCAGCCCGTCATCATCATCAGCACCACAACCACAGCCATCGTCATCCTTCCATCTAGGCTACAATCCAAGGCGACACAGCATCCACACTCCGACCATGCTGCGCCGCTCCTCTTCATGCATCACCATTCCAGCTAGGGATAGCTAGACAGAACAAGACTGACAGTTCCCTCCAAAACATACAGGATCCTCCCTGGCTTTCGCACATGTCCGCCCCTCAACCCCAGCGCAGCGGCGATGCGCTGAACTCTCACCCATCCACCCCTTCGAACCAGCCGAAAGGCATCATATACTCGAACGATGGCGCCGCGAGCAGTCCGAACCCGACCCATGCCTCCTTTTCGCCCGCCACCCTGAGCTCGACCGCACCCAGCGCAACCTCCGCCGCCAAGAGGAGGAGCACTATCCTCGTACACCAAAAGTCGCCGCTCCTCCTCGCGACACCACCCCAGATTACACGCGCTTTGGCTTACAGCCATCCGTTCCTCCTGCCCTTGAATAAGCTTGCCGGTCTGATAACATGGACGACTCGCGATCCGTGGGAGAGCTTCCTGATGGTCGCCGTCTTTTGGGCTGCGGTCCTATATGGTGACATCATTGTGCGTGTCGCTGGGCCCGTCGTGCTTGTACTGATCCTGATCGGAGGCATGTACGGCAGGCGCTATAGCCCGCTGAGCAGCAGTGGTTGGACCGAGCCAGGCGTGGCGGCTGGAGACATGGCGGCGCTAGCTGGGGCAGATGGAAAAGGGAGTGTTAGGGGCAAGAAGGCTCCCAAGAGTAAGAACCTTTCGGTCGACGGGCTTCCGGACAACAAGAATGGCAAGGCCAATGGCGGGCTCAGTGGTGGCGTGGGCGCGGGCGCTGGAGGAGGCGGACACCTGAGGAACCAAGGGTCGGTATCCGAAGTGACCAACACGCGACACCAGAAGACGTTGGACGAGATTGTCGAGACACTTAAGGAGTTCACGGCGCGCTGCAACATTCTCCTGGAACCCATGCTGGAACTTACGGATTTCCTTAGCACTCAACGAACACCTACATCGGCCACTACGAAACCCGCGCTGACGACACTCTTCATCCGAATCCTTCTCTGTACCCCGTTCTGGTTCGCCCTGACGCTACCACCCTTCCGTCTGATCACTACTCGCCGGGTTATCATGATCTTCGGTACTCTCATCCTAACGTGGCATTCCCGTATCATGCGGGTATCTCGCGCCATTCTGTGGCGCAGCGCTTCCATTCGCAGGTTTTTGGAATTGGTTACTGGCTTGCAGTTCGAAAAGCCCGTCAAGGTGTCTGTTGCCGAAAAGAATGGGGTTGCCTCATCCGCAGCATCCACTGCTAGCGGCAGTTCAGCGAACAAGAAGACCTTTGCCAACACCAAGAGTTCAAAGGCGTACAACTCGCAGGAGTCGGAGCTTACCAAGGCCCTTCGGCGTGCCCGCGGCGGACACGATACAGGCGTGCGTTTTACATTCATCATCTACGAGAACCAGCGTCGGTGGGTCGGTCTGGGATGGACTACTAGTTTGTTTGCGTATGAAAGGCCAGCATGGACCGACGAACATAACAATGCAGTTCCACCGCGAGACCAGTTTGAGTTACCGGAGGTCGAGGATGGTAGCAACATGCGCTGGCGCTGGGTCGAGGGATCGAGGTGGCGGGTCGATGGAGTACCCGACGAGGCTGTTATGCCTGGAGAAGATGCGGATGGAAAGGAGTGGGATTATGACAGCCCTGGAGGACGTATGGGCTGGGTTTATTATGACAACAAGGTTTGTTCTTTTCGTTTTGGGGGATATTTGTACGAAGATGGAGAGAAACTGGGACATCGGGCTAACCAAGGCGTAGTGGCAAAATGGCCGCCGAGGACAAGATGGCTGGGGCCGCTGGACAAGAAGGAGAAAGTGGTACCGCGATGCCGAGCTTGTGGAAGCAGACGATGCCCTTATCGAAGAATTGGCAGAGGATGCGATGGTCGATCAACAGGGGAATAACCTTACTGTGGACGGATCCGCCAACGGCAACTCCAGTACCGATTCAGTTACACCAACCGCAACCCCGGCGCCCGGACCTGGGATAGGTGCCCGGGCACAACCCCGATCGTTGCTCTCGGATCAACTAGCCGCTTCGGGCGAGATCGCTTCACCATCTACCACCGTCCCTAGAAAGGCGTCGATAAAGCTGAAGAAAACACCCGAAAGCGCGGCCGACAGCCTAGCAAGGATACAAGCGCAGGATATGACGAAAAGCAGGATGGATATGAAGGATAAACTTCGAAAAGACAAAGACGCAGAAACAGAAGGAGGAGACGATGCCGATTCGGTGGTTTCCGCGTCAAGTACTAGTAGGTCCCACAGATTCTCTAGTGCTTTATTCGGTAAGTCGCCGACCAGCGGTGCTTCCAGCGCTGTTACCATCCGGGGTGGTGGTGGCGGTTCTTCTTCCAGAGGACAGCAAAGACGAAACTTCACCGACTCTACCACTTCCGCCGCCACCACCGGCAGCCCGTCAGCAAGTTCCTCCGGTGGCGGCGGCGGTTATGCAGGTGGTGGTCGCGGACAAAGCCCCAGTACCACGCCCTCCCCCTTCTCCCACTCTTTATCCGTTCCAAGTCAGAGTCAGAGTCGTAGTAGCAGCACCAGTCGAAAACCGATTTCAAATAACAGTGGTAATAACAATTTTTACGCGAGGAGTAGGAGGTCGAGTCACAGCAACACCGTAATAAGCAATACGGCAGCAACAACAACAACAACAACGGCAAGAGGATCATCACCAACGCCGCAATCCATCCTGATGGCGGCAAAGACCAACGAGGAGGATGAGGTGGCGTCGTCGTTTGGCACGCAAACCAGGTTGGCGTTGCAGGATGCTGGGAAAGATGCAGGTAGTTGGGGGTTTGGTGATGAGGTTAGGATGGGGTTGGAGTGATGATGATGATGATGACAGATATACCTACTGCTATATACATATCGGGATTACGAAGGAAATGGATGGCCTAGGCTAGACTATTGGAGACGGGATACCCAGGGACGGGACGGGACGGGGATTGGATGGGACTGGGAGACTGGATGGATGGGATGTACATGTCTCTTAAGGACGAGAACAGATCGAACACAAAGAAGATTGAACAAGGTTGGATGGATTGTTTAGTTTCCGCTGTGGCTTGAACACTTTCTTAACCGGAGATTTCATTTTTACTCCGCTCAGCATGGTGGCCGCATCTCGGTCATCCCCCGTTGATGGCACTGCCGGAGCGGTTGTCAGTTGAATCCATCACCAATTCTTGGCATGTCTTGGCATTTGTATAAAACCAAAACCCAACTCAGTCACTTCTCAATTGCAACAGGAAAGCTCCTGTTCTTTGCCGCCTAAACGCATAATCAGTTCTCATAACTGTTCCGAAGTTACTGTCATGCATTTCTCAACTCATCAAAGAGCGTATCGTGGTCTAATCGACGAGTGTCTTCCCAGCCGAAATCTGAGAGCATCGATACCTACCTAGAAACGCCTTCGCCGGTCGCCTCGCCTGGTGAGGCTTCGGATTTATCTACTACTGGCTTCACTGTTTCTGCTTTCGGATTTTATTCTCACTCTCGTTTCTTGCGCTTGTTTTTTTTTTCTACCACTATTCATTGAACGTCCGACCGGAAAAGCCGAGTTGCTCGCTCCCCTATCGCTGTCGACGATTTGTTCTACCCGGAGTGGTGACGAGACTGAAACTCGCTTGGTCACCGACCGGCCTAGTCTGTAGCATTTCTCCCGTAACCAGAAAGACAGATGATATAAAATCATTCCTCACACACTTGAACTACTTACAAAGAACAAACAAACCATTCGTTATCTCGATCGGCAAATGCACACAGTGGCATCAGGCTTTTTCGTTAGTGTTCTAAACAACCGTAAAAGCTCATGATAGGTGCTACCTCTGGATATTGACCAAGTCCATATCGCTGTATAAATTTTCCACTGGAAATAAACCTTGCGCTGATGACCTATGAAAATGAAGCGAGTGAAACAAACTAGGTAGTATTGGACTGTACATTGTGTACAGGTAAAAAGCATAACGATGCCCAAACAGTGTGTGTATGCTAACTAACCCCGACCGACATGCAACTTGACGGACACGGACTGGATGGACAAAGCAAAAGAAAAGATAAGGTGATGATGACAAAAGGAGAGGAAAAGCATAAATGGAAAAAAAGAAAAATACCAGAAATAGATTGGCGGGGGTTGCCCCTTCCCACTTCCGATGTTAATTAGTGAGCCAGAACACAATTTACTGCGCCTACGGCAGCGCTTGCACCGAACACACATCCATCGCAGAATACCGCGACAACAAGCAACCAACCAAACCAACCTTCCTTCAACCGCATCTTCTCCTCAGTCAATAACAACTCAAAATACTAGACAACAAGTAAATGAAAACATTACAAAAATAGATTGAGGAACGAAACACGCCATGCAAAATTGAATAAAATAATCAGGCAAAAAAAGTCAAAAAAAGGGTCAAAAAGTTGGGGCTCAACCGGGATTTGAACCCGGGACCTCGCACATTCATGGGATACCATGAGGGTGATTTAACCCGAAGCGCGAATCATACCACTAGACCATTGAGCCAATTGCTTGGTTTGCTTGTTGTTGAGAATCAGGGCTGAACCTTGTTCTTTTATTGTGCGTAGTGAGTGGTGTGCTGGGGGTACCCAAGTACAGTACGAGCACCCAAGTTGTAAAGCAAGGGGCGGCGTGCGATTGGCGCGGACCGCAACAAAACTCGCGATGATGGACTCTTGTAGTGCAGATTCGTATGGCGTTTGTTGCTTTGAGGAAACCATCCATTTCGTCTTGTTTCAATCGATCTGGCGACTTTTTATCTGGAATTGTGTTTGTGTGCACGATTGAGTTTACGACTTACAGTGCGTTTGTCGCGCCTTCGGTAGTTACTTCAACTTAGGACGATGGCTCGCGCCGACGGATTGACGCCGCCCGGATATGGTAAGATGTGAGAACCAACTGAGGACAAAGCAACAACATTTTAGCTAACGCTCATGTCTTCCATTACCGCCTTTTATTTTAGAGGCAATGAATTCTAGAAGTGGTTCATCCGTTTCTTTGTTTCAGTCGGAGTGCCGCATCTTTACAGATCCCATTTCTTCGGTGTGCACCCTTTGATGACTGATAGCTGATGGCCTCCTGAACAAGATGTGACAATGACCGGTCTCAGGGTCGGTCGTTCCATTGTTCTTGTTCTCTGCCCCTCCCACAAGCTCCGGAATACCGTCATGCAACTCGCAGGCCTGTTGTCCCCAAGCTGCTGCATTGCACATTTCACTTTGTAGTCACCTGCATATTGATCGAGTCCTGTTCTGCGGGATAGATACCTCTACCGAACACACCTTGCCTGGCCGAGATTCCATCACAACCACTCGCCAATTTGTCCTCACCACCCCTCAAGTCACTTCGCCCTCAGACATCACCGTATCCCAGGATACCTGTGCCGTGCATACTTGCCCGGTCGAGAATCACCATCAACCATCACAAACCATCCATCCACCACCTGTCCTCACCACCTCCCAAGTCACTTCGCACTCAGATCCGACATCTCCCAACATGCCACCAAAACCAAAACGCTCCTCTACCCCCAAGACCAAAATCAAAATCAACACCCCTCGTACCTCTCCTACCCCTCGAACCACCAACAAGACCACTACCACATTCCCCAAGACCATCACCATGAAGAAAGCACCAACCCCCAAAAGAAAAGCTATCAGGCACCACGCCTGTCGCCTCATCCCGTCATGCAAGCAAGGCCACGGCGGCCCAGCAAAGATCATCCTGCCCATCGGCAAGTACTTCGTCAGCGAGGAAGCACTTGAGCACGATTTGGGTGCTCTCAAGCGGGGCGCTATCTACCCGAACGAAAGCGAGTTCTACAAGCGCGTGAAGGCTTGGTATAAAGCCGAGGTTGATCGGTTGCTGCACCGACAGCGGGTTGAGAGTGAGGTGAGTGCTGACTGAAGGCGGCAGTGATCACGGACATGACTGACTGACGATTGTCGAAAACAGGAAAAGAAAGAGAAAGAGGAGAAGGAACTTGATAAGATCATGATCAGGCCGACGGCGATGACAAAGCCAGGGGCCACCAAGCGCAAACTTGCCGCCACCTCTGACTCCAACGACATGGAGTTGTCTGACGACCGCTCAACGTCCGACTCTGCTGACAGCCCTTCGGACTCGGAGTACTCCGACTTCCAAAACAAGCCTCCCCGGAAGCCAAGGGCTTCAAGGGCTAACACACCAATCCGCAAGAACCCTGAAATGCTCCAAACACCATCCCCATCCCCGGATAAGCCAACGCCAACACGCGTTCAACCCACCAGAGCAGCCAAGCGCAAAGCGGAGACCCCGTCGCTACCACCGACACCGCCCAAAACCCCGAGCCCCAAACGTCGGAAAGTCACCCTGATCATCAAACGCCCAAATCAGGAGCCGAAAGCGGAGCAACCTGAAAATAACCCCGAAGAAACAAAAGGCGACTATAGCCTGTCGAAGCTGGACTTCAAGGAGTCTCAACCCAGCTACGCTGACCGAGGTGAGATGGCCGACGGCCTGGATGTAGCTTACTTCATGATGTCGGTCGAAAAAGCCGTAGAGGGCGCCATCAACGAATTAGTAGCCGCTCGTCTGGGAAACGGTGTCCTTTCACTATCTTCCCCGAGAGAAAGCAACAAAGGGATTCGCGCAAGGTGGAGAAGGTTTGGGAGCATTAGCCATGCCGGAGGCCAAGGCCGAATTGCGCAAGAAAGTAAGAACGAGGAGGACGAGGTGTTTGAACCGGCGGGTGATGCAGTGCCGGGGGAGGACTGGCGGCCGCCGCAGCCTCCACGTTCTGCACCTGCCACTCTTGAGTTGGGGAAGGGAGGGAAGAAGGGTGTGAAGATGCAGAAAGGGCTGGAGCTCAGAATCTCATCCAAGGAAGGAACGCCGGCTCCGGAAGCGGTGATGGAACCTAGTCCTACCCTTGGTCGGTGGCAGCTTGCGGATAGGAGAGCTAGTGGTTCTTCTGGATCAGGTGGTTATGAGCGATCGAAGGCTGGGGATGTGGCGAAGTTGAAAGTCGAGGTCGACTCGGAGGCAGTAGCGGCGGAGAAAGAGTCTGCTCCTGGGTCAGGAGGAGGTGTCATGGTCGAATCGCCAGTCGAGGAATCGAACAAAAGGTCGGTGCAGGTATCTGGGTTGAAATTCGACGTGGAGCTGCGTACGCTTGAAGTTGGACAAGATGGCGAAGGAAGAAAGGACATATGGTTCCATTTGCTGTGATTGGAACAGTGTCGGAGAAACCACCCCCCAGCACAACTTCCGGACCCATCACTTGCCGCTCTTACTAGAACCGACAAGAAGCATAGCAATTCCAAGAGGTATCGGTAGCGGGAACGGCAACGGGTTGGCGGGGCTTGTCATCATGGCAATCGAAAATGTTTGATTCATCTGCGTCTTGGTTGCGGCTTCATCAGGCCGTGCTGGCTTGTTGTTCGGACTTGGGCCGGATTGGGGAGACCGAGTGTTATTAGCTGACCGATTATTTGCTGCTGGCCGCCGAGGAGCCGATCTAGTGTTTGGGGGCGATCTCTGATCTGATGGCCCCCGAGGAGCTGATCTGGGGTTGCTCGGGGGCGATCTCTGATTCGAGGGTCGACGTGGTGCTGATCTAGCATCTGGAGTTGTTCTCTGAGCAGAGGATGCAGGTCTGTTGAAGGACGATGGTGTTCGTTGCTGTGGTGTTTGCTGAACTCGTGGATCCGTCCTCCAGTCATCCCGGCACTCCGGTGTTGACTGCTGATACTGGCTAGGTCGTCGTCCGTTATCTCGTGGATCTGTCCTCCAATCATCCCGGCGTTCCGGTGTAGACTGTTGATATTGGCTACGTCGCCGTCTGTTATTGCGGGATGGTGTACGAGGAAATTCCTGGGCACCACTGCTGCTATCGGGGCGCGGACATGTTGAATTGGACCTGCGTGGTGCGGAAGACATGGCTGTAGATAATTGCTTTTGACCAGAATATTTTGCTTGCTTCGGGATATTATGTACGATGACTTACTTTGGCTCCTTTTGTTACCGCCATTCGGCCAGTTCATATAGGAGAGACAAATGTGACTGAGTCGTAACGTCGAGAACGGGCATGAGTCGATAGTGACGAAGCGGAACTCGAAGTGTTTCAAGATGCCGAGCTCGGCCTAGAAACGTACGACAAGGAGAGATCAGCTTCCCAGAAACCCGAATACCTACCAGTGTGATATCCCTCTATCAGATGGTTTCCGGGCGCTTGGACAACATCTCAAACGAGCGTCATTTGATGAAGTCGTGGTGCCATATCAAAGGCCTAGCTCTGCCAACCCAACAACGGTCCCATGCTGCCCCTTGTAGAGCCTCGCTACCAGCCGGGAGGTCTCATCCTGTACCTTACGGCCTCATTGAACCATGGGCATTGGCAGTGTGCACTTCGGGTTGATAACATCACGACACTCGTGACTCGGTGCGACAATCGTGGTTTGCTGCTGGCGGCGGACATGCTAGTCGTGCCTAGAAGTAGGTGAATAATACCCTTCCATGGCAAACAATGACAAAGGAGGATACCGGACCTCCCTCGGATGCAAACATGAAGAAGACATGGGAGAGCTGTCATCCATCAGATATGGAACTGTCAACTGACAGAGCGAGGTTGGAACTCTCGAGTGAAACCTGGAATGGATTGCTCGAGTTGATACGCGGCAGGCAGTTACCGCCCGGTCTAAGTTGACGTTATCTTATCGGTGCTGCCCGTGCGTCTCAGCGCCTGTGTCTTACTGTTAAGGATGCAACACTGATGCTGACTTTGAAGCTAGAGACTCTGCTGATGCACTAACAAAGCTACATCAATTAATGACTTTAGTCTTTCGGGCAGGCATCTCCCTCTGAAAACATGGAGAATCGGCAGGTGCGGGGAGTTGCTCGGTCGATACCTCCTGCCGCCGACGGAAGTGAAGTCATTGTCCCGATGAAGTCGGGTGTCAGCGTCATCATCGGCAGGACTCAATGAGCACGCAGCTCACATTCATGTAAGAACATGCACACATCGTTTATATCTGGTTTGTGGTACCTTGACCGTGATACCAAATCAACGCCGATGGGTGGGGGTCACTCATTTGAGCAACCAGAACAATGCAGCCGGCACAGATATCGCAAGTGTTGTAGCGCTGACACTAACACAAAGCGCCGGAGGTGTGCAACTTCAACTTCGCCTTTCTCGTCATCAATCGGGTACAGCAAACATCATCTCGAACGAACGATGGAAGACCCTTAGAAATTGATCTGCAGGGTCTGAGACATCACATGAACAATGTAACCATTCACGCTTTGAAAACCAACGATCTCTATCGTCATCGCATTACACGTTACGACGAGGGTATTTCGCCGCCTGTGACAATGGGCTGGGCGGTTGGTTGCCAAGTGTTTGGCCCAGAACGCCGCACAAAAGACGCAGCGAACACATCCACTGTTAATGCAGCCGGCACAAATATCGCAAACCCGTGCGGGCGGGCATCCCCGATAGGCTTGGATCGTCGCTAACATGCGTGGAAGGTAACAGACAGTCACAGTCACAGTTTCGAACGGTACGGTACAGGTAGGAAGGAATCTGTTTGTGTATTTAAACTCACGGGACCCCTCACATCTTTTCCAATTCATTCCTCATCATCAACGAACATCACAACAAAAGACAACATCATCAGTCTTTCAACCCTCAACCAACAAACCAACACCAACCTAACCCAAATCACCAAACAACCACTTCTATCAAAATGGGTGACTGCGGCTGCTCTGGCGCTTCTTCCTGCAACTGCGGCTCTGGCTGTAAGTTTCTCTTTCTTCCTATCCATCCTTGCATTGAATTTGCATCCCGGAGGCCATCCTGGAGGGCGCTCTACTCGTCAGGTCTTGAAGCGACGGGACCAGGTCCCCTCCAACCGGATATCCTCCTGATCCTCCTGCCTTTCTATCTCCGTCCCCGTCCCCGTCCGATCCGATCTTCAATCACTCTCATAGGAAATATGACCACCAACTAACATCCGGAATCTTCAAGGCTCTTGCTCCAACTGCGGCAGCAAGTAAATTTGCCCGCGCGTCCGCTCAGTGCAACCAACTCGAGCGATTCCTCCCAATCTAAGTCCTACGGGATGAAGATCTGATCTGCCTTGGATCGCGAAGTGACAGCGCGAGGTTGAAAGAATTTCGGCTGCCATCACCTACCTCTCTCTGTACCGACGTACTTGCTTGATGGATCTCCTCTTAGGCGACGGAACGGCAACGAGCTGGCGGCTCTTGATTTCAGGGCAGGGACGGAAGCTTTGGGTTGCGACTTTCGGGGTTTTTATTCCTAGCCATAAACGCGCATTGGCACTTTCCCCTCTTTTTTTTGAGAGATATGGACTAGATTAACGAACAAGAAATCTTTTCCCTCTTTCGACGACCTATCTATCACTCGGCGGTTTGATTTGTGCATGGGCGACATAAGCTGCCATCGCGAACGGGTCAACCAATGTGCTCCCGAATGAGATTCATGATACTATGTTACACCACCCACACCTCCACCCCAATCATTCCTTTATCTCCCCCGGAATATCCACCTCTATCCTCTCCAACATCCTCCCCTCCACCACCTCTCCAAACCCGCTCCCCATCATCTTCACCACCACCTGAACATCAGGCGGCTCCGGCACCTCCCTTTCCACCAACCTCGTCAGCGCCGCCGAGTCCCACGCCCCAGTCCCAGTCCCATCCGTATTAGCCACACCCTCGCTGCCCACCGTCGTTTTCGCCTGCGCAATCACCCCCTTCACGTCCCTTCCGCGCCGCACCTGGCCGCCCGTGGGTACTTGGGGAGTGATGAGCGTTTCGTCCATCAGGCTCTGCCAGCGCGAGAGGAACATGCCGGGGCCGCACATGCTTGCTCTTTTGTTGCTGTTCATGTTGTTGGGGCCGTTGTTGCTGTTTCGCCAGGGGGAGGTGGTGGATAGGGAGAATTTGTCTTTTAGAGAAGAGGTTGTTGTTGTTGTTGTTGTTGTTGTTGTTGTTGTTGTTGTTGTTGTTGTAGCTTCTGGTAATGAGGAAATGGTGGGGGTGGTGGTGAGGTTCATGTCGTCGAGGATGTGTTGCATTCGCTTGAGGGAGAGGTCTTCAAGGGAGGAGAGGTAGGCGGCGTGGGCGTCTGCTGCTGCGAGGACGTCGGGTTTTATTTGGGGAGGGAGGGCGGTGAAGAGGGACTGGATGTCGGTGCTTAGACTTCCGGCTGCTCCTTTGCGGAGTTTGGTGTCGATTGTTTGTTGGCTGCTACTGTCGTTTGAGGGAGTGGCCGATGATAGTGGTTGCTTCTTCTCGGGCTGCTGGCGGAACTGCACCAGCGTCTTCTTGCAATACTCGGGGAACTCCTCCTTGATTTCGGGGCAGTTCTTGGCCACCTGGTGGACAAAGTTGTAGGCCGATTGTCTGTGCCTCCTAATCAAGCCGACGTAGTCCTCTATGGAAGGAGCGCGGGTCTCCATCGTTGTCTCTGCTGTTAATGTGCTGGAGATGGTCACTGAAGAATCCTTCGCCTTGCTTGTCTCGATAAGGTCGGTTAGGAAGCTTTCGGCTGCAGAGACGTGTTCGCGAAGGTCAATATTCTGGTGAACAGCTCGTAGCATGGGCTCGAAACTACCGATAAAGTCCCGTACGGCCTGGGTGAAGAGATCTGGGTTTTGCTTGCAGAGAATCTTGATGATTTCATCCCGGTCTCGAATCGCAAGCAAGGTTGATAGGTATTCCAGACATTGCTCGTGCTGATCCTTGGATAAGGACTTCATAAGCCCACGACGGGATTCGTTGAAAATGGTGGCAATGATGGACTCTGAGCGTTTTATGCTGGTATTCCTGATCCTCAAGTGCTCTTCCCTGGACTTGGCGACGTACTCCTTGATGACTGCTGTATGATCCTTAGATGGACCCCCCTTGGCCTTTTCTATCCGTTCGGCGGTCTTGCGGAACTCTCCTATGTCCCAAGATAATATGAGCGAGATGATTCTACGCCTGTCAGCATCGGACTGCCATCTAGATGAAAACTGTAGGCACTTACCTCTGTAAGAGATTCATGCCATCATCCGCATTTTGTGTCAGCCCGAGCCAGTTAGTGAGGCCTCCGATACTCATTTTGGCCAGGAGGAGCTTCGTAATTCCACTGATCATGCTGGCTGCATTTCCAATGCGAAAAGTCTGTTTGATGGCCGAATAAGGTACCATCTTGTGTACGCTCGCCGCCATCTGTAACAGATAAGACCCTTCGGGAGAGAGGACGAATACATGGTGCATGAACGTGGCAAGGCTGAGAGAGGTCAGTTATTGAGTAAAGAGTACAGAGCAAAGATCAGAAGCACATACTGAATGATGATGTAGTCCACAGCAGTCTGCACGGCAAGCGAGTGGCCTTCAACATCGGGTTCCTCAGCTATGCGATCAAACAACGCTTCAACGAGATTTCCGTGGACAAGTTCATGCAGTACGTCCTCCCAGGCGCCCACAAGGTCTTGTGCTTTGGACCTGTCATAGTGGCCGTTTAGGTCCCTTGGTAAGCCCTTAGGAAGACCACCGATAAGACCCCTGGAGACAGACTCATGAATGACCGAGGCAGCAGTGGCTAGGGTTTTCCTACTACCCAAAGACCCTTTGTCGTAGCTCTCGGACAGGTTTGCTTGACCAAACTTGGTAAGAATTCCTTGGAATTTTAGCGGCCAGAAACCAGTTGGAAGGTCGCGGACTCCTGGCACCGGGAGGACGATGGCGCGCAGCACGGTTGCCAGAAGCGGAACTGATGACTCTTTCTTGATGACGGGCTCGGAGACACCCTCTATCGACGACGCAAAAGGATAGCCATAGGTGGAAATAGCATTCGGATTCTTGAAACATTCCACTTCGGAATATGTCCCATAGTGTGTGAGAATGTCGAACAAGGCATGTAGTTGAGGCGCGGTAAGGGTGTCTAGCGCGGCTGAGGTTGATGACGGAGAGATATTGGAGCTTTCGCGTCTTGTCATGGTGGAAAGAGCGAAGGAGTTTGGTTTTGTCCTAGGTACAGATGGTTGAGGTAGGCTCTAAAGTGTTATAGGTTGAGTCCAAATGATGGTAGAGGTGTCTCGTGAAGGCGTTGAAAGTCTGGGCCTCAAACTTTGGATGGGCGTTCGGACGGCGTTGCAAGGATCAGCTGGTCGGCCTTCGCCGTGGGGTATCTTGAGGTTATTATGTTGTTTTTCTTGGCATAGGCGTAGCCGAAAGAGTGAAAGAAAAGAAACAGAAGAAGTCAAGAAGAAAGAACGGAATATCAGGAAGTATGTAGGAAATTTTCATGTATATCAGCGGTATTCGGGAGACGGTGACAAACTTGGGTCGGGGTCGAGGTTGATGTTGAGTCCGACTCCTAGGGGAAGGGGAAGTCGGGCTGGGGCTAGACTTGATCCCTTGCCGTGACGTCAGATATTGTACACCGCATCCAGTGGCTCAATATCGCAAGCATTTAGTTCGAGAGCTTCAGGTCATGTAAGGAGAACTAATCACCGATTCAGCCGCTTCACTTCCATGACGAGCTCCAAACCTCAGGAGGATTGCCCCTGGCGGCAAGCTGAGGTGTCTGGCTCGAGTCTGAGGAACGGCCACCATGCACGTTTGTCACATGCGTTTCTTGGCTTCATACATGCACGTCCTCTTTCTGCTCATGTAGGGCGTGGTCGGGGGGAATGTTGCCATAATTGTAAACAGACTCAAAACAGAGAGGAATCAAAGCGCGATGAGGTTGTTGAATTGCTCAGGTCATTGACGGGGAACGCCGCAGGTTCGCAGCAACTGGAATCAGCGATCTGGGAAGCAACTGAACTTTCAGAAGTTGATGTGGTCCAAGCGTCCACTGGCAGAAGGCAGAGAACCCTAACCCTCCGAAATCGGTATCCTTTCTGGGCGTTTGTCTCGACGATGCGTGCGATTCCTGCTTGAACGTCTTGTCATAAACCAGGAATCACACGTGCACACTGCATGCTGTCGACCTGCAATTCTTGCATCAACTTCCAAGGGACCACCGTGCCGGCGAGACTGTCCAAGGACCGGCCTCGTTCCAAGTTCAAAGAAGAGGGATCCGGGTGATGGAGGGGACCCGGTCGGCGAAGGTGAGCACTGGGATCGGAGGCCTGAGCAGCCCGAGAGACCGTGGGAGTTTGGGAAGCACTACTAGATTGGAGGTTGTTTGCTTATGATGGTTGGTCATTTGGATGAATAGCTTGTCGGAACCATGAAGAAAACAGGATCAATAGTTCAATGGATTTGAAAAGAGATATCTGAAGTGACAATTGGAACTTGATGTTGATAGATGCTTGAAGTCAGTCGCTTTCGCTTTCAGCACGGGCCATTTTGAGCCTGGGTTGGAGTTTGACGTTCCCCGCACCCGTGTCGAGGTCGATGGCTTGGCATTCAAAACGGCCAGGCGGTAGGACTTGGCGAGAAAAGGCCTGCTCCTACAAAGGGCAAAGCGCGAACGGGCCACATGGGCTTGCGGACTTGTGCTCCTGGACGTCCTGGGCAACCAGCTGCTGGAAGCACAGCAACAGCCTGCCATTCTGTCACAAAACAACAACGGGCAAGTCAACGGCCACTGGACAGCAATCTCCCGCTTCCCCACCCACCTACATCGCATCCAGTTCATCCTTCAAAGTTCCAATCCACTTCCCACACATCATCACGCATTTGCCGCAATCGACACAAAGGCGCCCTCGGTTACGCGTAGCTGCTTGTAGACGCCGGGTTCCGAATTGATGAAGCTACATCTTTGCTCGACTCCTCGCTCTCCGCTCCCCGTGTTTCCTCCTCTCGCATCACCCAAGGTCGTGTCGGCACCGCCTTGAGAGCTTGCTGCCTACCTTTGACCTACCTTTTAGCGAGCGACATCAAAGTCTTTGTTGGGCCGGCGCGTAAATCGGACATAGCAAGCCATCCACCACCGCGGGCAATTGCGTCGAGTTATCCGGCACGGTTCCAAACCACAGCGCGACCAGTCTGACGATCCCAATTCGAGGATAACCGAGATCCATACCCTTACCTTTTGTACCGAAGCAGATATACCGGGACAATGTCAACCACCGACACAGAAGAATCGCAACTACAGCCAGCACAGCTGCTGGTAGACGCCATGTCTAACGACGGTCGTTTCGGCCTCATCCAAGATCCGGCATTGATATCAGAGGACGACGACATGCGCGATCCGTCATCACCGGAAACGATACCCTCCACCCAGGCCGCTAACACGCCAGATGAAGTCGATAACGGTCCTTCGGGGTTCAGGTTGGAAGTTAGCCAAGAGGGTCCTGTCGATACCATCATTCCCTCGTCTGTGACCCCCCCACCCTCTTCACAGATGCCGAACGCCGCCGGGATGGGGGCGGCCACCTCGTTAGCGTTTGCGAGCTCACAGCGGTCTGGGTACTTTTCCCCTCCCGCGACGACTGGTATTTTCGGAAACAAGAGGGACGCCAATAATGCTCTGGAATTCAACCCACCCGCGTCGCAAGAGATTGCCGACGCGTCTATTGACAAGCTTCGCAGCATGTTGCAGACGTGCATCGCGGAGAATGCCAAGCTGAAGATGGAGACCGCCCATCACAAATTGCAATACAACTTGCTTAGCCTCCAGGCCGACGAAGATATGAAGCGAGCGGCTGTCGAACACGAGATGACTCGCAGGGAGGTTGAGGCGCTTAGAGTGGCCGAACACACACGACAGGCACGACGCGACCTCGATGCTGCTTCGGAAACCCAGCAGGCAAAGTTCATGCAACTGAAGGCCTTGTACGATCAAAAGGTGGAAGAGGTGGATTTCCTGAACCGAAAACTCAAGGCTGCCAGGAAAATCATACAGCAGAAGGAGGACGAGAACATCAGTCTCTGCGACGAACGGGAACTTCTCCTAAACCGAATCCGTGAGAACCGCGAACACTTCCAGATTCTATGCAGTCCCGGAGGCATGTTCCATGGCGCGACAATAGGGAGGCAGACGGTTGCGGTTACCGCGCCTTCTCAACCGCAACACCACACTCCACCTCGGCCGACACCTCGGACCGTCTATCGGGAAGCTCAAGCTCGCGCCGATAAGGACCACAGCAAAGGGAACTTTACCATGCTTCTTCAGGCTATCGACCAGGAAAATACCAGTGCCCCGTCGACTCCTCGGGGGTTATCTCACAACGCTTCCAGGCATACGCGAAATGTTCAGTCCATGTCGTCGCTTCCCACCACCCCCACACAGCGATTGCGTGGTGAGACTGGCGGACTTCTCCCATCTGTTGATCTGGTGCCACAAACCGAGCCCCCGTACCGTCACAACCGATATATGCCCGAGACACCTGTTCGATCCGCGACCCGAGACCGACGCAGAAGCCGGGAAAGCACCATCTCCGCCGAAGATAACGAGGAGCTCGCTCGCCAGGCTCTCCAGTCGGTAGCAGCCGCTTCCTTTGCCTCCCGTAGCTCGCAGCACCAGTTGGGCCCTACGCAACGAAACCCAACCAATGAGGAGGAAGAGGAAGCCTTTGAGAGCCAGGCCAGCCAAGCTGCGACGCAGATGCTTCGTCGAGACCCCCGAGAGAGCTTTGAGGTAGCTAGCTCGGTTGAGCACTCGCGGAATGGCACGCCTGCGCCAGCGGATAAGACCGCAAAGCTGCAGGCGAAGCTCTTCGGCGGACTCAACAAGAGCGGGGTGTCGAGCGGCGAGAAGCGCAAGTTTGCCGGACACGGGGATCCGATAGAAGAGTTCTCATTGCGGGATAGGCTGAGCCCGACGAAGAAGCTGAGGACTGTTGGGGGCCTGCGCGATCCTAGCAAGGTTGGACTTGGGATCCAGTACAGTCAAGACGCATAATAGTGTGTGAGATCATAGCGTGTGAGATCATAGCGTGTGAGATTTTTTTTTTGGCTCGCTTTGGATTGCGCCCCAACACCGATGCATGATGCTCCGTTTGCTTTCTGTCCTTACACTGTTGGCTGACAAGGGAATTACTGGCTGATGTTGGATTCATGGCTTTGTATTATGACGGATATTGGGACGACTTGGGAGCATTGTCGGCTTGACCTCATGAGGCATGGTGCTCTCTCTGCCTTACGGGCATTCTTGCAAAGGAATGGTGCATTTTCTGAATGGAAAGAGGAGGGAAAAGAGAATGGCCTTGTTCGCCTCTCGGCATAGTATGAACAAACGAGCTGTTGAATGCAGCGAATGAGAACGTATACTTCTGTACAATCAGCCATGGTGGGCGAGGGTGTATTGAGTTTTGAGTTCTCCCCTATGCTCACAAATCGTTGCTATCTCTTTGCCCTGTGTTTTCCTACCCCTGGTTCTCTGTTGACATCACTACATTGTGGCTTTACCAACGCTTTGTTCACATTTTTAGACTGATACGTAACCCCTCGCTGCCCACTTCTCAGATCTCCATTCTGTTCGAAGTTGCTGTGTGGCCCGGTGGTGTACGGGAGGCTTAAAAGGAGGCGAAAAGTGGGACTATCGATCTTCCGGGCTCACTGCTCATTGCCGCCGCTTAACCCCGTCGCTCCCCCCCAAGGTCCCCTTGACCCCACTGCCGGGCGTGTCATCTCCACTGGAATTCCCCATTTTCCCCATGATTTCCCGGAACCCGGCGTGTAAGAGGGCCACGAGGGTGACAACCTCCCACCGTGCTCCCGGTTGTCCAACGCGAGAGACGGGCAACGGGTCGCTCTCCGATCTCGTTCTTGTCAATCCGGCGGTGTTCGGGTCCTCGGTTCTTCCTTTCCTTTTATCCTAACGCTCTGCTTCGTGATCTTTCTTTGCCCCGTCAGTTCTTGTATTGTTGTTTCGTGATACGCTCAGTTTCGTTCCTTCTCATCTATCTACGGTAGCAACATTGGTTGCCTACGGCTCGCCGTCTTTACCCAAGACAGCACACAGACGGGTTCATATTTCTAAACAACGAAACAACAACAACAATTAACCCAGCCCGTCAACCACCATCCTCATCATCATCAAAATGGGCATCCTACCAAAAGGCCTCTCCTCCGTCCTAGCCAAAGCGCCCACCGACGTCGTCATCCTCTCCTCCCTGCGCACCCCCATCACCCGCTCCTACAAGGGCCACCTAAAGGATGCCTACCCGGAAGAGCTCCTCTCCGTCGTCCTGCGCGCCACCCTCGACAAGGTCCCCGAGCTCAACCCATCCAACATCGACGACGTCGCCGTCGGCGTCGTCCTCTCCGAGCTCGGCGGCTCCAAGGCCGCCCGCATGGCCATGAACCACGTCGGCTTTGATTCTTCGTCTACTTCCTTATACACCGTCAACCGCGCCTGCTCCTCTTCCCTCCAAGCCATCGCCTCCATCGCCGCTTCCATTCGCACAGAGGCTATTGATGTGGGCATCGGCGCGGGAATGGAGAGCATGACGCGCAACTACGGCTCGCGCGCGATCCCGACTTCTTACTGGCCTGCTTTAAAAGAAAGTCCCGTCAAGGACGCTAGGGATTGCGTCATGCCCATGGGCTTGACTTCGGAAAACGTCGCGAGCCGGTATGGTGTGTCGCGCGAAGACCAGGATGCGTTTGCCGTCAAGTCGCACCAGTTGGCTGCGCAGGCGCGCGCGGAGGGCAGGTTTAAGGAGGAGATTGTTCCGGTGACGACGCAGTATCAGGAGGTGGATAAGCAGGGCGCCAAGGTCGGCGAGGCCCAGACGGTGACCGTCACAGAAGACGACGGCATCCGACCGACGGCGTCGATGGAGGGCATGGCGAAGTTGAAGCCCGCTTTCAAGGCCGACGGCACCAGCACGGCGGGTAACTCGAGCCAGGTTAGCGATGGTGCGGCGGCGACGTTGTTGATGAGGCGGAGCACGGCGACGGCGTTGGGACTTGGTGATCGGATTATCGGCAAGTTTGTGGCCGCCAATACGGTGGGGTGCAAGCCGGATGAGATGGGTATCGGGCCCGCGGTGGCGATTCCCAAGTTGCTGGGCCAGCTGGGGTTGGAGAATAAGGATGTGGATAGGTGGGAGATTAACGAGGCTTTTGCTAGTCAGGCGATTTACTGCTTGAGGGAGCTGGGGCTTGAGGAGGCGTGGAAGGATGGTAAGGTCAACCCTGATGGTGGTGCGATTGCTTTGGGTCACCCCTTGGGCGCTACTGGTGCGAGAATGGTGAGCACTTTGTTGCATGGTCTCGGAAGGACGGGTGGTGAGGTTGGTGTTGTTAGCATGTGCGTTGGTACCGGCATGGGCATGGCTGGTGTCTTTGTTAGGGAGTAAGCTGTGGCAGCTTGTGTAGATATATATACTGGGACGCGATATCATGGATAATAATGATGAGGTATGAAAGAAAGCCAACCAGTTTGTGACTGAAGGTGTATTTGGAAGATTGCTCCGATCAACAAGTCATACGAAAGAGGCACGTCAAAAGTGTCAATCCCTTCTTTCAGCGGTACCGTTCATGTCATGGCTGTTCTTCGCTTTGCTATCTTTGGTACGTACCTTAGGTATCTACCATCTGCCTGCTTGCCCACCTGCAGCGCCTGCAGCGCCTCGCGTCAAACGACATATCGTGAGCCTCAAATCGCCACTCAAGCCGAGGTAAATTTGGGGTTCAGCACTCATTGCTGCAGGTGAGCACAGTCCAACTTCCAACTTGGCACCCGGTCCATAAGGACATCTCGTCGCTCCTCCGTTTCTCCTCCTCCTTTCTTTCCTTTTTCCCCAAGGTTGCCAGCTGATGCGCTTCGGCGTATCAGATTAACCCATCCATTATCATTTTCCCCATTGATATAGATGCAAACTCTGGCATAGATTGATATTCTCTTTGACCCATTGCTGGGCACCCACGTTGAGAGATCGTTCCGATCTCAAAGATAGGTGGGAATCAGTGGAGGTTACATTTCTTTGGCAATGCCGCTTTTGGCGTCAATCAAGTTTCACGGCCTCGAAAGTCCTGTCCTCGGCAGACGACGTCTGCAATTGCCTATATCTAGTTGCATCTCGCAGATATGTTTTTGATCCCCAAGGCCGAAAAGTAAAAGCCAGCCAACACCATATCCCGGGATATCATATCCTCCCCTACACTTCCGGCCAAGTCCCATGTCACACTCCCAATTCATTTACCAGGAAAACTTCGATCCCACGTTGCAAAGATTCGAGTTTCAGCTCCAACCTACCCCGTTCTTAACCTTGAGACTTCGGTCGCTGAAGCTTGACTTCAACCGCAGCCAGGTAATAGAGCAAATGCACCCAAACTGACCAGATCCCAACCAAACCCAGAAACCAAAGAGATTCTTCAACCCCTGTACGCCCAGAAAGCCATCGTCCTGTCCTTCGCGCACCGAATTCCTTTCTCAATCCGAGTCGAAATGTTCCTCCTTGATCTTCACGTCGTCCTCGATCAGGTTAGTACTAAGATGTAGGTCGATTATCGCGTCTAACGGATCCTCCTCCATTGACTCGTCTTCCCCATCCGCCAGCGCTCCCAAGCTGAACTTCGTTGGGATATCGCTCCCATTCGTCGAACTGGTCTTCGTAATCTCGTCCTGATCCGGTTCCTCGGCATCGTGCATGGGGACATCATCCGGACTCATGTTCCATGCGAAATACCATCGATTGAGCATCGTCCTGATTCTCTCCTGCAGGACAATCTTCTGCTTCCTCGATTCCTCAGACCCGCCGAGTTCGTCTCCCTCGCCCTCCATGTCTTCCATGCCATCATCGCCACCAAGATTCTCATATTCGACGATTTTGTCCATAATGAGATTGACATGCGCTCTCAACTTATTCAAGCCTATCATCCAAATTGCGTCCAGTCTCTTGGGGAACTTGTTTATCTCCTCGGACACTTCCTTCTTCAGCTTGGTCACCGCATCCTTATAAGTCCTGTTGTCCTTGTGAGTGGAGAAAGTTTTCAATATTTTGTGCCGCTTTTCCATGGTCCCTTTGCCTTTGATTTTCGGATCCGCGGCTCTCTTGAACGTCATCTTCCATTTGGCCTTGATGTCAGCCGCCAACTCCTTATGCACGTCGTCCGAGTTGACAGCGATGTCGATGAGTGCTTGGCAAATTAGATCTTTGACTTCCTCCTTAATCGCCTTGAGGGCGGGTTCTTTTGACGCGAGCTATTCCTTTTGGTTAGGGAATTGCCGCTTGAGGATGGTGAGAATCGAGTTGATGCGAAAGTCCCATCTGGCGTCAATTTCGGCGCGCGCTGGGCCTTGGAGAGTGGGAAGTTGTATGTGGAGAGAGGTTACCCATTGCGAGCAAATCTGGTTCTTGAAAAGGTGCGCGAGCCCTTCCATCCAGTCGTACACCTTGTTTTGGCCCCCGGCGCGGCTGAAGAAGACGCCGCCGCCGGACTTGATGATGGCGAGGAATGTGGCGTAGTGAAGCTTTTTATAGCGGTTCTCGCCTTCCGGGTCTTTGTAGATCCAATTATTTACTTGGTCGATGCATTGTTGGACGCATGTTCTCATGGCTTCGGCGGTGTCTTTGAGGGGGTTGCACTCGGCGACTCGTTTGGAAAGGATTTTGGCGTAAGCTCTGAGCTTCTGTGTGTCGTAGAAAGGGAATCTCTGTTAGCACGTCCAGTCGTGATGCCGATTGTGGGGATAGGGTTGGAGGGAGAAGGGAAATCGATGACTTACAAGATCCAGCCGTTCATATTCCACATCAAGATATTCCTCCTGTAACTCCTCCGGCGTCATGTGCAGCTTGATTTTCTCGCACTCTTTATCGGACCATGTCTGCAGGTTATAGTACAGGCCAACGACTCTGTTGAGGAGCGCCTTCATATGGCGCTCCCTCGGTGGGACCGTGGCCTCATACAACCAGCGCTTAAGAGCTGGAATGCCTGTATAGGCCTCCTCGGGGAAACCCACCAAGGGGTCTTCTGGCATCGCATCAGGGTCGTCCTCATTCTTTTTCTGAAGCGGCCAGTATGCCCTAACGCTTACGGGGAAGATCTTTGGCGGACAGTAAGGCGTTTTTGCGCCAGGGCAGCTCTTCATAAACACAGCATGCCGTTCATTTAGATAACGGTTGATCTCCTTTGCTAGAATGGCGCTCCGGGATTGAGCTGCGGTAAACACTTGTCCCCAGTGAGCTTCTTTCTTCTGGCGTTTGAGCTCTCTCTGGAGCTTCATATATTTCCTCTTCTTCTCCCTCTCCTCTCTCAACTGATTGAACACTTTTGTTCTTTCCTCCTCGCTGATCTTTCTCGATTTCAAGGACTGGAGAAGTTTGGTGATTTGAAGGTTGAATTTCTTTGCGGCAGTGCCTCCCTCCTTGATTTTCTTGTTCAAGTCACTGACCATCTTGATGTCCTTCTGCCTATTCTGGTTCCGTGCTGTAGTCTCCCAGTCAACACCATCGTCTGCCTTAGACAGCACAACACAGTAACCGCGGTCGTCGAGCTTTCCGCTCATTCGCATGTTTATCTCCTGGTTTTCGGTCATCAGGTTGACCGCCGTCTTTTCGCCGGCTGCTCGGACAGAAGGTGTGACGACAATGGACACTGTAAGTTTGTTGTAGAACTGTCTAGCAACGGCCGCTCGGCTCTCCACGATTTCACCAAGGCCTGGCAAATCGACAAGGACAATCCCCCCACGGAGGATATCTGACTTCACGTAAACTTTGACATGGTCGATCAAGGGCCAGACTGCCATGTCTCGGGTCTTAGCGCCCGCCCTTCCTGTGATGCTTGTTGTTGTTGTCGCATCGAGATATGGCTTGACCTCGGGGGCAAACGTCGAAAGATCAGCCGCATTGATTCTTTTTGTCGTGTTGAGTAACTTTACCGCCGGATCATTTTTGGTCAGGAGATCCTGTGTCGACATAACCTCCAGTTCGGTCAAAGTGTGGCCCCAAACAGCTCCGATTTTCTCGGCGGTCGCATTGATTCTTGCGATGACCTCCCCGAGATCACTGCTGTCAGGACCTTCCTGGTCATCGTCATCTTCAAACTCCCCTCTGCCGTTCAGCAGCTGCTCTCGCAGCTTGATGTCTCCGAAAAACTTGTTCAGCTCATGTTTAACGTCCAAATGCTTGCGGAACGTAATTTCCGCACGGAAGGCCGTTTTGGGATCATTGGAATAGTTGTAGGCGACCTGGCAAATTGCAGCTGTGGCCACTAGTGCGTCGTTGGGAGGTAGGAGGTCCTTGTATCCGAGGAGTGCATTGAGCAGAGAAGTCTTTCCCGCCCCAGTCTTTCCCTGTACGCCAACAAGGATCTCGAATTGTCTGTGTTCCTCGCTGATTTCGTCTGTTTTTGGTTAGCCATGCCCGTAGAGATCGGTGATCTGTGGCCCGAACTACCCACCTGCGTCTTCAATCCACTGATTGAGGTTCTCTTTCCCGATTGCCTCCGTATCAGCTTCGCCTTCCTCATCTTCATCGGCCTCTGGAACTGCACGATCAATGAGCTCGGCAAGCTCGGAGGAGTACTTCAGACCGGCGTCAAGACAGTCCTCAAGCATCCGCATGCGGGTTTGTAGTGGGAGGACGTCGAGGGCGTCAATGTCGGATCCATCGTATCGGTTGATGAAATCTTGAAGTTGTCCGCCTTCAACGCTCAGTACCGTGTTGAAAATGAGTAATAAGTGAGATTGTTTCGAATGATGAGTGAGCAGAAGAATCAATCCAATCCTTTTCGGTTAACCATAGGGTGAGCTCCGGCTGCGTAAGTCGAGGGAATTGGATATGACTGAGAAATGAGGGATATACGCCCGTCCAGTGATATCATGGAGAAGGGAGTGGGGTTGACAGAAAAGGGATGTCCGAGATGTCGAGGTATATATATCTGGAGGTTGAATAAGATCCGCCCTAGTGGAAAGATCCGGGAAGTCGAGCAGTGCAGGTGAAGATGTAGAAGGAAGATCTGGAAAGGGAAATTGGAAGAGAAGAGGTCAATTTATAGATCGTGGGAGGATGGAAGAGAGAGAAAGAGAACGGGGAAGGGGAAGAGCAGAGGTGAAGATATAGTCCGTGAAAGGATAGAGGAGGAAGAACGAGAACGGAGAAGGGCAAAGAGGAGAGGTCAAGATATACTCCGCGAGAGAATGGAGTCGGGACTCGGTCGATACAAGCTGGTGGTTGGGATGAGTGCCCAGGGTGCCAAAGTCCGGCCTCGAGGTCAGGCGGAAGAGCTTGAGACGACGAGACGAAGGAAGGACGGAGAGGACATGGGAGGATGTTTGATGCCGTCTGATGTAGCTTGCGCAACAGTTCATGGAGATTTGGCCAGTTGCCGAGACCGTAGAGAGAAACGAAGTGATGATGTTGAAGTGAGGCGCTTCCTTATGTCTGGGTAAGAGTCCTTGACTGGCATATTGTCATTCTGAATCCGAGTCGCTGGTAGGTTCGGGTCCGTGATATATCTCCCAAGAGCCAAAAGAGCCCAAAGAACAACATATAGCCAGTGTTGTTCTTTCATGGTGAGGGCGGGCCGGGGCCTTGCCATAAGATCGCGGAGTTGTGACCATCGTGAGAGACCGGTATTGGGCCGGCAGCGGACTCGCAGGAGGACATGGGATGGAAGGCCGAGTGTTCATGCACGGAATCTGGAATGATATCGTCAGCAACAAACAGGTACTTGTAGGAAGTCAAATTCAGATGAACAACCGTGTCGGTCTTACAAAGTCCATCGGCACCGCTCCGTCGACGTCAAGCTCACGGTGACATGCCGTTAATAGACAGATGACACTGCAAAATTTTGGGGAGACTGACTGCTCAAAGGGAGTTCTCTTGGTCGAAAGGTGGTGGTCAGTTGGTTGGAGGAAGAAATTTTGGCGAGTGCCTTGGGCATCCCCAAAATTTGTCATGTCCCTCTCTGCCCTCCAAACCACCCGTCCAACGCACCTTCCCAACATTTCACTCGACACACTAACAAAAGAGCACTGAGAGAGATGTAATGTTAAGGTAATGTTACGATTCCAATATCATTAACGTACTGGATAAAATACAAAAGTTCCCACCACCGACACCACCAATCGCTCGCAGTGCTGTCCAAAAAGTCAAAAACTCTAAATGTCATCGTAACTGACTTGCTGGTAAGATAAACAAACGGGGTGAAACCGACCGACCGCACACCTCCGACCGCCGCCTGGTATCCTCCAAAGCAATGCATGTGTCTGTTAAAAAAAGAGGTACAGCCAAAGAATTGATAAAAGCCCCCCTTAAGTCGTTGAAGTGAAGTTCCGCCGGGTATCAAAATCAAATGTGTGTCGTAAAAGTAGTCGTACAGTCCCCGTTATATGGGGACGAAATGGGTGTCGTCAGGCCGTGATGGCCGAGTGGAGGTTGTAGCTAGGTAGCTGAGTGATCGCAAGTTGGAACATTGATGTATGCAGGTTCATGCCGATGGGATGGATGTATGTCCCTCGCTTGGATCGGCCCAGTGAATGTGCTCGAAAAGAGTGGATGTGATGGAGTTTAGACGCAGGAGGAGCACTGGTGGTGGGCGCAGTGGCAGCAGGAGTTGCTGATGACGAGCATGGTCTTGCACTGGCAGCAGCGAGGGGCCATGGAGGGAACGAGGACGACGGGGGTCTTGACTTCCATTTCTACAGAAGGCAAGGTGTAAGTGGTTGTTCCCTACTGGGTAGTGTACTACTCGGTTTGACTTACTGAGTGGGTGAGAAGGGGGGTAGATTTGTGTTGTAGTAAAGTTTTGTTGTTGTGGTGTGGTAGTACCAGGCAGCTAGATTTGCAGATTTGGTTTTTTTTTTTTGTGATGGAGAGCAGAGGGTGCTTGAGAACAAAGACGTCAAGTTCAAGACACTGGAGGTGGTGGGAGAGGGATATATAGACGTGGAAGGCTGAGCTTTTGTCCGATATCAGTGGCAAACGTTGACTGAAAGCAAACTGTAACAAAAAAGAGGATGACGAATCAAAGAAAAGATGGGATTCCCTATCAGTTTCTCGGCACGCCGCATCTCGGAGCTTCATGCCCTGACGTAGCTTACCACCTAGCCACCTCAACCAGCAAAAAGCTTGTTGGAGATCCCTCAGCCCCCCCATCTTCCCCGCCGCCCATCATGCCGGTGGGTGTGAAGCCTGATTCGGGGAAAAGCTTTGACTACGGGAGAAATAGGAAACACGTCGCATGCTTGGCCGCAGATGGACTTACACTGCCGCTGGTGTGGACACGGCTTGCCGCAGCAAGCTGGGCAGCTGTGTGGGCAGATGGTGGGATGTGATGCGAAACCGGGGAAATCCCCCCATATTTGAGACAATTGGGACACTTTGGGGGGGGGCTCATGTCGAGAAGCCAAGCAAAAGCCAAAGTTGCAAAACCAGCCAGTGAGGTGTGGATGGTCGACGATGCCTCGTATGCAAGTGGGCCACAAGTGTGCTGCATCGCTGCCCTTTGTTGCGTGGGTGATCGGAGCCTTCCCCGCAGTTCTTAAAGCCGGACGGGGGTGTTTTGACGCTCGGGACAGCTGGGGAAGACTGGAGGGACCAAAAGAGATGACGGACATATCCAATCAGAGCATGAGGTGAGCTATACAGATTTGGTAAACGCTTATTTCAGAAAGAGGCGTGGGGGAAAAAGGGTGTGAGGGTGTGAAGGAGTCTGGGAAGGGCACAGATGTCACGGCATCCTCCGTGGTTCTCTGTCCAGTCGGCAACACCACGGTGGTCTTCGAACATCATCGCGAGGCGCCGGTGGCTGAACGACGGTAAGACGGGTGTTTGCAGACCACAACGCCTCAGACCGTGGAACCGGGGTTGTCCATCAGTCGATTCACGGACGCTTCTTTGTCCTCAACTGCCCACCCATCCGCTATATCAACCCACCATCCCATCCGTATGTTATGAACATTGGCTGATGGCGGTTAGGTGGTGCTTGTTGGTGGTAATGATGGTGTACGACAGACATGCGCAACAAAATAGAAGAGGGCGCCGTCGTCATCGCGCATAAAGTGGATTCCACGGGAACGAAGAGGCTAAGAGAGGGCCACGACTCCGAGGATGGAGACTTTCGGAGAGTCAACAATCGGCGTTTGCGTATGATGTCTTGGAACGAAAGGCAGCACTTGCCCAACTACCGGACAGATCCGCGGTATGTTGTCGTTCTGTTTAACACCTATGACGATCAGGATTATCCCGTGTACATAGCAGTGCCGATGATGTACGCTATAGGTAACCAAAGCCTGTATAGAGGTATGTGTCTGTCACAACTGTTCGTAATGTGTCTCGTTACAAGCGAACGGAAGTCGTCGGCGCCCGAGGGTTGTGGAATCCACTGAATCAGGGCGGTGGTGGTTTGCCAAGATCATGTCAGCCAACTTCGTCAAAGCGCCAATGACCTCGGAGCCTCGGCCAAGCCAACCCTGACTTTGAGGCTTAGATGCGCCAAAGGCAAAAACATGTCCAGAAGGGCGAATGAATAGACATACTTAAACCAAGGTCCAGGCTAGTCCATCGGAAGCATACCTTGGAGGCAACTTTGTGGGAGCCACGGTGCAGTCCCGTCAAGTTGTGAGTGAGGAACAAAGAAAGTGATGTGAAAATCCAAATTCAGCACAAAGTTCATGATGGAGAAAAGGTCCGTCGTCAAAAGCACAAAGCGTGGAGAAAACGGGACCGGCCACATGCTTGGCGGGGATCATCAAAAGTGGAGAAGCTCTGCATTTGCCCCACATGGTGCACGACCCTTCTCTCCATCCCATATTTCTTAACAACAGAGAACAGACCCTTTTTCTCTTTCTCGGCGCTGTTCGATTTGCACAGCTCTTCGAAATTGTTTTCTCCGCTGTGGATTGCTCCAAAGCTCAACCTCTTCAAGGCGAAACAACTCAGCCTCCTGCTGCCTGCCGTTGACATGGAACAAGGACCGATCTGTGCGCCTATAGGTATCCTTTACAGCGTTTGAGTCTTTGCCGGGTTGCCGGAACAAGGTGTCCCGGTCATCGGCGTTGGACTCGGCCGGGCGGCTCAGCAGCTCTCATCGCAAACAAAGAAAGCCGACTGGCTCTTTTGCGCGACACTGGTGTCATTGGTCAATCCCTCCCTCTGCAAATGTCTCTTTGTCCATCAATCTCCATAAAGTCAGTTTGATTTGAACATCGCTGAGCCGCCAAGCGCTGGGCGGTTTTCAAAGCCGCCTCCTATCTAGGATAGCGGCTATCACTGTCCCGGCTCTATGGGTCATTCTCGGCCCTCACTCCGGGTGAGTAAACGGACGAAGAACGGAAGGACCTATCGGACTTCGGCCACGAGCTGTGTCCTTTCTCCATACCTTCTAGTTCGATCCATTGTCATTGCCTGGGGAAGGCAAGTCGTATCAAGGGATAGTAGAGGAGTTGGATGCCTCTTTACCTTTGAGCAGGTCGCGCCGTGACTTATAAGCGGCATCTTTTTTTCAAACAAAGCGTCACATGTTTGTTGGTTTGGAGCCGCATCTGATGACATCTGGTGATTCATACCGCAGGGCCAACGAACCTTGCGTCAACCGTCAAAGAAACAAATTGTATATCTTGCTGTTCACGGTATAGCATTTATCAGCTGGGATCTTCTACCTACCTCAAACAACACCTGCAAAGGCAACACCGTCACACCGTCACATTTATCTCGAGGTAGATATATCTACATCGATACCGGCAGTTCGGTTCTTATCAGTTACACATAGATATCGGTCCAGTCATATCGCCACTCTCCCGTCAGCTCGGCCCCCAACGACCCGCATCCTTTCGGATATCTTCCGAAACGACCACCCTAAACCGGGTGCAACGACATCACTCACATCAGAAACGTGCATATCATCACACAAACCTAACCCATCCAATCCATTCAACATGATCACCCCCATCACCATCCCCATATTATCCTCACCCTCACCCTCATCCTCGCCAAGCCCCAACTCAGAAACCCAACCCGCGGCTCCCAACCTCGAAATCCACCCCCTCCCCTCTCACACCTCCGGCCTTCTCCTCCGCGTCATCCCCCCTCCATCCCCTCCCAACTTCCAAAATGGAAACCCGGACTTCCACCATGTCCCCTGCGACATCGTCCTAGCCATCGACGTCTCAGGCAGCATGTCGGCCGACGCCCCGGTGCCCACCACCACCACCACTTCTTCTTCAGACTACACAAACGAACAACAGCCAGAACACAACGGCCTCTCAGTCCTAGACCTAGTCAAGCACGCCGCGCGCACCATCGCCTCCACGCTCAACTCGTCCGACCGCCTAGGCATCGTCACCTTCTCCACCGAGGCCAAAGTCCTGCAACCCTTGATACCGATGACGGCGCTCAACAAGAAGAAAACAGAGAGGAATCTGGGGGGGATGCAACCTTCTAGCGCGACGAATTTGTGGGGAGGGATAGTGGAGGGGTTGAAACTTTTTGGTTCTACTGAAAGTGGGAGTACCACCGGAAGGGTGCCGGCCCTGATGGTCCTGACGGATGGCATGCCGAATCACATGTGTCCGGCGCAGGGGTACGTGGCGAAGCTGAGGGCGATGGAAAGGTTGCCGGCGGCGATTCATACGTTTGGGTTTGGGTATAGTTTGCGGAGTGGGCTGTTGAAGAGTGTGGCGGAGATTGGAGGGGGTGGTTACTCGTTTATTCCGGATGCGGGGATGATTGTGAGTATTCTTTTGGGCCTTGGAGATTGGTAGCTGATGAAAGGGGAATACTGACTGCGAGACTAGGGTACTGTGTTCGTTCATTCGGTTGCGAACCTCCAGTCGACGTTTGCGAACAATGTCGTCTTACGCCTTACCTACCCCAAGTACTTGGGTCTCAAGGAGACGACGGGGCAGTCGGTGGACAAGGTAGAGCCTGTCGAGCTCGAAAAGGGGGATGTTGACCAAGGCTCCCAGCTCGAAAAGAGGGATGATGACGAAGGCTCCTCAATGCAGCTTACCCTCAATCTTAGCACCCTTCAATACGGCCAGTCACGCGACATCTTCCTCCGTTACGACAGCAAAGCGCAGGAAGCTATAACCGACGGGTTCGACTTCGAATCCCCTCCCTCAGTGCTTGCCACGCTCGACTACCAACACTTCACCAACATCACCAACACCCTCATTTCCGAATGCGAAGACATCTTCCGACCCAATCCCCAAGTCAAGCAGCTCACCCCCGCGCAAACCGCCTACCACGTCTCCCGCTCCGCCCTCATCTCCTTCCTCTCCTCCCTCTACCCCCTCCGCCGCGACGGCGAACACCAACCGCGCTTTTTCGCCCGCAGCCTCGCCACCTCCCTGCAATCCCTCCTTTCCACCCTGCCCGCCGCCCAACCCGCCTTCGCCTCCGACCCCCAGTGCCGCTCGCTAGTCCAAGACCTCACCGGCAGCACGGCCTCCATCAACGACCCGAACCAAGACGGCCAGGTAGCCCTGGCCCTGACCAACATGGACTTTTACAACCGCTGGGGCATCCACTACCTGCCCTCTCTCGCGGGCGCGCACGCCAGGCAGGTGTGCAACAGCTTCAAGGACCCCGGCCCCCTGATGTACGGTGCGGACAGCCCGCTGTTCGTCATGTGTCGAGACAGGCTGGATGCGGCGTTTGATTCGCTGCCGGCGCCGAAGCCGAGTAGGACCACGGGGTTCCAGGGCGAGATTAGCATGCGGGCGTATAATAGGAGTGGAAATCCTTGCTTTGCTGGGGAGATGAGGGTGAGGGTTGGTGTTGTTGAAGATGAGGTTGGGGATAGTGATCAGTTGGTAACAAAGGATATTGAGATTAGTGGGCTGCGGAAGGGAATGATGGTGCAGACGCCAAAGGGGTCTAGGAAGGTAAGAGCTGTTCTGAAGACGACTGTTGAGAATGAAAACATGTGCTTGGTTAGGGCCAAGGATGAAGGGGCAGGATCGCTGCTGGTTACGCCGTGGCATCCAATTTCGCTTGATGGGAAGAGCTGGACGTTCCCGAGGGATATTGCCCATGGCGATACCGTCACGTACACTGGGGATATTTACTCGGTCCTGCTGCAGTATGATCCGGATGTGGACGCCCACGCCATCATGGTTGAGGGCCTGTGGGGAGTCACGCTAGGCCATGGACTGACGGGAACGGGAGAGGGTGTGGTGAATGGCGATGAAGATGTGAGGACGCATCGCTTCTTAGGTGACTATGACCTTGTGGTTCAGAGTCTGGCCAAGTTGCAGTGCAGCGGAGACGGGTTGGTGATGGGAGGAGGTGTGAAGAGAGACTGGCAGACTGGTCTCGTCAATGGGTTTCACATGAGGCCACAGCCTGTGCCGAGTGGCACCTTGTACCTGCCTCCAAGAAGGGTAGAGTTGCTCGCTTGAGCAGTGATTTCTTGGGTGGGAAGTTATCGGTTCATAACTGGAGTTTGGGAAAGTGGTAAAAATAGAAGCATGACAATGAGCTAGACTCTTGAAAAAAAAAACACTTTGTTGAGTGTCTCCCCGGGTGTCAAGGCTGCATCGTGTTTAACCCTTTTGAGAACCTTTGTGACTTATACGTCTTCGGTGCAATGACGTCGCACCATCGCCGACCAAGAGCTGGTCTCCGGCTGAGTGCGATGCAAACTCCTACGCTCCGAATACAATGACAATGTCCCTAGGCCTGCATAAGTAAAGCGTCGGCAAGAGCCAGTAGCCAGCTCCGAATTATCCCAGTGCAAAGTGTTGGCCATGATGAGTGTTGTGAGCGTTGTTGCTTTCCACAGTCGCGGCACCTTCATGGGCTTCGAGGACGTTGTGCACGCAAAGACGGGCTCGACGAGCTGTCAATGCCAATTGAAAAGTGGGGAATTTGGTTGTGTGCGCACAGGTTGGCAGCCGCCCGTCAGCTGCCACGAGCTGGATTCTGCCCAGGCGAGGGCGAGTCTGCCCCACCGGCAAGGCCGGTCGAATCACCAATCCCCACCGCCCTCCATAGGGTTTTCAAGCCCTGCCAAAAATTTGGCCAGCGACTCCTCCGTGCCGTGTTGACCTCGAAATTGCATCTGCCTTTACTGACCGGCGGCACCTCTTCGACAATCAAGAGCGCTTGATCCACAACCGTCACAATGGTGAGTACCGAATTGCTGCTGGACGATTGCGACAGCAGACGTCCTGTTATTCTTTACGATGGGAGTCCAATTTGACTGACCGCGATTTTTATGGTGTAATAGGCGATCAAGCACAACCAGCAGATTCCCAACAACCGTGAGCATCCCCATCCCGAGCGACAGCCCGACGACGACGACGACTTTTGACCCCGAAACCGACGACATGGACTGACCCGATTTTTCAGATTTCCGCAAGGATTGGCAGAGGCGCGTCAGGTGCCACTTCGACCAGGTTCGTTAAAACCACACAGAACGAGGAGGAGGACGATGATGCGAGTTGGGAACTATGATTCTGACGGATGGGAAAACAATAGGCTGGCAAGAAGGCTTCCCGCCGTGTCGCTCGCCAGGCCAAGGCTGCTGCTCTTGCCCCTCGCCCGGTTGACAAGCTCCGCCCCATTGTCCGGTGCCCGTTAGTACAACCTTTGCATCCCGACCATATTCGAGAGAGCGTGGAGATCTGACAGGATTCGTGTGCAGCACCATCAAGTACAACCGCCGCACCCGCCTCGGCCGTGGTTTCTCCCTCGCTGAGCTCAAGGTACGATTGATAACCTAAAAGAGAGATGGGAATGCAACGCATGCAGAATTGCGATCGCCGAGAACGCATTGGCTCTGACACAGATACAAACTATAGGCTGCTGGTATCCCCAAGCTCGTTGCTCCCACCATCGGTATCTCGGTTGACCCCCGCCGCGCCAACCTCTCCGAGGAGTCCCTTGCCGCCAATGTCGAGCGCCTGAAGGCCTACAAGGCCCGCCTCGTCGTCTTCCCCCGCAAGTCCAACAAGCCCAAGAAGGCCGATACCCCCAAGGACCAGCAGACCGGCGAGTTCATCAAGAGCGTCGAGGCTGCTTTCGGCGTCGAGGCCCCCATCGTCTCCGGTTTCAAGGAGATCCCCAAGTCCGAGCTCCCCTCCAACATCGAGGGTGGTGCTTTCCGCGCTCTCCGCAAGGCTCGCTCCGACGCCAAGCTCGTTGGTGTCCGCGAGAAGCGCGCCAAGGACAAGGCTGCTGCCGAGGCCGAGAAGAGCAAGTAAATTGCTCGTCTTGGACGGGGTGGTTGAAGCGGCATCTCTGTGGCGGTGTTTGGCTGGTCTGGTCTCGGTTATGCTTTTCCTTGTCACCTGGGCGAGGACCACTATGTTGGACATCCTCGACCAAGGGCCGTGTAGTTCCGGGGGATTTCACGTCACTTTTTAAAGCGGGACACGGTTCAATTACTACACGCATCATAGGGATTTGCTAGAGCAGCGCACAATGAATGGACAACGGAAAAAGCATGATTCTTGACCAACTTCAAAGGTCCTTCTTTCTGGGTGATACCAATCGGGGAGTTCATACGGATTGCAACAAATGCCTGAGTTCTTGTTTAGTTTTTGATCACGTCCTTGTTTCACTTGTCTGCTGAATCGTTGACTCCCTGATGTGAAGATGCAGACCATTATTCTTTGCTGACATTCGTGTTACTAACACCCTTTCAATCTAGTTTCCCTTCCTATCATCCTGCAACAACTCAGTTCCTTTCTTCAGAATCTCCTCAAACACCCCCTTCCTCGGCCCCTTCAGCTCGCTCGAGTGAGCCCTCAGAATCTCCGCAACCAACACCAACCCGTTCTCGCGATCCTTGGCCGTAGCAGCAGCCGACGGCTTCGTCTCTGCCTGTTGAGGGTTGAGGTTCAGCCCTTCCATGATCGACGTCACCTCAGTCGGCTTATCCTCCTTCTCGTCCTTCTCATCCGTAACCTCCTCGATTCTGCCACTATCACCACTCTCGCCCTCCACCAGCCCAGCAGCAACTTCCTCACTCCCCGTAACCGCAACCGCCAGCTTCTTGACCGCCTCCGTCCCCTCATTCAACACCCTCAACACAACACTCGCTCCCCCATCCGTCGACCTCGCAAGCAACGCCAGCACAAACAGCACTTCCGACCTCAAAGCCGGGTACTTCCCCTGCGCAAGCAAATGCGTCAAGTGCTTCGCAACCAACGGGCCATGCACCTCATAAAACTCCTCGCGCGTCATCTCATCCAAAACCTCAACCTTGTCCTCTCCCTCCTCCTGAGCAGCAGTAGTAGCCTGCTGCAAAGCCCTAACAACACTCATCACCCCCCTGGCCGTCTCAATCTTGGTCGGCTCCAGATCCGATCTCGCGCCAAGCGTCATCAGTAAGTGGAAGTAACTCTTCACCTCCCCCTCCTTCTCCGTATGCTTGAAGTCTGCAGCCAAGGGCTTACACAGCTTGGCCACATTGCCGGGGGAGTTAACCAACAACAGCCTCGCCAGCGACACAGCAGCAAACTGCACCTGCGGCTGCACCGCCGTCTTGATCCACGCCCCCGCCAGCAACTCCGGCAGGAAAGCTTCGCCGAGCGGCATCTTGTTGCCCTGCGGGATGGCCAGGTTCTTGGCAAACGACAGAATAGCGTGTAAGAGCTGCGGGGTGGCGGGGACGGATTTCTCGTCAGGGTCGAGCGCTTGCGCGAGGAGAGACGCCAGGTGGGTGTGCACGTGGATAGTAGGGTCCGCGACGAGCGCGGTGCTGGCTTCGTCGGAGCGGGAGAGGTTGCCGAGACATAAGCATGCCGCGGTGCGGAGGTGTTGGTTTGCGAATTTTTCGGAGGACAGCCAGAGGAGAAACTTTTTGGAAACGGGGCTGGAGGAGGAGATGGGGTAGAGCTCGGAGAAGGAAGGGTGGGCGGAGAGGTCAGCCAGCAAGGTGACGAAGGTCGTGCAGACGGTTTTGAGCTGGTCGAGGTCGTCGAGGTCGGGTTCGTCCAAGTTCTCGTACGAGTAGCAGGCGTTGTAGAAGGCTTGTTGGAGGTGGAGGATGTTGGAGGCGGAGGAGAGAAAGGACGGTTGGAGGGACTCGTAGGTCAGGTAGGCGAGGGCGACGGTGCAGAAGCCGTTGAAGAGCTCGAGGGAGGGAAGGCCGGTGGGGGAGCCGCCGGCGAGAGCGAGGAAGACGGCGGGGGTGGAGGGGTCGGCGACTTCTGGTTCAGGTTCTGGTGGGGGGTTTGTTAGATATAGGGAAAACCATGAAGAGGGGAAATGGTTATGCTGCGTACTTTGGCTAACAAGTAACTCGAAGATGTTGTTGATGAGATGAAGAACTTGGTCGTGATCTCCTCCTGGTTGAAGCGAACCTTCTTGCAAGAGAGCTACAAGAGCTTTGCTTAATCCTGCTTCACACACCTGAAGTTGTGCCGGCTCTAGAATAGTGTTAGCCAAATATCCGTGTTCCAAAAGTTCGGGGCCATCGTACCATAATCAACAATGACGTTGTATAAAACGGGCAACAACAGAGGAAGAAGAGACCTGTCGTTCAGAAAGCGGATGACAGTACGAAGCTGGCCGGACTCAACCAGCTTGGCTCTGTTCTCATCTGTGATATGTTTAGCTTCAGTCCTTTTTTCTGTGGTGGCATACAGAGTTCTTACCGCAGTCGGCACATCCATTTCCAAGCACACGCAAACACTGGCGCTTCAAGCTCAGATCCAGCTCTTCCGTTGGTAGTAGTTTCAAGACAAAGTCTAGGATGCCGGATTCTCTGAGAGGGTCTCTTAAGCTGGCTGTATTTTGAGTTGCTTAGTTAGCTATTCATAATAAAAGGTATGTTTGCCTTTTCGTTTTTATGAAAGATTTGTTGTGTCCACTGAAATAAAGGGAGACTCACGATCTCTGACGCCATCACCGATTCTTTCCAGAAGATTGGCCAATGTGTCGAGCGGTTTATCTCCGCCATTCCAAGCGGCTTCGAGCTGGCTCAACAAGTTCTCGTCAAGTGTGAAAGCCATTATGTCTCTTTACTTCCGTCGGGGTATCTGCCAATGATAGAGAGATATGGTTGTGAACAAGCGGTGATGTTTGGGAGAGACAAAGGAGTGGACGTTGAGGAGAGCTCCAAACAATAAGGTGAGTGGGGCTCCAAAGTGGGGAGGTCAACAAGGTACCTGCAGCCGTTATTGGGGTGAGGTATCAAATTGATGGCAAGATGTTAGGGCATTGGGCCATGCATGCACCTGCCAGGCAGGCCAAGCCAGACTAGGCTTGGTACAGGCCAGACTCAGGGAAAGAGGTACTTAGTGGATGAGGCACTGGGAGAGTATATGTATTTCGAGTCGGCCACAAGCCAGATCCAGACTTAGCTTAAATCATCATCTTCTATATAATATAAACTATATGCAGCTCCTAACACCCTAATAGTAGTGTGTTATCACGTATCGAACATATAAAACGAAGCTATCGTGAAGAATTAGACTAATTGATTTTCTATCTTTCTTTTTCTAATTCGGAAAGGTATCTTTACTAGCCCTCTTTAGTAAACGAAGTATTAATCGAATTAGACTAGGACTACAGAATACCCTGCTTAATATATTTGTATTAAATAAGACGTAGACCTTTACGTTTAATGTATTGCCCCGTACTTAATTTTAAATTATTTTAAATCAGGCTAGATAACCGATAAGTATCTACGAATTCGCTAAATCTTAAAATTCTACTTTAACGGGCAACTTTAATTATTGCTCCTTATAGAAGACGACTTTGATTTCGTAAGACTTCTCGAGCCTACTTTCGAATTAGAAGATCCTATTAACGAGGAGAGATACCTAATTAATTAGAATATTAAAAAGAATTTATTCCTCAAGTTCTTAAGTAATTAGCGAAAGTAGATTAAATAAAGCGTTCTTCTAGAAGGACTCTAATAGTTTAAATAATAAGGCACTCCAATATATTAACCCGCTAAAGACTAATTTAAACCCTAGGAATAACTTTGATAGTAATTAATTAACCCTTCTATTTTTTATTACCTTTTATTCCATAATAGTTAAATTGGATATAGGTATTTACTGTTCCTACCGAATTTCTAAATATAATATTACTAACTTCAACTATTTCTAATCAATTTATTTTATATACTTAAACTTAGAATAAATTCCGCCGAAGTTCTAAACCCCTAAGAGTTCCTTTATTTTCTATTTATTAGCGAGAAAACCCTATAAGACCTCCTCTATAGATTCGAACGTTATTAATAGTAAGTTAGAGAATAATTCGAGATTTAAGAGTTGAATTAATGGTATAAGGAATAATAAGAGGTAATTGTCGATTATATTATACGTTTGATAACGGAATTTTAATGATAGAAAGTTTAGAAACGTTGTTAATAGGAGGAAACCGAACGTGATTGTTAAGCCGAATTTGTAGAGCGTAAGCGTTAAGGGGAATTTGAAAAAGCCCGTCGTTAAGCCGAATTTAACGAAGTTTAACGCCGTCGGACCGAATTCGAGGAAGTTCGTCGTTAATGAAGTTAGAACCTTAAAATTTAACGTTGTCGTTAAATCGAATTTGAGGAAGCTCGTTAAATTTAATTTGAGGAAGATTAACGCCGTTGAATTAGATTTGAAGAAGTTCGTTATTAAGTTAAATTCGACGAAGTTTAACGTTAAGAAAATTAATACCAAGAAACCGAACTTTAAGAATTTCGGAATTAGGAAGTCGATAAGGATAGAGATATTAGGATAATTGGGAACCTAATATAGGTGGATATTATCTCCCTCGTAGCGAAGATAATTGCTGAGATTATAATTAGAGTAAATATTAAAAACCCTTTAATATCCAATTCTAATTATAACGTTAAGGTAGGGGATATTAATTACTCTAACCTATTTTTAATATCCGTTAACGGCGTTATTTCCGACGGGAAGGTTAATGAATATATTAATATATATACTTTTATTAATAGGTTTAAGTATTAAATTAGAAACTTTAAGAACGATAGTGAAATCTAAGTTCGTCGAATTTAGACCTAATATCTTATAAGCGTTACTTTAATTTTGTTAGTTATTATAGACTTAATATATATATAATAATAATAATAATAGACTTGTAACGGATTTACGGGCTTATATAATAATATATAAGTATAAAAATAAAATTTATAGTTTTATATATAAATACTATTTTTATAACCGGAGAAAAATTCCAGTCCGGAAGAAAGGTCCGATTTGCAACAGGGATCACCCCTGAATAGAATCCAGAAGAAAACCCAGAGGAAAATCTAGACCTCGACCTTCGTAGTCGAATTTCGGCCTCAACGTCAGTCAAACGAAGTCATACGTAACTCCATTAGAAAGAACGGAACACGACGTTTCCGACCGTACAACGGTTTCGTTATATGACGACCATATGGAGTAGAAGTGAAGAAAGAAGTCCGAGAAGACTTTTGAGTTCGGATTCGAATTCCGGACTCTACGGCTGACGTATGAGAATAACCAGACTACCGTTAGAATGATCAGAAAATAACGATTCCAAAAGTACAAACAGTTTTGTCACTTGATGACTCATTGATCCATAAAGTCTATTTAAAGAGGGCTTCCCTCGAGAAAAGGGGAAAAGAAATATATCTTAGACACTCATCGATATCTCAACCAATCTACCACCATTCTCCACATTCTACATACCATTCTGCTCCACTTTGAACGCTCCACACAGCTGTATCGACCGTACCTTCATACCGTATTCACTCGTCGATCGATACCTTCCAACAAATTTAATATAGTTACGTACTTTTCGAAGTTAATTGTTTATTATTCGAGACAGCCTCTATTAACGCTATTTGTATAAAGTTAAAAGATAAATTCAAATTTAATTACTTAACCAGTCTAATTGAAATTAAGAGGGCTAGGTTTATACTTTAGGATATATATTAAGGTAAAGATATATTAGCCTTCGTCTAGATTATTATTCGTAGTATTAAAGGTTATAACTTCGATTTCCTTGATTAATTAATCGCCGTCTTCGAGGCCTTCAACCCCGAGATTCAAATAAATTTAATTAAGCTAAATTTATTATTAATAGTCGATATATTAATGAACTAACTTCAGGAGAGAGAAAGTATTATTCGAGGATTAGCCTTTTAGAAATATTGTAACTAAATTCTAATTCCTAACTATTAAATATTAAATTAAAGGCAAGTTGGCTATTAAAATAATAGGTTGAATTCCTATAATTAGAATTGAGGTAGCGAAAACTAGAATTGAGGATATTAGAATTAAGGCTATTAGAATTAGGGTTAGGGATATTAAAACTAGATTTAAGGCCTATACTAGAATTAAAACCGCTTATCTGGCTACTTTTAGAATTAAACTTAATAGAGTTAATACAGTAATTAGAATTAAAATAATTAGTTAGCTAATTGTAATTAGACGAACTTCGTCCTAGAAAACCGTTGCCTACTTATACACCTAATTATACTTAGGGCTATAAGGTAATAGTTAATTTATTACGGCGAATTTAATTTAGATGTTGACCTATTTTACTAATCCCTTAGCGTTAAGGACGTTACCGATAACGAATTTACCGGCTATATAACTACTAACAGCTATATTTACCCAGGCGTATTCTTTAATAATAAATCCTCAGTTAATCTGTTATATTTTATACCCGTGGTAGAGGAGTTAGGCCCGACGGAGGAATATAATGATAGATTCGTTGGTTTTATAGCGACGAAATAGACCTAACGCTACTATATTTGTTTTAAAACCTTTAATAGCAGTAATAAATTAATATAGTACGTTTATAGAGTCTATTTTAAGCGCTGATAGCCGGGACGTTCGAAGAACGGTAAAGTAACGTCGCCGGAGGCCCCGGTTAACGTATTCTATAGTATAAGAATCTTTAATATTATAAATTAGCCCTAGGTAAAAAACGAAGAACTGATAATGCTAATTTAGCGGAGGGTCTAAATAGATAACGAATAGGCGTTAACAGAGTTAAACTTCCGACTACTTTAATTCCTATTCCTATTATTAAGTCCGCTATCGATAATAAATTGTTAATAGGTATAAGTTTTAATTTTCGTTCTTATTTTTATATACGATTATAAATTATATTTAACTTAGAAAAACTGGAAGAAGAATTAGATATATACGAAGATATAGGGTATATATTAATATTAATAAATATGGTAGTACTATAAAAATACTTTCTATAAGTCGAAGTCTGTAAAAAAGCTACGCTAATTATAATTAGAGGAATCAGCGATAGTAGATATACAACTTCGGAATATATTATTTTATTATTATTTTTTAAGAGTTAAATATTAGGAACCGAATATTAATAGTTCGCTACCTTTATGCGTAAAGTGACTATCGTTAACGATTTGAAGGCTAATATGTTGTTGGGAATTGATTGTATAGTATTAGAATAGTTTGATATTTATTTGAGTTAGGGATATATTGCGATCAATTCTTGTAAAAGTATTAGGATCCTAATTGGGATATAAATTTATAGTAGGAAAGTCTATGTTAAAATTACATTTATTTATTATATCAACGTTATATTATAGAAGACGATTTGGATGATAGTTAATTATTTTGAGTAATCTACCGATTAAAATTTATTATTTATATTGATTTATTAAAGGAAGTTGACGACCCTAATATAAATAACCGACGGAATTTATTAATATATTCTAATCCGCAACAATATATTAGAATTAATATAAATTTATAAGGGCGCTAGAATCGGGTACTTAGCTTCGATAAATTAAGATACATATATATATATAATCGAGCTAGATATAATTGAAGAGGTAATCCGCTTAGCTACTAACGGAGATACCTTATAACCTCCTATCTTAGAGCTTTAAGGGAGCGATCCGACTATTTAATATATAATAAGCGTTAAGATTTATAACTGTAATCCTGTCGTAACCGATATAATAAATCGGATTTTAGGCGAATATTAAGATATCTTTAAAGATAAGGGTTTCGTAGAATTATCCGAAGACGAGTGGATGAAGATTGAAATGAAACCGGATTAGTATATAAAAATCCCAAAATATTGTAGGATCTTTTAAATAAACGTTAAGGATAGGAAAATTATTAATTAAATATTAAAAAAGATACGTGAGTTGGGTAGAATTATAAGAATAAAATATTAAATCCCTTTTTTATTCCTTATTTTCGTAGTTTGGTAATAGACGAAGAATAGAAGAAAGGGAAGGATGGTAGTAGATATTAGGGGCTTAAATAGGAATGTTCTTCCCGATTCCTGCCCTATAAGGTCTTAAGAAGAGGTGTTAGTAATAGTTGAAGACGCGGCGTTTATTACGGTTTTCGATGCCGTAGCCTTTTATTATTAATAGTAAGTCTATCTTTAAAATTATTAGGCTTTTATAATTATAACTTTAGAAAGCTAATATATTTATAATATTATTATTATAGGATTCAAAAATTTAAATGCCTACGTTCAACGTTAAATGGACTTGTTATTCGACGGTACTGTTGGAATTAATTATTATAACGATATCGTTATTGTATTTAAAATATTGGAGGAGTACGAATTATATTTGAGGTAAGTTTTAGAAAGATTGAAGGAACGGAATATTTTTATTAGACCTTTAAAATCCTTTTGCGCCTTTCCTTCCGCCGTAGTTTTAGGGCGTATAGTTGATTCCTTTAGCTTTATTATTACTAAAGAGAAATTAGAAGTAATTGCCGCCATAAAATTCCCAAAAACCTTCCGGGATTTAGAGATTTTTATAGGTTAGATAGGCTACTAGAGATACTACGTACCGAATTTATTATTAACCCGCTCTAATATTGGAAAATAGAGCTTTTAAAGATTTATCGAAGAAAGGGTCCCGAATTGGAATTAATATTAGAGTTAAGTATACTAAATTAGGCTAAATTAAGTCAAGATAGACCGATTCTGTTAAGACCGCCTCCTAAAGGAAAATATAATTATAAAGCTTAGGCCGCGGCAATCCTTTTTGGCTTGCTATTCTGGGAAGAAATTATAGCGTTTAAGGTTGTTAAAGAAGCCCTGTCTAACCCTATTAAATTTTATTATTTTTACCTAAATCGTTTATTATATTTCGATTATAATATATATATTAGGGGGATTAGAGTTGAGATTTACTATATTAAGGATAATATACTTAAGAAAATCCACAACCTTAATAATAAAATTATTAAATATTTATTAAAGATTGTAGTTTAACTGATAACCTTTCTTTTTAGAACCCTATTAAATGCGGAAAAGAGGTATTGGGCGACGGAAATAGAAGTTTTAAGATTCGTTTGGGCTATATTAAAAGCCAAATATTGGATCAACATTACTAAAGTTAGAATATATTGTTTTATAGACTATTCAGCAATTTTAAATATAATAAGATAGGTTAATATAACGAATTCGACGGCCGTTAGCGCCCTTAATAAGCGATTCGTTAGGGCAATAGAATTTATTAGCCTATTTAATATATAGATTTTATATAAACTGGGCGTTTACTATATTATTCTAAACGCTTTATTATGGTTTAATTCGAATAATAATAATACGGATCCTAATTAATTGGGCGGATTGGACGTACTATTAAATAACGTTCTGGAACATTAGGTATTTATGGGTAACGTAATAATAGGAGGGAATTAAATATAAATCCTATTTAAAATTTAAGTTCTAGAAGAAATAATCCAAAATATCCCCTTTAATAGAATATAAATATCAACGGGCGTAGTAATTATCGCGATTGAATTAGGCTTCCGCCGTTAATTAATTTAGGAATATATAGAAGACTCCTATTAGAAGATAGTTTATACAATAATTCAATAGAACGAAAAATTTGGATTAGAGAAAGCCGACTTACTATTTTAAATTAAAAATAATTTATTATAGCGAATCTAAAACGATTCCTTTAAATTCGTAACTCTATAACATGATTTTTATAATATCTTGAAGGCCTTATATGGCGGAAACCATTAAAACTATAATAAAATCGTACTATATTTATTTAATTTCTATATTGACAAGGGATTTAAGAAATTGAAAGAGTTTTTAATAAATTATCCTAAATTCCATATTAATAACGTATAAAGGTATAAACCCTATAGGAATCTATAACTATTATTAAGTCCGCCCTATCTATATTTTTTTATTACCATAGACTTTATATTAGTGTTACTTATTTTAATAGACGGGTTCGACGTTTATTTTATTATTATATATAAATATAGCAAGGAGATAATCATAATTCCGGGGAAATTAACTTGGATAGCCTAATAATAGGAAAAGGTATTAATTAAAGCTCTATTAACGAGAAACTGGGGAATCCTACGCTAAATTTTAATAAATAGAAATCCTAAATTCGTATTAGTAATATAGAAGCTAATATAATAATATTTAGAAATTAAATTACTATATTTAATAATTTATAAACTATTAATTAACGGTTAGTTGGAGTGCTTAATATAAGTAATTGAAATAGCGTTAAAATATTATATTTAAAGCCTGATTCATTTAGAACGTTGGCTGGAAATTATCCTAAAATTGCAATTCGAATATAATAATGTAAAAATAGGGACGACTAAAATATTTCCTAACGAGGTAATTAAAGGATTCTAGCTAGCTGGAATTATAAATATTATTATAGATCGGGGATTCGACTATTAATTATTTGAGAAGCTAGACTTCCCAACGGCGAAAATAGAAGCTTATAATTCCCTAGCAGTAGCCGTAATAACAATAAAATACTATTTTAATAAAATATATATCTTAAAGACTTTTAACGTCGGCGATCGAATTTATTTTAGATTTTATAAAGGGTATACTATTCTATAAGTTACCGTACTAGGGAGTAAGCTAGGTCTACGATATATAGGACCGTTTAGAGTAGTAGAATGAGTCGGGCGAAGTGTATAGATTGAATTTCCCTATTAATTAGAAATTCATTTAATAATTAGTATCGACTATTTAGAACCGGTAGGAAAGCTGGACCCTTACGGGTGTTAACTACTAACCCTAATTCTTATTAAAAGTATTAATTTACTAGCTAAAATTACCGCTAAAAAGAAGGAGAAATTAGGAATTATTAAATATTTAGTCGAATACGACGGGGTAAGACGGGAATTCGACTACTAAGTGGTAGTAAAAGAATTGAAACCTAAGATTTTGGAAATATAACTATAAAAGAAGATACAGAAATGAAAATAAAGATAATAAAAAGAATAATAAAATATTTTGTACTATATATTTACTTAGTAAACTATTCGCGAGGACGTATCGCTTTCGATGAGGGGCAGATTGTTAGGGTATTGGGCTATGCATACACCTACCAGGTAGGCTAAGCCAGACTAGGGTTGGTATAGGCTAGATTTAAGGAAAGAGGTACCTAGTGGATGAAGCACTGGGAGAGTATATGTATTTCGAATCGGCTACAAGCCAGATCCAGACTTAGCTTAGATCATCATCTTCCACACAATATAGACTGTATGCAGCTCCCAACACCCTGACACAAGAGGTACCTCCGTAGGGTAGAAATGACTTTTCTCACTGCAGTCGGAGTCTTTCTTGCTTCTTCGAGTAGCTTCACTATTATCCCTTCCTGGCTATTTTTTTTGGCTTGAGATACAAACAATTAGCTGCAGCTTTAAGTTCGGTTTGATTACCGAGCAGTGACATAGCTTTCAAGTCTCGCGCTAACACTGGGACGGGTTGATAGCTCCCCTTGTCGCCTCCATAGGACTCGGCATCTGGTTGCGAGTATTGATTTCACAAAGACTGTGAACGCAGGTCTGGGTATATTGTTAATCACAGAGAGACAGTACAAGAATTCTAGCCCTTTGACAGCATGAACCATGAGATAGCCGAAAACCTCACGGTGAACAGATGGCTCGTGCGCCCTCCCATATTCAGGGGTAATCATCACAGCAGCGCAAAAACGACAAGAGGGTCTACAACAAAAAGACACCCGTATATGCTACATGCCACATTATACACTTTACCGGTACACAGCAGTAGCCACTGCGACCGAGTAGGGAGACGGCTACACGCCCATCTTTTGGGCGCATAGATAGTATACACATGGCCGGCGCCGCATCGATCCCGGCCAGGATCATCTGTAACCATCGCCATAAGAAGCGTCCCACGTCCACACACACATCTGCTGCGCTCACTTTACTGCCAACCACAGACAACCACGCCTTACTGCTTGCTACCAAGCCACTTGAGCTCGACGTACTTGCCGATGTTACCCGTACCGAGAACAGGAAGCTCACGCTTCTGGAGCTCCTTCTGGATGACCTTCCAGCGACCAACCATCTTCTCCTTGTCCACAGGTGTGACTCTCCTGGGGTAGACCTTGACGTTGGGGAGCTCGGGCAAGATGCTGCTCTGCTCAATCTGCTCAGCAAGCTTCTTGGGCTTGGGAGGAGTGACGAGGGCATCCATAAAGTTGGCGACAGTCTGAATGCTGGTGAGCTTGCCGTCGGAGAGGATGTGACCGGTCATTTTCTGAATGCGCTTGGCAGCCTGTTGAATTGGAGGGTTCTGTTAGCTATCTTTTCATAAGCAAGGTGATTCGGAACGGGACGTACATAGAACTTGACGACAGGGTCCCGGATGGTAGCCTCCTTCCAGTCGTTGTTCCAAGACTTGCGGAGCTCGATGGCCTCGTCGACGGTCAACTTGACCCGAGAACCCTCCTCGCCCTTTAAGCGATAGCCGAGCTTCTTGCCCTCCTCGAGCAACTGGTCGGCCTGCTCCTTCTCGCCGAGAGAACGTAGCCTGCGCACCTGCTCCTGCCACTCGAGTGTGTTGTCGGCCTTTTCCGCCGCGTTCCGCATGAGAATCCAGACCCTCTGCAAGTCGCTGTGGTTCTTGAGCGACAGCTCACCATTCTCCCCACGGCACATCTCCACGGCGACGGTCTTCTGCCAGTGATCGCCGTTTCCAATAATCGACACCATATCCGCGGGGTTCTTGGGGTTAGCGCCGAACTTCTTCAAAGCCAGACCCTCGACGAGCGCCCTCCTCAGAATGACCTTCAACAGCCTGGGGTCTGTGATCTTCTCTTGCGGGGCAAAGCCCTGGTATTCGAACTGCTTCCCGCCATCCCTGAAATGCTCCGGCTTGCTCCACCAGTCGGACATACCACCGATCTCTTGCAGCCCCGCGCCGGACGTGGCAGGCTCATAGTTGGGGTCTCTGATCTTCTCTGGGGCGTCGGCCCGCGTGGGTTGCCCTGGAAGAACAAGGTTGACCTGCCTCGGGGTTTCGAATCCTCCTTTCCTCTTCCTCTGTTGTTCAACGGTTTCGGTGGACTCGGTCGCGACTTCGGCGGCGGCGGCGGCTACCGGGGCTTCGGGAGTGGTCTCGGAAACCGTAGAGGCGCATCGGCGTTGTGTCTGGAGGGTGTTTTGCCAGACGCGGTTACGGGTGGCGGAGATTTGTGTCGAGAAGTTGCATGACTGGCAGGTGGAAGAGGAGTCGGCGGCGGCGGTCGCTTGGGCCCTCAGGGCGCGGAGGGGAGCGGCCGATGTGGAAGCGACAGGCGACGAAGAGCTGCACAGGGCAGAGGCCGTGGACGGTATCCTCGGAATGATGCGGCGCATGGCTGGTGTGTTGAGGTTGCAACTTGCGACGACGGCAAGGTGCAATGGGACCTGTATGAGTTGTCCGGGGGGGGGGGGGGGGTGGTGACCGGGTTGGCGGTTGCGTTCGCGGGTGCGGACGGGGCGACAATAATCGGGCAACGAGCGGGCGACTCGAGGCGCGATGGAGTCTTGCCGGTCAAAAAAATCGAGCCCCGTTCTGCCCGTCCATCGGTCCAGTTGCCGGCCCAGACACACCCCGGTCGGCCAGCCGGGCGGGTGCTTGGCACTGTGGCAGCCACTGAACAGTCTCCAATTGCGTGCAGAGTGCTCCCCTCCAGCTGTTGACGGTCCAAGCTTCGACCCCGCGATTGACATGTCAGCCACATCTGCTAGTGGCTGAGTGGGAAGCTAGCGGCCGGGTAGCTCGTAGCGGTTCGCAAGCTTTCGGCCAAAAAATCTCTTGAATTGGATGATCTGATGGGCTCCCGGCAACATCTCCAAGCTCCATACCTCCCGACCTCGCCTACGTAAAAAGTGTCAGAGCTCCCCCGAGAGCCCCATTCTGTCCTTCAGTCCCGTCCAGACCCGACTACTCGACCTCGACGCCGATTACATACTTGCCGAAACCGGACATCCTATAAATACAGCTTCAAAGTCGATCCAATGGCGCCCCCGTCGAACCCCCGCAGCGTCTCGGACGCGACACGCTTCACCCCGACGACTCCCCATGCCAGCTCCAAGTCCGCGGATCCCCGGCTCAACACCCCCAAGGGCTCGCCAACAGGTCCCAAGGAGCCCAAGATGCCCGGCACTCCCAAGTTCGTCGAGACACCAGAGCAAAGGGTTGCGCGGTTAAGAGCTGCACACTTGAAGGCGAAGCAGGCGCAGGTTTCGAGGATGGATCGGATCATCGACGGCAGCAGACGCTTCTTCGACTCGGCTCACAAGGTCACCGTCTTGGGGTTGATTGGTTTCACAGGTTAGTCCCGTCTAGCCCCGAGCACTTATGCTTTCACCAGTTTCCGAATTTGGTACCTGGTTCCTGGCCTTAGATCCAAGAACAAGAACTGACATACGTCATAGTGATGGCCGGCCTGGTAACCGCCTACACCGCCGCCGACATGATGGTGTACAACAAGAAGCGCAAGGCCGAGTTCATCGAGGCGCAGAAGAAGATGGAGGCTGATTCGCTCGAGGCCGCCCGCCTGGCCTACATCACCGGCAAGGCGACCGAGGAGCAGACCGCGCTGGTGGAGGAGTACCTGGAGCGTGAGCGCGAGGCCGGCCGTCCGAAGCCCTCCATTTTCTCCAAGCTCCCCAGCGTCATCGGCGCCCCGACTCCCATCACGAACGAGACGACAGAGCAGACGACAACGAGCGTATCAGAGGCGGCGACATGGCCCGCTGCGACAACACCGAAGGCGACCGAGGAGCAGCCTGCGGCGGTGGATGCGGCTACCACGGAGAAGTCGGGACTTTGGGGCTGGCTTACCGGCTCGCTGAAGAAGGAGGATGTTGCCGCGGGTGCGGGACAGCAAGCCCCTACACTGGTCGGTGCTGTGAAGCAGGAGACGAGCGCCATCAAGGAGAAGGCGCAAGCGGCGTTTGAGAAGGAGAAGGAGAACCAGAGGAAGGGTGGCCCCCTTGACAAGGTGGGCTTGCCTGAGCAGAAGTGAGTGAGCTGAAGCGGATGGAGAAAGGGATGAAGAGGTCAATCTTTGGGTGGACGAATGAAGATGGAGCGGTCTTTCATGACCGTGAGGGACGAAGGAGTAGGGTCATCAAGCCGATTTGCTCACGATGGCCATCTCCTCGAAACCCGTCTTACGGGCAGCTTGGCCGTTTTTGGTCTGGCGATCTTTGGCATCACCATGCCTCTGATATGATCAAGGGAACTTCGCATTTGATGAGGGTAAACACATGTTGGGCGGGTGGGGTGGGCGACGGAATCACGAAGCAGCCTTTCTAGACCTTGGGTGCTGGGAGACCGCTTGTTAGAAGTGCGGCGGGACCTCTACCATGCATGAAAGGATATGCGTACAAATTACGGTTTCAACAACACGACAAGAAGTGTTGAGATGCAAGACAGGAGAAACGGGCTAGGATATTGCTCGACAAAGAGCCCTACCCGATGTACCATAGTGTAGAAAGGAGTCATTGCATAAATCGGCGCAGAGGAGATGGATTTACCCAAGTATATAAGATGTGAGACATAACATAGTGGTAGAAGTATTCGGTGTATTGGATGTCACATACAATATTCAAAATCGCATTAACAACAGGGTAGGCATCATAAAATCACGGGTCATGTCTTGGACATTCCACGATCAGACATCTTCATTCAAATATTATCTTATTCACCAATTACTGTTATCTGCGTAATGCGATTAATCATCCTAGAAGTAGACTAGAATCCCTCTCCATGCGCTATGTTTCCTCCCGGTTTTGGAAGTCAACATGGTATATAAACGACCGTGTGATGTTTGTAAATGTCAAAGACTCCTTCCTGCCTTCTCCTGAAAGGCCCCGAACACCAAATGAAACCCAGTGAAAAAGCAAAAGAGATATGAGTATGCTATAGTGTTTGGTCGTTTTTTTTTCACCAACGCTGTGTGTCCTTCCATCTCCTCCGGACCAAATGAGAAATAGTGCAAAAAGCCAAATGCCATGCCATGTTGTTCTGGGCATCGGCTCAGCTCGGCCTGAAATTTGACAATAGAAGCACTGATTTGATCGTAGTAGATCAGAAGACAAACTCTGAGCCCTCGATTCCCGAGAGCCCCTGGAGGCGTGGCTCTGTCTCTGACCCATCAGTCCTCTCCTTTCTTATCCCCACGTCCTCAGGGGCTGGCCCACGAGGTACTCTACCCGAAGCTCCCGCGGAGCTCCTCGCCCCCCCCCCCAAAAAAAAAAAAAAAGGAAAAGGAAAGGTCAGCTAAACATCCGCGTACCGCCATCCTACGACACGATAATATGGTTAAAATGTCCCGGAACCTTCATCCGGCACTTCTCGCAGTCATCCCGATATCCTATGCTAAACGACCTCTTCATGCCCGGCTGGTTGGCCATGGTCCACGAGCTGACCGTGTGTTTGGAGCGCTGATGGCCCCTTTTATTAGGGGGTGACGTGGTTTTCGGCGATGTCTGCGGGGATCCTCCATATCCAATCTCGACACCATCCATACTACCATGACCATGACCATGACCATGATGGTTTTGGCACTCTCCTTGGGGAATAGGCGTCGGCTCGCGGGGTCCCATTTGGCTGTTGAGGGAAGAGTTGCGCAACGGCATGGCGGAGAGGAGAGGGTGGCTGTGGGTTAGTTGGTCGAGGCTGCTGAGGCGCTGGCGGGGGAGGGGGTGTTCATGTTGCTGGAGGTGGTGGTGGTCGTGATCATGGTGATGTTGATGGCCAGGGTGGTACGATTCGAGGATCATCCGCGGACTTTCTCCCATGCCGCTGTCTTCCATGTCCCCTCCTACCTCGCTTATGGGCGAGGGGAGCCGACGGTTCTGCACCATGCTCCAGTCCTCCATCACCTGCGCGGTAGCGGCGGCGCCGTCGAGAGAGCGGGGGACGCTCTCGTGGCCTAGTAGCGAGACGGACGGCTCGTGGTGCTGCTGTGTAGGTGGAGGGACCCCATATGATCCCCTATGGTCCATGGTGATGTTACCCGCCGCTCCGCCCCAGTGCTTACCCCGGACTTGCTCAGCGAAGTTACAGTGGATCGGTGTCGGAATGCGATCGCTGATGCTTGGTTCAGGTGCCAAGTGGTCTGGCTGAAACTGACCCGGTTGGAGGTACTGCTGGTGCTGGTGGTGCTGCTGTTCTTGATGTCTTGGTTCTGGTTCGCAGTCCATCATCTCCATATCCATGCTTTCCGGGCTGTAGTTTGATGGGAGCTCCGGCTCGGCGGCCCATACGTGCTGCTCTGTGATCTCGGGCTCATGGTAGTCTGAGGGATCCGGCGCCCCATAGTACTGGTAGCCCGAGACGACGGGCTGCGGATTCTCTTGAAAACTCGGTGTAGAAAGCCATCTCTTGGAGTTGGGAGATGTCCGAACAGGCAATATTTGTTGGCGTTTCTAGAACGGGTGTCAGCATCTCATCAAAGGCGGATGACCGATATGGTGGTCTTGGACGAGGGAATGTTGACAGCCAAGGTCGTGCGAGGAAAGGCGGGGCAGATATATACGAGAGAATGCCGGGTGAGATAACCCATGAGAGAAGCGAAAGACGGCTTACAGTTCGGTGCTCGGAGAAGCCTGATACCCCTCCCATTGCGGCGTCCGCATAATCGTCCTCCCGCGATCTCTTACGGGGGCCTGCGGCCCATGCATGAGGAGCCATCATGTCGTCCAACCTGCGTATGCGCAACACGAAGCTGTGCGTAGGCGATACCCGAGATTGGCAGTCCGCAAGGGAATCAATCGAGCTGTTACGATGTAGGATCAAGTAAGGGCTGGAAGAGCGCAAGCCTCTTCTTATTATAAGTATAACCTGATGGACGGTTGATGTTTGTGGGGAGAAGAAACCGGCGGGTAGCTGACTGAGACTGAAAGAATGTTGAGCGCTGTGTTGGTGGCGGTGGTGTTATCAAGCTTTGTAATGCCGAGATGGATGTCACGGTATCGGCACGTCTTACGACAACAACTTCGAACCGACTGAAAGAGGAAGATGCCTGAATTGCCCAGATCAGCACTCCTTGCTTGCCTTTTTGACCGTCCAACTTGATAGGCAGAAGCCGCTTGAATGGTGAATAGGAGACCGCCTTCTCGAAGGGAGACCAATGGAAAGGGCGTTGCGACAGCGACAGCGGAGGTGGGGGGGGGGGAGTGAATTGTTCAGTTCCCAAAAGAGAATGGGGACGTCCGGCTTTCCCACTTTGTTGCGATTTGGGGTCCAAAGTCCAAACTGGGTAGACAAGTGAGGGACGGTCGGTGACAACCCCAAGCACTTGACTCGGCTCCTTCCCGTGCGGAGACAACGCTGTCTAGGATCTTTAGTCTGGTCTTGGTCTGGCCTGGATGCCGTGATCGACAACTCTCGCTGCTTCTTGTCGCAGTTCTTGAAGTATCTGGAAAGCGGCAAGAGGTAACCGCTCGTAGACGGAATTTGCCGTTTATTAGAAACACCAAGAAAGTTGTTGCTGAGATTCAAGAATGGAATGTGCCGTGTTGGCGGGGGTGTGAGTAAAGAGCCCCTCAAAGTCGGCGCCGTTAGCCCTGGCTTTGATGAACAAGCTACGAGTGAAAAAGGGGGTCAGAGTGTGCAAGGTCTGAAAAGATAGTCCCGCTAAACAATCAATATTCTTTTAACCTTTCCTTTCACCAGGATCTGATGGGTAGGTAGTTCACGCGATAAATCACCGCAGTGGTGTGGAAGAGACTGCAAGTAGAAGGCATCTACGTCAGTCGCTGCAAGGATGTCAAAGACATCTGTTGTGGACTTGGAGCGAGGGAAGGACAGATATTGTGTGCGAGGCACAGAATCTGAGCTAATCACAGATTTGTTAACTTGTCCATTTGGGTTGAGGTATCACAAAAGAACACGATATGCGCCTCTTAACTGTGACTGGCAGTGGTGAGATGACAATTCAATGGTTGGGTGTTGAAGAGTTGTTTACCATGTGAACGTGCCCGCCGCCATTCTGAAGAGTTTCTAGCGGCTTTTGCTGCGATCAGTGTGGGGAAGACCCTTTCAGCCCTCGCCTTTGCTGATAAGAAAAAGATCACTATGCGCGCCGTGCAGACCCTGTAACTCGGCCGATGGACCCTTCAAGTCTTCACGTCCGTTCTTGGACCAGCTCCAAGCTGGAGACCTTCAGCCCTTGCCACCAAACACTTCGAATCACATGGCAAATGGATCTTGGGTTTCAGGATTGCTCCAGGAATTCGGATGGTACAGACCTGCAAGTCAATGTTCAATCCTTCAGTTTCGATTTCATTGGCCATTCCGTCGAACCTGACCACCGGCTCCAGACCAAGGACATCACGACCGTGGACCTCGATGTTCTGGTTTCCATCAGAAATTCAGAGTCCAGATACGTTAAGCATGCTATAACCACATAAGCCTTTAATGTACTCTTCAGCCTTCCATGTCATCCAACTCTACTTCAGTAGCCGATTACCTCTCCTTGAAGTCCATGCTGGAAGATCAACGACAGCCAAGACCTTCAGCATCTCGGATCCTGGGCTGTCCTTCGGGCTCAAGCGGTCACATCAATCCGGGAACTCATTGATTGTCTGCAAGTGCCTTGACATACACATATCCGGATCTCTACTTAGCTCTGGATGCTGGAGACAATGGGATTCTCCCGGGCTTTTAAACTATCGACACCAGACTGGAAATTGTGAGCTCGCCATAGCACCTCAAGCTCCGTCCCAACAACCCTCCAGTCGACATAAGTATCAGGCCAGGCTAAGTGGTGCTCAGCCTTATAAGGCAACCTATGAACGAGTTCTCATTAGGCAACCGAATTCGATCCATCGGACAACATGCCGTGCTCCTCAAGATCTGCCAGACTGTACAGGCGGTTTGCTACTCAGATCGGTACCGTACCCCCCAGCCAAGCTCCCAAGGTTGGGTACCTCTATAGAGTTGCAACTTATAATCTGAGCACTCGGGTTTTCAGTTGAGGTCTCCCGATCTGGGCCACCATAAGAGAAGGCTGTTACCTCTACAGGTTGGCTTCAACAGCAACTAGCCAAGTCTCTCTGTCTGATTCAGGACACAAAGGTGTTCTCCATGTCCTCTGCGCGGAAAAGATGGTTGATGATGGAGTTCCGTGAATTGACATCTCTACCACCTACGCGAGGCATGTAAGTGTTGTACCTTGATGGTCAAAAAGGGTGAAGCTCCGGTGCTCGGCTTGCCGCCGATTCATATGCCCCCCGGACAGGATCCATCCCAACACGTCAACCCTCAAAGAACGTGTCAACCGAGTAGAATCCACTCTTGAAGACAATGTTGATATCGAATTCTGTTGTTATTGTTGCCGTTGGTTGTGAAGCTGGGATGAAGGGGCAAACGTCTCTATGCCGATGTCTTTAACGCGTTGAAGAGACTTTAGAAGAGACGAAATTGCGGAGCGAGTCTTGCACTGTCTCCAAGTCGCCAACCAAGGTAGACTATACGATTAACAGGATCAAACGTTGAACCATGTCAAACGGTTTAAGGGAAGCGGGTATCGAGTGTTGGCGGGGAACTTACACGGATCAAGAAGCAGTTTGGGACGACGTCGACATGAATTGCTCACCATCAAATTCAAAGCCGTCAAAGTTGTCATTGAACGTATCGAAGACGATGTACATAATGTAATTCAAAAGGGAGAGGCGGTAGGTGGCCTGAGCTTCAGTGTTCGCCCAGTTTACTGAAAGGCCAACACCAAATATCTTGTATAGTCTCTCAGGCACCCATCCGTAGAATACGTGCGTGAATAAATCAAACATCAAAATGACCGAGGATACCGGCGTCCGTTAACAAGGCCACGGGAGTCGATGCTGCGGGCCGTGACGTGATGTTCTCACTGGCGTGTCGAGATGCAGTGGTTCACGTTGCATCGAAGCGGCGTCGAACCCTGGAAAGAATCAACAGCTTCTTCCAGGAGCCCTGGTCCATTGGTCCGTTTATCGGACACTAGCAGACGGAAGGGCGCGGATGGGGCAGCCGAGTCGTGGTGAGGCCAAGCGCCCGAGACGAATGAAGAGCCCCGAATTACTCCTACACCCTGCCCACAGCACGCCCACAGCACCACCTGCTAGCCTGTAGTTTCAGCACAATGTTGGAGGAGAACTGTGAACATGAATGTTTGTCGATCGAATCCATTCGTGAGCTGTAGTCGATACGGGGCGCTGCTTCCAAAACAAGAAAATCAATGGCAGGTGGCATTTTCCCAATTCCACTCTTCACACAAATTTTCGTACCCGCTGACTGACTGTATGTGTCAGTGTCCGCGGGCATGTGTCCCTGCCCCGCACAGATCTTCTCAAAAGTTTACGGAAAGACACACCCCGGACTTTGTGCTTGCCTGCCCGCTTCCCGCTGTCCACATCCCGTCTCCGTTCGTTGCCCTCACCTTGTTCGATTTTCAATTTGGATGAGAGGGTCCCCTGGGTGCTTGGGTCCCTCGTAGTTTGTGAGTCACTACGAGAATACCTTGAGATGTGCCTTGTTCGTATAAGTAGCCGGACGAAAGCGTTGTTTTCTGTGTTCTTTCTCTTCATCCCAAAGTCTATAGACTGTCCAGTGAATCAGCTCAGGCCTGGCCTCATCCACAAACACTTTTAGGAGCTACGCTACCTCGGTACCCATTGTGCCTTCCATCCGCTCAGCTTGGCTTCGGTGGCTGCAGAATTTCTTTGTTATTGACTCCCCTTCTCCCCTTCCACAACTAAGGCCTTCCTTGTCGCCTCCATCCCAGGCCCAATCACCTCATCCAATCACACGGCTGCCAACAGGGTCTTGCCTGACTTTATTTCGCCCTTTACCTGGACCTCAAGCTCCTTCCTCTGCCGAGTTTCTTTCTCTCTGAACCTTGCCAAGCAAAACTCAAATCGCCTTCCTCGACCAGAGTCATCCTGAACTCAACTTTCTTCTACTTCAACTCCCGACTTCTCCTTCTACTTCTACACCCTCACGGCTATAATTTCCATCACCCTATAGCTCTCCTCCGCTGCAACCATGGCCGGCTCTGAACATATGGTGCCCCTTCGGGCTGATGACACAAGAGGTATGAGCATCATCTCCCAAGCACCCGCGCGGATTATCACAAGCTTGGTGGACGTCATGACATCGACGTAGTTGGGACTACCTGCGGTGTCCAAAACCGAGCCAATTGTCCAAGTTTTTGTGTGCTTTGGCTGTTGGCACGAATCAAAAATTCACCACTTGCTACATATCCCAAGCACCGTGACTAACACTATCTTTGTCTTCCAGTCGAGGGTCAGGATCCCCTCATCCCTCCTGCTCTTCTCATTTCCGAAATTCCCATCACGGATGCCGCTCTCGAGACTGTCGTCAAGGGCAGGAAGGAGGCCGTCAATGTGATCATGGGCAAGGATGACCGCCTCCTTGTCGTTGTTGGCCCTTGCTCACTTCACGATCCTGCCACTGCTCTCGAGTACTGCAGCAGGCTCAAGGCTCTTTCCGAGAAGCTCAAGGACGACCTCGTTGTTGTGATGAGAGCCTACCTCGAGAAGCCTCGCACGACCGTTGGCTGGAAGGGTCTTATCAACGATCCCGATATCGACTCTTCCTTCAAGATCAACAAGGGTCTTCGTATCTCCAGACAGCTTTTCTGCGATTTGACTTCTGCCGGTATGCCCATTGCTTCGGAGATGTTGGACACTATCTCCCCTCAGTTCCTTGCGGACTTCATCTCTGTCGGTGCTATCGGCGCCCGTACTACCGAAAGCCAGCTTCACCGTGAGCTTGCCTCTGGTCTCTCTTTCCCTGTCGGTTTCAAGAACGGAACCGACGGAAACCTCGGTGTTGCCATTGACGCCATTGGCGCTGCGGCGGCTAAGCACCACTTCATGGGCGTTACCAAGCAGGGCTTGGCCGCTATCACCCGCACCAAGGGTAACGAGCACGGTTTCGTTATCCTCCGTGGTGGCACTAAGGGCCCTAACTACGACAAGGAGAATGTCCAGGCTGCCAAGGAGACTTTGATCAAGAAGGGCCAAAAGCTCGCTATCATGGTCGACTGCTCTCACGGTAAGTCTACAACTCTGACACTTGAAAATTTGAACAGTGACTGACAAAGACTAGGCAACTCCAACAAGGACCACCGCAACCAGCCCAAGGTCGCCAAGGTTGTCGCTGACCAGATCCGCGAGGGCGAGAAGGCCATTATTGGTGTCATGATCGAGTCCAACATCAACGAGGGCAACCAGAAGGTTCCCGCTGAGGGTCCCTCGGCTCTCAAGAAGGGCGTCTCCATCACCGATGCCTGCATTGACTGGGAGTCCACCGTTTCGACCCTTGAGGAGCTCGCTGAGGCGGTTCGTGAGCGTCGTGAGGTGAACGGCGGCATCGCCAGCGGTGTGGCTACCCCTAAGCCCAACCCTCTCGAGGAGGACTAGAGGATTTCTTCCGAGAAGAGTGGTGAAACTGGGGTTAGAAAGGCAGCAATGAAGTGACATGAGCTGTACCAAGAGACTGTGGAGTGGAAGCCGCATGTGATGCAGGTCGAGGATATCGAGAAGCTTCCCCATCCGTGCGAACAGTTCTGAGGCATTCAAAAGGAAAACGGGTCATTAAAAGTTCTTGCTTTTAGTTTCACATATGGCGGGGAACCAAGAACAGGCACGGCCATGGAATCAGTTGCGAGCAGTGGGGATTGCATAATCGCCTACTTGGACGTTCGGTGAAGCATATATACTTATACCCATCTCTCTGAACCTCTATTCTGTCTTCGTCTAGGAGCGGTGATGATAGAATGAATCCAGCTCAGGTGACTTTGTTAATGCGGCATTTTGAGGCTCTATCATGACAATAGTGCGTAGTGTTATACCAAGAAGGCTTTGATCAGCAAGTCTCTAGTTACCTATGCGTAGTTTAACGTCCCCTCGTCTTCGTATGAGGAGGCTATGCCTACCCTGCTATGTCGGGCTTTACGGTGCTGGAGATTTCTTGTATCCGGCAGGTGTGAAAACTACTCCGGCCCAACTACACTTGGGTGCCTTATAACCCCTCTGGAGACCTACATGTACCGGATAACAATCTCAACAACTTCGTATACTATAAGGTATGCAATGGCTGGAGATAAGACACACGGTTTACTCATGGGGTTTAACCAACCCCGAGAGACCATAAGATAGCATCCAACCATCTATGTACCTCTCTGGCTCTAGTTGTCTTGGATGAACGTCTTTTTGAAAAGACACTTTCGCTAATTCGGATCCAGTCTGGTACGTATGGGCTTTCGCTGATCAGACCAGACGCCCAATATCCACAGAGCCCTTGCCCTTTGGGAACATGAAGTTCATATAGGGCACGTCTTTCGTATCTCAGAGCTTCTGAGATCGTCCGCGTATTCTTTCAGCTTGGATCCCGAGAAGAGATATAATCCAACAGGCACGCCGTAACCGGCTCAGACAGATCTCCGATGAACCCAAAGCCATGATGATGGTACATCATCCCTCAGTTGATTGCGCTCCGGTAGGTAACGCACTTCATGAACCAACTTACACACACACGTTCGGAGCACATCGTCAGACCCTGAGTCATAACCTATAATGCCCAGCACAAACCAAGGACAGACATAAAATTTCATTCTCTCTCAACTTGGAACTTCCATCAAACTCAATGTCCTTCACCCCCAAGGGGACTATAAGCCCCCTGTCCAGCACCACCACCTCCTCCTCCTCCTCCTCTTCCTCCCCCTTGCCCTGACCCTACTCCCCCAGCAAAAACCCTCCTAAACAACCCCCCTCCCATTCTTCCCAAGCCCAAACCACCACCACCAGCACTCCCTCCCCCTCCAGCAGCCCTACCACTCCCCCCAACACCACTTCCCATACCACCACCCATAAACCCACCACGTCCTCCTCCAATCCCAGCAACCTGCCCCTGCCCCTTCTCCCAAACCCTCCTCACCCCCGCCCACCCCAACAATCCCGCCGTGCCCAAGATAAACCCCCAGACAATGATCTCGTCCTTCCTGCTATCTCGCTGGAAGCACGTCGTCGTCACGTCCTTTTCTTCGGCGTCTTTGCAGATGGGGAGGTTGTATTGTAGGCAGAAGGCGCGGTTGCATTGGGTGCACGAGGAGGAGGCTGCGCGTTTGGATAGACCAAAAAGATGGGGGTTGCTATGGTTTGGGTTCGGGGAGCGTGGGCTGTTGTTGGGGGATGCGGTTGCGGTTGGTTTTGTCGGCGGTGGTGGTGGTGGTTGTTGAGGGTTGTTGGGGGCACCGGAAGCTGGGTCGTCGGGTTGTGGGCCGAGACGGATTATGGTGCTGTTGGAGAAGCAGGTGCATTTGCAGAAGGTTGGGGCGGCTGGGAGGGGGATGGGAGGTTAGTATATTGGGTAGGAGAGAGGATGGGAGGAGATGAATGGGGAGGGTGGGAATGGAGGAAACGTACAAGCGCTGACGAGGGAGAGGAGGGAGAGGAGGAGGATGGTGAGGGTGTGTATTCGCGCCATTGTTTTGGTTGATTATGATTATGTAGATAGGGTGAGATCGGATATGGTGATGAGGATCACGAAGCGTTATCGGCGCATTGGTTTCGTTAAATGGATGTTGTCAACTTGGAAGATCGAAGTGCTTCGATTAGAACTGCTTAATCGCAGTGACTCGGTCTCGGCGGGTGCGCGCAGGCCGGTCGGGGCGTTGATTGATCGGAGCCTTGGAGCCGGCGAACTGGGTATCGGACGGAAGCTGTCCGTCCCTGTGGTCGTTGCTGGTGCTGGTTCGGCGCAAACAATGCGTGAGAGAGCTCGACGACGTTGCGGGCGCGGCGACGGCAGTGGAGTCGATTGCAAATGCCAAGCCTTCCCCTACCACCTGCCACCATGCGCCACACCAAAAGCCTGTGCCGTGGCAAGTGCCAGGCACTTCACCACTCACTTGCACCCGCCACACACTCTCAGCTCCACCCCAAACTAGCCAGCTCCACCCGAATTTGCACTCGTGCACAGACCAACCACACCTCTTCCCCCAAGGGTATAAGAGGCCCCCAAACCCATCCCCCTTCTTAGACTTTTCTTTCCTCCTTTTTTTCTTCGCCCTTCGGGGCAATTTGGTCAATTTGAAACGATACAGAGAAGATTAGCATGGCCCCTGCACTAAGGATGACACGCTACTCAAAGAGACGCTACCAATTTTTTTTTCACTTTGTTTCTCAGCCTTCGTGGTTGGGACATTGGGAAGAAAATGGCCTTTTGGGTTGATGGCATAGGATGTGATGTCGCTCTTGTCGTCGGTCGATGATGTCTTGGTTGAGTCGTTGATTTGCTTGGAGTTCTTGTATGCACACTTTCCGTCGCTGATACGATCAGGACTCGGGAGCATATATCGTACCTCGTGATGGTCGCTCGTTTTTGTAATATGATTTTGCGAGGTCATCGTGGAGGATCGCCGATACAGGTATGACATGACAATTGCCGCATGCCATCCTCTCTCCTCGCCATCGCTACCTTACCTACTGGGTGTTCTCGCTCTAGAGCCCAACCACATCGTTCTATAATTCACACATCGTTGTCCGTTCGGTCGGTCTTTGACCCCTTGCTTTTTGTTTCCTCATACGCTTTGATACCGCGCTCAGTTTGTGTGCATCACAACATCATATGGAGGACAATTGTTGGAGGACAACTCTACGGAAGATGGCATCACAAATCACAGAACCATCAGCTTATAGAAGATTGTAACTACATACGCTGATATACTATTGGCTTTTGCTATTAATTACCCGTTGACACTAGGTAGCAATGGACACGAACGATCCTTCGAAGCGAGCAGTCAACCTGCAATGATCCGATGCATTCGCAAAGGATGAAGCACACCATCTCAGTGCCTAAGCTATATGCGAACAAGCCAAATATATCCGCAAACCATGGGTATCGTGTCCGTCATCAAGCCAGTCAAACAAAGGCAAGTAAAAGGGAAAGTTTTGAACTCCCAAACGCCCTGCTAATGCCGTGAACTCTCCGTCATTAATGCGGAAACCCCTACAAAACTCACCTTTCCTCCAAATTTTTGCACCATCACGGCCTGGGTCGTCTCTCATGACCGCCACTCCCTGGGTTTCTAGAGCTATACCCGCCACCTACAAGCGGCAAAACCGCCCCTACAAGCGCTGAATGATGCCGACGTCTAAGCCAACCCAGCCGTAGCACTCATCCGACTCAACCTCCTCTCGGCCTTGGTAGTCCCATTGGCAAGAGGACTGAGCGTGGGACTGACGTTGAACTTAGCAAAGTCAGCCGTGGCACTCATCCGGCTCATTCTCCGTTCGGCCTTTGTATTCGCGCTGGCAGGAGGAGGACTGAGCATCGGACTGGCGTTGACATTGAAGCTTGAGTTGACGTTGGGGCTGGCATCAAAGGAGGTCGTCGTCGTATCCGCCTTCGCAGGTGTACCCGGTGCACTCTTGCGCAGCTTATTCGCCTCCTTATCCGACGACATGCCGAACCAATTCTTCTTCATGCTCGTCTTCCTGATATCCGTCCAGCCCAAGAAGAAGGCACTCAACACCGCGAGCACGCCAAACCCGGCCGCCATGTAGAACACGTTGTGGACGCCTTCGAGGTAAGCGCGCATGACGTATTTCAACAGATCTCCCATCTTCTCCAGCTTCTCGCGGTCTTCCGGTTTACTACTCAGACCGATGGTGCCGTTCTTGATCAGCGCCTCGACTTCCTCGCGGGACAAGCGGTGCTCCAGGGCCAAAGTGATGGAGTGCGCAAAGATGTTGTTGGCGAAGGCGAGGACGAGGGCGGTGCCGAGCATTTGGGTGAACATGAGCAGGGTTATGGCGATGGTGGTGTCGATGGGGTGCATGTTGGCTGTTTGGACGGCGATGGTGGGCATTTGTGTGCCGAAGCCGCGGCCGGCGCCGTTGATAAGTTGGTAAACGGCGATAATGCCGAAATGGGTGCCGCTCTCGATCGTGGACATAAGACCGCAGCTGACGGAGCAGAGGATGCCGGCGATGACAGCGTAGGGGATAATGTAACCGGTTCTTTCGACTAGATGGTGGGGAACTTGTTAGCATTGCTGGCGAATTAGAGGGATCAGGGAGGTTGGCTTACCTAGGAAACCTCCCGCGATGCCAAAGAATAGCTGGGCGCCAAAGCCGGGCAGCAAATCGAGACCGCTGGTGGTAGGCGTCTTTCCCTGAACCGACTGGAAAAAGATCGGGAGGAAGAAGGACATGCAGTACACCGTCGTCATAATGAACCATTGTGTCAAGGCGCTGGCCCAAACGACTCGCTTTGTCATGGTGCTGACTGGTAGCAAAGCGTGGTCGCCCTTCCTGTAGTTCCAATATCCCCAAAGGCCGAAGAGCAGAACAGAACTGCAGAGCGAGCCGAGAATTGCGCCGCTACTCCATGAGAAGGGCCCGCTAATCTGAGCAGTGGTGAGAACCCAGACGAACAGGAAGACGGCCGGAGCCAGAAGTGCAAAGCCGAGGAGGTCGAATTCGCGGTGCAGCCTCCTGATTACCCTCCACGGATGAGGCTTCTCAATCTGCTCCGGAACCTGCATGAACATGACCGGGAAGAACAAGGCCATACCGACTTCGAGGTTGATCTTGAAGCAAGCGCGCCAGCCGTCCTTGGTGTGTTGTGTCAACAGTCCTCCAAAGAGCGGTCCGGCTCCAACGCCCATCTGAGCAAAGGCGATAACGCAGCCAATGACGGACGCACGGTGCTTAGTGCTGGTGATGGCGGTAATAATTGTGAGACCGCCGTTCCAGATACCGCCCGCTCCGAGACCCATAACCGCTCGGCCTGCAATAAGCGTACCCGAAGTCTGAGCTGCCCTGCAGATGTAGGATCCAACCATGAAGATGAGGAGGAAGAAGTTGAAGGTCCATTTGGTGCTAAAGCGGGTATAGATCTTGCTGGTCAAAGGCAAGACGCAGGCGTTGGCAAGCTGAAAGGCAGTGGCGTACCAAGCGATATCGTCAATGTTGTGGAATTCGGCTGAGATTGTTGGAATCTTTGGCAGCGTTAGCGGTTTGAGTCTTTGTAGGAAGCGCAGAGTGACTTACGGCGGTAGAGAGAATGGAGGTATCGAGGATCATCAGGAAAGCCGCAACTGTAACGCAGATAAGGGCCACCCAGAAGTTGACGCGGGGTACCCATCTGACCAAAGTCGTCGAAGCCTGTGAAATAACGCTCATGCGATTGGCGTTATGGGTAGTTCGATCTTGAGGCGGACGCTCTTCAATGGGGACGTCGACCAATTCCACCTCGTCCATCGACGAGGATGGCGCCGGTTTCGCGCGCGGCGTAAAGGGCGTCATGGTTGGTTGTCTGGTTGCATCCGGATACGGGCAATACATCAATTGCGCAAGTAAAGCAAATTGAAGCAAATGGTGTACAAGCTGGAGGGTTCCGATCCGCGACAATCGAAGTCAAAAAGAGAATTGAGAACGAGGGGAAGAAGCTCTGGAAGAAAAAGAAAGGTGGCCAAGCCGGCAGCCCCAGAACTACCCTTCACTTGACGGAGGTTGTGCCCATGGGGAAAACTTCAGACGACTGCCAGGTCTCCTCGGATGCTCGTCACCTCGTGGCCCAAAACCTTAACGGTCCGGTAAAAGAGCCGGCCAAAAGCGGCGGTTTGATGTCCGGGTGGGCCACGATGTCCAGAGATATGTACCATCGCCCAAAGATTCACACAGTGACTGACGCACACGGCGCCGTTTCAAAACCCACATCGGCCTCGTGTAACAAAAATGCAAGTTGATTAAGGGATCAATAACAACATGTGATAACTTGGAAGCCGTTTGTAAAAACATGGCCATAGACAGGGAGCGGAAGCCGCAAGCTGGACCCGCGGGAGGTTCCCCAGATAACTCCGGGGACGTGATATCTGACAATAGGTCAGGGGCATCGGGTTTCAGGGCCTTCATAGACCGTTGAACCATACTGCTCGATCTTGTTTGCTCTCTGCACCGTCCTCAAAGACAATCACGGTTGAGCCGATCAATGAAGGCATCGCTTGACAGTGGTCACTGAAACGCTTCAACGTTGGTGGTTTCCCTTTAGCCCTCCATACTGTCCATGCTTCGTGAAGAGAGGCGCAACATGGTGTATTGGTCTCTCTTCGGCTAACAACTCGGCGATTGTCGTAAGGTTCAGGACTGCGTAATCCAGGTTCGAGAAAACACGACGAGTATAGCGCAAGACGTAGCGCTCATACGTGAGGATAAAGCCATGAAATCAAGAAAGCCGAGGGAAACATTAGGATGAGGTAGCCACAAAACATTCAGATGGCAGCGGACAGTTGAAGTCAATGGCATGCCCCTGGTGTTGATGTGGTGATGGAACGTCGTTGTTGAGTGTGGAGTGTTCTTGAGGCTGATGGACCTTTTGCCGTCGCAGTCAACCCCCTGTCCATGTCAATCAATGTTGGGGTCAACTGATGCAGGTGAGATGGCTCGTGCACATCCGTTGCCGGCCGGCAAGGACTCAATTCTCATCACTTCAGTCTCCCAGCGAACAACAAACACACCGAGTCTCTGATGCATCGAGTTTGATGACTCGGAAAGAGAATGTGATTTTGTCAAGAGGCTGTGACTCTTTGACTCGTTGCGATCAATCTGCCAGTATCCCCATTCGACCGAGATAGGGTAACTCTCACCACCCATAGCTTCCTTCCCCCATGGACAACTCGCAAACCGCCAAGCCAAGGTATCCTCATGTTCTAGAATGCAGCCTCGTATTTTACGTGAAATTCTTGGAGAAAGGTTGAATGATCCTCAGAGACGGCCAGATTTCTTGATTGAATGGCCCTCTTTCTTTGTCCAACAATCACTATCCTCATGCTAGCTCGCAATGTTTCAACCTTGGAAATATGGAGGTGAGTCGGATCCGGCGCCACAACGGCGCCGCATGTTCAGCTGAGCTCATTGTTGTTTATCACATCCGCATGCTGCCAGGTGACAATCGTGTTGTTCAGAAGACTGTATGGGCAAACAATACCCCTGAGACCGATATGGGAAGAGCGCCATTACAAATACAAGTATGAGAGGATGGTCCGGAAGGGGAGCCGGACACCGACTGACCCCTGTCCGTGAAAGATTATCGGCAACCGCAGGGGCGGATCGCGCTAGAACAGAAGGTACCTGACAAGTGCCGGCTGGCGCCTGGCGGCTGCTGTCAATTAATGGCAGGTGCCCCTGAGAGTCGATCCCAGGAACGCCATTGGAGCGCAACCTGTGAACCTCTCTGGCCACCACCATCTCCAGACTCCAGCCATCGCCATGATGCCGGCCGGCGCCCCGGTCTGAGGTCATTTCCCGTTTGGTCCACTTTACTATCCATTTCGCTATCATTGACCAGCATTTGGCTTCTTCGACTTTATTGCTTCCGTCGTGTGGTTCGTCACCTCATTTCACGGGGCGGGAAAAAGAAGGGGAAAAGAAAAAAGGAAGGCGTCAACCGATCCCCGATATCGAGTCCTCCAGCCCCCGCCCTAGCACTATCTCTCCAGCTATCCCGATCTCCTATTCTCCAGACTCGACCTTCTCCTTCCTCCTTTACTCACACCATTTGGCATCAACCTGCCACTTGCCAAGTTTTATTTACTTGCTATCTTCGATTTGCCCTCTCGACTTACATATTGCTAATTTTCAGTTGCTTGTTAGTGCTTCCGTTGGACACTACCCAACGACACCGAGCTCCCCACCTTCTGCACAACATCTTGCATCCGCCCTTGCATGCCGATTGCGACTGCATCAACCTTGGAATCCGCACCATCCAAACGCCGGGAACCATTCACGTTGACAAGCACGACCTTGTCTTACCTAATTATTTGCTCTGGACCAATCCTCATGCGCTAGGATCTTGTACTCGACACAGGACGGCTGTTTGCTCGTCCCACTCCTCGAACGAAAACTTACACAACATCGAGCCTGGACAGCGACTGTACATCGTCAAGATGGAGAACAACTCGCAAACCCCCAGCTCTCAGCCCAGACCTAGCGGTCTTCCTCGGCCATCGAGACTCCCGGTTCCCGGCCAGTCCAGGCTACCCGTCCCACGATCGACCTCGCTCCGAACATCGCCATCCCGGGAATCCTTGCCCACAGACTCTGGCCTAGCCGGAACCTCCTTGCAGAGTCCAAGACTTCGATCAACCACTTCCCGCGACCAATTGGCTTCTACCACAACGTCGAGAAGGCCCCAATCCATGCTGATTGCACCTTCGAGGGTTGTTTCGTCTCCCCATGCCAATTGTCACGGCGCTGCTTCACGCCAGGGACAGCCCCCAGTACCTGCGAGTACTACCAGAACGACATCTCGACACAGCACTTATATTTCTCCATCCTCGTCGAGAACCTCCGTTGTGGGATCTTCCATTGCCACTTCTAGGACAAGCCAGACACCACGAACGCTAGCGCCCAAACGGCAACCCTCCCGTCAGTCTTTCTCGGCCTCCACAAGCAGCCATGCGTTGCACGATACAGAGTCGATAGCCTCTGATGACAGCCCAACTTCTGCGGTCAGGTCAAACTCGTCGTTGATAGAGAGAACGATCGAGACCTTGTCTCAGTTGCCCTCTTCGCCATCGGTGAGGGGGAAATCAGCTGCCTCTTTCTATAGCGACGGTATACCTAAGGGAAGAACTTCGTCAAGACCAACAAGTAGGCTTTCTCGACCTGGATCGAGTCATCAATCACATGAGTCCCTCGGTGCTTCGTCCACCCACGGAAGCAGGCCTGGCTCAAGGCTGGACAATGAGGATGATGGCTCCAGCTTCCACGGGACATACGGATCTTTAAGGCCACGACAGAGCGTCCAATCATTCAATGTGCCCGCAGTGAAGAAAGCCATCCCACGGTCATCTCGGATGTCTCTATACGGGGATCTACCGTCCCCTGTCACCGATAATCACAGCCCCAAGACCCCGAGCCCCGAGAAGCCGAAAAGCGCAGCACCGCGCGCCCTTGCCAAGCGAACATCTGTCTACGGCCTTTCGAAGAAGCCATCTGTGGCCAACCTGGACAAGGGAACGCAAGGAGCGGCACCTAGAAAGGCATCTATGGCCTCGCAAAGGTCTGCGGCGACATCTGTTGAAGGGAGTGTATCGGCATCATCTGGAAGCACAGCAACCTCTGCCGATACGACCGAGACGTCCCCAGCGCAAACCTACCGGAAGCCCTCATCCACGTTGCGTGAGCAGATCGCAAAGGCAAAGGCTGCGGCCAAGAAAGCTGCAGTACAGCCAATCTCCGAGTCTGCCCCTGCCCTCAGGCAGAAGTCATCTGGCTTCGGCTCTTTTGGTGACGACTTGGGCTTTGCCTCACACAATGATCCTTTCAACCAGCACAGGGATGACCAGTCACAGGCCAAGGTTCTACAGGCACGTTTTGCTACTGCAAGAACCAGTGGCCGCCTCAACATCGCTGCAATGGGTCTCAAAGAGATCCCGATTGAGGTATTGAAGATGTTTAACCTCGAGGCTATCGGCGCCACTGGAGGGGCTTGGGCCGAGTGTGTCGACTTGACAAGATTCGTGGCTGCAGATAACGAGCTTGAGATGATTAGCGATACAATCTTCCCCGATGTTGATCCACAGGAGATGGTCGACGATGAGGACAGCGAGGGCAATATTTTTGCAGGACTCGAGACTTTGGATCTGCACGGAAATATCTTGGTGACTCTTCCAATGGGTTTAAGGCAACTCCGTCTGTTGACCTCTCTGAATCTGGTATGTGCATGGGTTACCCTATTTTGTTGACCAGTGACTAACCGTCCATTAGTCCTCAAACAGGCTGGCAAACAGCTGCTTGGAGGTAGTGTCGCAAATCACCTCTCTCAGAGATCTGAAGCTCGGCGGTAACCTCCTCTACGGTGAACTCGACCCTTGCTTTGCGAACTTGGAGAATCTTGAGATCTTGGACCTGCACGGTAACAACCTCTCTTCGCTCCCTTCCAACTTTGGCAACCTCTCCCGTCTTCGCGTTCTGAATGTCAGCGAAAATTCTTTCGAGTCTTTGCCGTTTGCTACCTTGGCGAAGATGCCGTTGACCGAGATCAACGCGCGCAAGAACCAGATCAGCGGTACATTGATTGATGATTTGGTCGATTCTCTCCCGTTCCTACAGACATTGGACGTCTCATCCAACCAGCTCATCCATCTTTGCTCCCCAACCAAGACCGTCACTATGCCTGCTCTCCTCCAGATTTGCCTTTCCATGAACCGCCTCCAGGATCTTCCCGACATCGGCAGCTGGGCTAAGCTGCATACGATTGCCGCCGATGAGAACAATATCAACGCTATTCCGGAAGGTTTCACCAAACTGGAGCACCTGAAGTCCGTCGATTTCTCGAGTAACGACATCCGCATTATCCCTAATGAGGTAGGACGGATGGAGAACTTGACGATGCTGCGACTCAGTGGCAACCCTCTCCGGGAGAAGAAGTTTAGCACGATCAGCACGGATGAGATGAAGGGTATTCTGGCTCTTCGGCTCGAACCACCTGAGGACACTTCTGTCCCCGAGGTGGCTTCTGTCCCCGAGGTGGCTTCTGTCCCCGAGGTTGCTTCTGTGCCCGAGGTGGCTTCTGTCCCCGAGGTGGAGGTTGTCAGCCCCAGTGATGCCGGCTTGGAGGGTTCTGATCTTAAGGATCTTTCCACGGAAACCACTGAGGCCTTGCCCGAGACTAAGGAAGCCCCGGTTGAGGACGACGCTCCTGAGCGAGAAGAGCCTATTGTTACGACTAATGCCACGTCTGAACACGACCAGCTTACTGCTGAGAGTGACGATATCGATGACTGTCGATCTGATATGGACCAGTTCGCGACACCTCCAACTTCTGCCCGGGCTTCTCCAGCCCATTCCCGCTCCCAAACGCTAACTGAGGAGATCTGGCCCGTTAAGTCCGGCGGAGTCCTCGACCGCTCTGGAACCCAGTCCTCTTCACTCCACCCTGTCATTTCCTCGAAGGTCGCTGCCGAACACAAAGTTTTTGAAATCCAGCTTCACCACAACCTCTTCACCGCGTTCCCCGAATCGCTGTCTTCCTTTGCCGCGACTCTCACCGCTTTGAACTTGTCACACAACGAGCTCGTAGCTGAGAAATACCTCGGCGGACCAAGCGGCAACGACCACCTTGAACTCCCCGCTCTCAAGGAACTCAACCTCAACCACAACCACATCACTAGCCTGGCGCCCTTGGTTGCTCACCTGCGTGCCCCGAACTTGCAAAAGCTCGACGTCAGCTCCAACCGCATCTCCGCTCTGCCCGCCGGCACCGCTCTCCGCGACGCGTTCCCGAACCTCACCGTCCTCACCATCTCCAACAATCACCTCTCGGAGCTGGATCCGGAGTCGATCAGAGGTATGCATGTGGTGGACGCGGCTAATAACGATATTGCGCATCTGAACCCTCGTATTGGACTCCTGGGCGGAAGCGGTGGGTTGGAGAGGCTGGATGTTAGTGGCAATAGGTTCCGCGTGCCCAGGTGGAGCGTGTTGGAGCGTGGGACGGAGGCGACGCTTAGGTGGCTGAGAGGGAGAGTGCCGGCTGCGGAGAAGGCGGCGTGGAAGGGGAAGGAGGGTGGTGATGATGAGGATTCGGATTTGGATTGAGTGATGGGCTCGCTGATGGATGAGGGATGGGAAGAAGTGAATTGCATATTTAAAGGCACTTGAGGGATTGGAAGCAACATATGATATACGATAATGGTATACACGGGAAGGGAAGGGAAAAGGTACCATTATTATTTGAATATGGTTGTGTTATCACTATTACACTTGGTTGTACATATACCACATGTTAAATATTACTTAATGATATTTATGGGAGGACGAGGATGATGGTTAGCCTGATGAGGCATGTACATACCTAGTTTACCAGTTGTTATAATGGCTATTGTTAATTTGAAGAGCTCACCTGTTATATTAGCGGAAGAACTTTGTGTGATTTCTCCATTTTGTATTTCTGAGGCGTGAGTGTCCCTCGAGCCTTTGAGGGTGGCTTGAAGTCAGTCAGCACAACCTCCACAGTGACACAGTCCTGATGGTGATAGACCTTGAGAGAGGTTTTGTACTAAGTTCAATGGCATGAACAATAGAAATAAACTCCGTCTTTGAATCCTAATCTTAATTGTAACACCTTTACCCATCGCCACTCACATCAACTCACTTCACAGTCCATCATCGAGTCCAAGTCCAAGAGGATTCAGGGGTAAATGTGGGGACACGCACAACCCTAACCCAGTCAATCCTCCCAAACACTCTGAAAGGGGCCACGCTGCCAACGACGAAAGGCAGGGGTTTCAATCAACGCGCCCAGCGCCAACCACACCATCCACCAGCGCGCATCATTGCACCAGCCCGGGCTCGAGCTTCCAGCACCTCCAAACCACAGTGTCCCCATCCATCGCTCGTTTCCTTCCTCCCCGTCATTGTGACTTTCGACTCCTATCACCAACCGCGGCAACTGTACGTTTCCCTGAAACCCTTTTTACATTTACGATACTGGAGCGATAGACGAGACGCTGAATCGGGACGGGAATTGACAAGCTAACCAAGTATCGTGTGGTAGACTCTCCTTTTCCCAATTCCAACAGTCGATCGGTAACCTCTCGAACCAAACATCCAGACACACAACAGAACCAGAAACAGAACTAGAAACCAGAAAACCGATCACAGGCCAACGAACGAACAATTACGATTAAACTACAGACCGACCGACACAATGACCCGCGCACAGCAGACTATTTCTATTGCACTCCTTGTGAGCTCGGTACGTTATCTTCGAACTATCTGTCCCGGCCGACAATGACGACAACGATGGCGACGGCGACCACGACGACGACGATGAGGATGGCGATCCAATGGCGACCACGGTGGCGATACAATGGCAGAAATAGCGATTCGTCTGGCACACGGCAGCAGGAGAAGCAAAGTAGCAGCGACAGACACGCTGGGCTGGCCTTGCCTCGCTCTGCCTCTCCGTCCCTCTGCCTCTGCCTTGCGCCTCCTCGTCGTACCCCCTCGTTGTCTACCGCGCTGTCAACTATGCCGTCTCACACGTCCCGTCCCATTTTTTTCGAATCGAACCGACCCATCAATCAATCAATCAATCAATCAATCAATCAACCAATCGCTAACCATCTCCTGTCCAAACAAAAACAGCTCTACCTCTCCCTCTACCTCGAATTGATTCCTCTCCCGGCTCTGGTGCAGACTGCGATTGTGCCTGTGGTATGTCCTCCTCTTCTTTCCTATCCAACCAACCAGTTTTCCATTTCCACCGACCCAAAACACCCGACCAACCGGTTTGTCCGGTCCCAGTTATACGGTTAATGAATGCTAACCATGACGGGGATAACAAAAAACAGCTCCCCTTCTGGGCCCTCGTCTCCTTCGGCGCCTGGGTCCTCTTCCGCCTCGGCTGGGGCATGCTCACCTTCCGCGACACGCCCGAGGCGTACAAGGAGCTGATGGAGGAGATCAAGATCGCGCAGGCGGACTTGCGGGCTAAGGGCGTTAGTGTTGATTAAGCTGCGAGCGAGCGTTACCAGAGGGTGCAATAATCACGATCTGGGGGAGGTACGGGGTCATAGGAGAAAAAAAGGGGAAGACATTATTAAGGAACTAATGGGGAATGTCACAGGGTGTGAGGGGGAGGTAGTGTTGTATGAAAACAAGATAATGAGATCAAAGATGTTGCAGAAGATATGTGGTAGTAGTGGTTGTATAAGTGGTATTTGTGCCGTGCCCTTGAGCAGGTTGTGGGCGCTTGAAAGAGGTCGTGACATGTATAAATATGATGATGCTCCTTCATCCCGGAAGCCTGATAGACTAGACTATTCGGCGCTTCTAGCTCCCTAGCCCGAGTAATAACTTGCTTCCGCAATCAATATGAATGCTCCCAGCCTGCATGTGCAAAAATCCCATCTAGCAATACCATAGGTGCTCTATCAACACCCCTTTTCAGTGCGGCAGGTATACAAAACAAGTACTCATACTGGTGGTACTCAAACAAGCAAGCCCTCAACACCATACAAGGGTATCTATCATCCCCATCACCTTTGCGGTTGCGGCTCACCAGCCAACAAAGCCGCAACAGTCCTAACCGCACTCAACGGCTCTTCGCCGCCCTGAATGAGTTCGTCAAACAACGCCGGGATCTTGGCCAGCTGTCCGCGCTCGTCGCATTTATGCCCTGTCGTGGTTTCATACCGTTAGCAACTCATTCCACGGATATACTACTTTCCCGCCATGGATACGGATGCGTATACGACGGATGCGAATGGGGATGCGGATGCGGATACGGATGTGGATGGTGAGGGAAAAAAAATTTAAAAAAAAAAAAAAAATACTCACACTTCCCCGGCAACGCCACAAAAACCCTGATATCGCTCCTTGCCTCGCCCGTCCAGTCGAATTCAATCTTCCACTGCACCCTCAGCGAAGACTTCTCCTCACTCCCCGGGCCACCAACGCCACCCGCTCCACCTGGTCCGCTGCCTAGCAGTAAGGGTATATCATAATCCATACTCGTCCTGCTCATATACGGCACCAGCTCCGGGTCGGATATCTTCTTCCCATCTTGTTCTTCTTCTTCTTCTTCTTCTCCCTCCCCGTCCTCGTCATGTTCATCATCCTCATCACTGCCCCCCTCCTCTCCATCCTCACCGCCCTTATCTCGACGCGTCGGTGCCTTCCGTTTCTTGTTCCCCATCCCCCTCCTCCTCCTCTTTTGTCTCATCATCTTACTCCCCCTCTCCCTCCACCCACTCACCATCCTCCTCACCGCTTCCTTCCCCGAGTTCAACTCCGCTTCCAAAACGCACCACACCCTCGCTCTCTCTTTGGCGACGCGCAACCACTCGCCCATGGCCCAACAGAGCACGCTGACGTTGTTGTGCAGCGCCGAGTTTAATAATCCTAATTCTTCTTCTTTTGTTGGTTGGCTGCTGACGATGCGCTCGATAAACGGCGCGAGCTCGGCGGCTGCGGTGGGCGGGTGGATAAGCGGCACGGAGAGGTTGGTGATGGAGAAGGTGCTTGAGGTGTTGACGGTTAGCTCGAGGCGGGCGGTGAAGGATTTGGAGGGGGTGGTGGCTGTTATGTGGTGCCTTTGGAGGAGGGGTCGTTCATCCGCTGCTGGTGAGGTTGTTGATGATTCCGATTCAGACGGGGGAAGCGGGAAGATAGCCGACGTAAAAGTTAGTGGCGTGAAGACTTGGAGGTAGGGGAGCGCTTCGTCTGCCGTCATGGGGAGGGGGTGGTGGGATATTGGCGGTTTCTCCGAGGAGGAGGTTTTGTCGAGGTCGTCGGTGGTGGTAGAAAAAAGTGAGGGGAGTTCGTCACCCGTCGAGGGAGGTTTGCTGAAGGGAAGGAAGGCGATGGGGTGGAGAGCTGAGGAGAGCCATGATGTTGCCGCGGCGGACGGGTCGGGGTCTTTTTGTTCCTTGGGTGGAAGGACTCGTCGGCGTAGGAGGTCGAGGATTTCGATCGCGTTCGGTGGTGCTGATGGTTTCTGCTTGGATATGTGTGCTTGTCGTAGGCGCTCGTTTTCCTTGCTTGCGACGGCTAGGTCGCGCTCCAGCTCGGCGATCTCAGCGAGAAGAGAGTCGCGCAAGCGCTTCTTGTCTGCATCCGGATCCGGTGGTTGTAGGCCGCGTAATTCAGCCGTGGTGGGCTCCTGAGACTCCGTAGGGATCTCGCTCGTGGAGGTCGGGGCTGATTTTTCGGACGGCTTTCCTGGAACAAGTTGCGCCGCCTTGACCGACATGATGGGCGCACGCTTAGTAGGCGAGGAGCTCCTAAGTGTCTCGGCCAGTGCTTTGCTGCGCCTCGGTCTCTTAGACGGGGTATTGTGAATACCGGAAGGCGGGGTGCTGACAACTGGATCGGGATGTTCTGGGGTTGGCGGAAGGTCGGGTTCGGGGACGATTACTTTGGGCAGAACCCCGGGGACGGGTGATCGGTGTAATCCTCGGCCACGGAAAGGGTTCAGGATTACCTCCTCATCTTCGGGTGCGGGCGGCGGAAGGGGTCGCGGGTTCGGTCTTTCTGGGCTTCTGGCAATTCCGAGGCGTCTGGCGGGAGATCGTAGCGGGTTGTCGTCGCGCGACTCGGATTGGGATCTGAGAGCTAGGCTTAGACTCTCTCGTCGTTGTAATACTTCGGGATTGTGCCTCTGAAGGCTCGCTTTTGTTGGGGATGCATAAGATGGACGCTTTGCGGATGTATTACTGGAAGACTCTGGGGCAGGCGTGTCCTCTGGAGTGGTCTGGTTTGGTTGCTGTGTTGTGGGAGCTTCATCGGATGGAACTGGAACCGAGCTGCGCGGCGATGTTCTGCGCCGCTTGGGCGCTGGGTCCTCCATCACGCGTTGTCGTTTTGTAAGTTGGTAATTCAGGATCGTGGCATCGTTCTGAATAGTTTCGGTCTCGTGGGCGCGTTGGATCGCGTGTAGAGTTGGGCTTTGACGAGCTCTCGTTCGTTGGGTGAGTGTGTGTTTTTGTTTGGTTTGCAATGTCAATGTTCGGTTATGTCAGTTCAAGACACACGGGCCACATGTTTGGGCGGCTTGAGGATTGCCAAGACTTTTGAACATGCTTCCCCAGAATGGCCCAAGCTTCCAACCACCATTTCATGTCACGACTTCAGGGATTCGTGGGCGAATCTAGAAGTTGAAAAACAAAATGTAGTGACTGGAGCAAGGCAAGATACCGAGCATTCACACACAGTACCTAAGAAACACATAAAAGTCAGAAGAACCCGGACGTATACAGAACTTGGGTAGACCAAAAGCGCATCAGGAAAGGATTTGCAAAGACTGTCGGAAAGAAACATCAAGATGTTAAAGTTGACTTGTTTTAACGAGATCAAAAGGTGTCAAGAGAAGCAAAAAAAGAAGTTGAGGACCGAACGCGATTTGAACGCGTGACCGTTCGGACTGCAGCCGAACGCTCTACCCCTGAGCTACCTGTCCTGTTATTGAAATTTGGGATTGGACGAGTCAAAATAAGCACAGCTTCATGACCGAGATGTTCAAAAAGTCAAAGGAAGAAGCTCAAAAAAAGAAGTTGTTGAGGACCGAACGCGAATTGAACGCGTGACCGTTCGGACTGCAGCCGAACGCTCTACCTCTGAGCTACCGGTCCAGAAGTTGGTAACAACTGGCAAATAGGCTCCTATGTAGCCTACTACACCTGAATGCAATAATAATACTAGCCTTTCAATATCAAGACAAAGACAACTCGGGACTCAAACCACTCTTCCACATATACATCGAAAGAGTCTGCTCGGAAAGCCGCATATTTGTCAGAATCTAAAGCAAGCTACCTATGAAGCTTCCCTTGGCAAACTGCATTGTTTTCTGCTCGAAAAGAGAGAGCGGTTTTGAGGGGCCTACCGAGCTTCTAGATAGTCTCGAGGACGCCTTGGTTGAGCACCCCTTTTTAATGTAAACAATCACCCTTGTCGATTGCAGCACCTCTTCACATGCGATAGGCATACGATATTCGGTACAGGAGTGTGGTTCCTCGCCGGTCTCGCCTCGATACTTCGACGGAACATGGACGAAACCTGAAAACAGAAAGATCGACCAAATCAACCGAAAGAGCAACGTTTAGTTAGAGACTGTTGGTGTCGGGTTGCCATGAACAATGTCGGCAACCTTTCTCCCGACACCGAAGAGACCAAAGACAGTGGATATCGGCGAGTTCCGCTTTCAGTGAATGGACAGAGCTGACCCACACCTTCCGTCACCTCCATGATTCAGGCAATGTCAATGCGGGTGAAAACACATGCACTTCTGTGACGAGCAGCAAGCGAGCGGCGCATTAAGCACCGCAGACTCAGGTCCCCTCGCCAACGGACTGCAGTGGGCCTCGCGATGGTTTTGAAACACTTTTCTCTCAGTGAAGCGGCACACATCGCCAAAATTTTTGGCAAGCGACCAAAGAGGCGCGATTGGCGATGCGGGGGAAAGTCCGGGTTGTTTGTGAAAATCGGCGCTGAATGGAGGAAATCGCCTGCAGGTCCCGCATGGGCAATGCGATGCCGCGGCTAGTCGCGGCGGGCGCAATACTGTAGTGGGGTCGTGTCCCTGTGAATGTGTGGGAGGGTTCGGGTTCAGGTTTCGAGACTGAAACTTTTTTTGCGTACAAGTCGCATATTTTTTAAAACCTCTCCTTTCTCAAGGTTTTCGTCTGTCCTGTCGCAAACCTACTTCCCGTACGTTTCCTGATCCCGTAGTGTTTTAAAAGCCGTCGTCCCCGTGAGCAATTCTTGCCTTCCAGCATCAATTGCTTTTTCCCGTCAACTTGCGACTTCCAGACTCTCGTACAACTTGCTTATCCGTACCGTCCTTATCAGGATTCCTTCGTCCCACGACCCCGCCACCCATACCAGTTACGTTTGCGAAACGATAAACGCAGAACAACCGTCAAAATGGTCCAGAAGCTTTACGTTACCTACAACGATGTTAGTTTACTCCCGCATCTCTCAAATCTGTCACGCCGACGCTGTGCGCCGTTGCGCGCATTGTCCCGTCGCCCTCGGCGCAAAGTCAACAAACAATGGTCAATGGCGCTAACAATGTCTTGTCTGATTAGGTGCACAACCTGTGCCGGGAGGTCGCTCCCAAGATCCTCGAGACCTTCAACCCCCAGCTCATGATCGCCATTGGCGGTGGTGGCTACGTTCCCGCCCGTATCCTGCGCTCTTTCCTCAAGCGCCCCGGCTCTGCCAACATCCCCATCCAGGCCATCGGTCTCTCTCTCTACGAGTCTCTCGGCGACAATGTTGTTGAGGAGCCCGGTACTAAGGTTACCCGCACCCAGTGGCTCGACCTCACTGCCCTTGGTTCCATGAAGAACCTTATCGGCAAGCGCATCCTCATCGTTGATGAGGTCGATGACACCCGCACCACCCTTGAGTACGCCGTCAAGGAGCTCCAGAAGGATGTCGAGGCTGCCCGTCAGGCCCTCGGCGAAGGCGAGGAGACCCAGTTCGCCATCTTCGTCCTCCACGTAAGTTGACTCCTTTTTGGCAATGCACAAAAAGCCCCGCAAATCACATTTTTCTGACGTGACTGCGATCAACAGAACAAGGACAAGCCCAAGAAGGGCACTCTTCCCGAGGATATCATCTCCCAGGGCCGCTACTTCGCCGCTGTCACCGTCGGTGATGAGTGGATCTGCTACCCCTGGGAGGCTGGTGACATTGAGGAGCACGACCGCAATGCTGCTGAGGCCAAGGCCAAGAAGGCTGCCGCCGCCCAGAACTAGACGGGAGACATCCGACTAGGGAGAAGACGACGCAAAGAAAAGATACCCGGAGAAGAAAAATTGCATATATACCACGCCCCGATGACGAACACGAGGACCAAAAAGCAGCGCATATAGACCGGGAAGAGCATGGAGTTGGGATTTACAAAGGAAAGGTTATTGATGGTCATTATTACGGCGTCTCGGATGAGTATAGTGCAGCGAAGGGCAGCGAGGATGGGGGCTGATGGGTTCGTTATACACATAACACCGTTCGGTTACAACGTGGGGGAGCTTGGCTGACCGGTATGGCGATTGTCTACCGACTCCAAGCAAACTCCCCTTACTCCGTACCTAAGGGAGGATTTCCGGCCCTGCCGAAGGGCGATATATGGGCTTTATCTGGTTGGCGGTTGCCACAGTAGGGCACCATTGAAACATCCTTCTAGTGGGATATCTCGTTAGCTCGGGTTACGGCTCACATGTCGTCGAGCCAAAGCCAGTGTCGCTCGCGCCGCCTGCTAACCGCCTCGCTGCCCGCCTTGCTTCCTTGGTTATGAAGCAAGGCAGATAAATTGAGAGCGCATTTCGCGCGCAAAAAAAAAAAAAAAGTAAAATTATAAAAAACAAGACCAACGTTCGATGAGGTGAAATCATGAACTCGTGAAAGTCGTAAGGCTTAAATCATCAAGTCATTGCAAGGGTAGGCATCAAAATCCGGCAAATCCAAACACAAGCTCCTTTGCCAAACAAACACGCAGACAATGTGAGAAAAAAAAAGGGGGCGGAACTGAACTTTGAAACCGTCAATTCGGAAATCAACTACCCAACCGTCCCCTCGCGCGCATGCTTCTCTTTTAGCCTCTTCTCCTGCTTCATGAACTCGCGGATACCAACCGGCACATTCTTGTACAGGTTGTCGTCCCAGGTCGAAGTCGAAGTCGAAGTCGAAGTCTTCGTAGCACCGGCGGCGCCAGTCGCAGGACTCTGAGCAGTAGTAGAAGTAGCAGTAGACGTTCCAAAGTCCCAATTACTCGAACTTCCGCCCCCATCATCATCCATACTAACCGCTCCCCTCTGGTCGACGACCACCGAATGCGCCGTGCCCGCCAATTCCGTCCCCTTGACTGCTGTCGTCTGCTGCTCCTGACCTCCGTCGCCTGCTGCTGCTGCTGCTGCTGCTGCTGTAGTTGTAGAAGTAGAAGTAGAAGTAGAAGTAGAAGTAGAAGTAGGACTCTGCTGACTCCCCCCACCTGCAGCCTCCACCGCTCCCGTAACCGCCACCGCACCCTCCTCGCCCAGTCCGGCCTCCTGCGCGGCAAGCCGCTGCTCGGCCTCCGCCGTCGCCGTCGCCCACGCCTCCATCTCGTCCCGGTACTGGTCCCACACGCAGTTGACGCATCCGCTCATGCAGCAGTTGTCGGGCTCTTCGGGCCGTGGCGGCACGAGCACGCCCGCGACGAGCTTGGACTGAGAACGGATCGAGGCGAGACGCTCGGCCCGTTGGGCTGCGCTGGCTAGGCTGGCAGAGAAAATGATGCGGGTACCGCCGGCTTCGCCTTCTTCGAAGACTTGGGGCGAAGAGGAAGAGGCTGGGACGGTGCCGCTGGGGTTGCTGCTTGGAGTGGGATCTTGACTTTGGGAGGACGTCCCCTGGGCCTAGATGGGGAAGAAGAGGATTGTTAGTATTCTAGTGCAAAGAGCTTAGGAAGTGGTGGGTTGTCGCCATGGAAGAAGAAGGATGACGAAGCAGTAGTTTGTTTATATGCGAGCATGGCGATCAGGAAGTTTCTTGTCATGAAGTGTCAGGATCAGGATCAGGATCAGGATTTAGGATCTGAGATGTGGGAGTCACAGACTTGACCACTTGGGTTCCTTTGCCTCCTTTGGGTCCTTTTGCTTCTTCAGCTCACGAGGTGTGCGCACAACCGCCGCACGCTTGGCCGGCGCCGGCGTCGCGGGCATTGCGATGATAGCCTCATCCCCTTTCTCATCCGTCTTCTTGGCTGGTTCCAGTTCGGGTTCATCGGCCGGGGCGGCAGAAGTGGTAGCAGTAGCGGGCTTCTTTTCTTCTTCCTTCTGCTCTTGCTTCACGGGCTGCTGCTGTTCCTCCTCCTTCTTCGGAGGCTCGGAGGGCGGAGGGGCGGGACTCACATTGTCGTCCTGCTTCGGCTTCGGCTCCGGTTCCGGCTTAGCTTCCGGCTCGGCGGGCGCAAGCTTGGTCGGGTATTTCTGGGAGGTCACTGGCGGCAACTCGGGCTTGGTGTCCGGGTAGTTTTTGCTGCCATTGAGAACGCCCTCGTAATAGGCACCGATGGGATGCGCCTGGTCCTGGGATCGGTCGACCGGAGTCGTAGGAGGCTCGCTCTTGCTGGGAGGAGGAGTGCCGCTTGCAAACATGCGCCGGGGCTGGAGATGCTGCTGGTAAACGGCGGCGCGAGCCAAGGATCCTGCGGAAGACCGCGCAGCGATAACGCTCCGTCGCATGGTTGCGTCAAGATGGGGAAGACACTATGACGACGAGAGGCAGGCGATCGGAAGCCCTGAATGCGACAGTATGCAAGGTGTAAGATATATTAAGCGTAGAGACTGCAGTAGTGGGCGGCGTTTGCTTTTTTTAGTTATGCTTCTAGAAGCACTTGAATCGTCAAACATGTGCTGCAGGAAATGTGGATTGTTTTGGATTGGAGCTAAAAGTTGCTAAAACGTATCGGCAAAGGGGAGAATTCACGGTATCATGAGATCGGACAACTGGGAAATCGATATGATGGAATTTCAGGGTCCGCGACAAATTCCAGGGTCAACGGGAAGACCGGGAAGTCGGGAACCCACGTCATCGGGCAGGACAGACGGCAAGTGGCAGGGGTAAACATTTTGTTTGTAGCTTATAGGCAAGCGTTTCTGGAAGCTTCCCAACTCTCAATTGGACCGGTAGCTCAGAGGTAGAGCGTTCGGCTGCAGTCCGAACGGTCACGCGTTCAATTCGCGTTCGGTCCTCGTTTTTTTTTTTCGTTTTTTTTTTTCACTTTTCATATCTTCCACATTCCGGCATCATCTTCTTTTTCCCACTCGTCTCCAACCACACCCATCTCCATTCTCAAGCCCACAATCGCAGCATCCAAGCATCATATAAGATGGACCGGTAGCTCAGGGGTAGAGCGTTCGGCTGCAGTCCGAACGGTCACGCGTTCAAATCGCGTTCAGTCCTCTTCATTCTTTTTTGCTCACTTGTAAAATGTCCTGTCTTGAACTGGTCAGGACTTCGACTCGTAGGGAGTCCTCACGATCTTTTGTCTTTTTTCATTCCACGTCCGAGATCCTCTGGAATTCCCGTCATAAAGACACCTTTGGTCAAGATGGAGAGGTTGATTTGCACGATCCGGATTTTTTTTTATTTGGCACATGTGCCAGCTTTCTGCAACTCCAGCATTGCAGGTTACCGATGTTTCTTCTCCCGAAACCAGATTTCGCGAGATTGTTCCGTGTCCAGAATTCAAGTCATGCAGAAACTTAGGGTTGAAGCTTTGTCAGTTGCATTCAGCGACCGCGAAAATGCATGTACGTTGTTGTTGTTGTTGAACTCCTTTGACCCTGCAACTGGAAGCGCCGCCAGCTGTCCAACATTGGACACGAGCCGAGGGACTCGAGGGGTTGAGCTTCAAAAGCAGAAGACATCGAGAAGAAACAGCGACATGCGAGTCCTTCATCACGGAAGCCTCAAGTTGTCTTGTTAACCATTGCCATTGTCATTCTGGTGTCTACCGCCTGGCGACAGCCTCTCCAGCTCCCCTGTTCGACCTAGGTACTGATAGATCACTATCTACACATCATCATGACTTTACTCCAGCAGGCACTCTTTCTCCTGGGTACGCAAAAGATCTTGTGAGATGTAAAGCCGTTTGCGAAGGTTCTTGTGTTGACCAAATCAAACAGTTGCGACTCTCACTGCGGTCGGAGTGCAACATCGACATGGCCACCCATTCGGACATCCATTCGGACATCCCTTCGGACCGCCGCCATCGTACACAGCGTCAGCAGTAACGGGCGGCGACCTGTCATACGGAAACATCTCTTCGGCGCCCACACACCACCCAGTTGGGCCCAGCTACCCTACCCCAACCCAATCAAATGATCCAGGATCCTTTGGCACCAACAACACCGACGAATATGAATCTGATTTCGATTCCGATTCCGATTCCGATTCAGGATCCTTCGGAACTAACAACGCCGACGGAAATGGATCTGATTCGGATCCAGTATCCTCCAGCACCAACACGACTGACAAAGATGGATCTGATTCAAACTCAGGATCATCTGGCACCAACGACACCGACACACATGAGGATGGTTGGTCACCACCTGGTGACCTTTTGGATGATCCGCTGAGGCCTGAGTTTGATCACGTTCTGTGGATACGAAAGGTTCATGGCTTCATGGCGGCGGTGCCGTTCGTCTTCCTCTTCCCGATTGGGTCTATCGTGTTGCGTTTCTTCCGACCTCATCCAAGGGCGCTGCAGTTGCACAAATGTACCCACATGCTTGGGTATATCATGTATCTTTCGGCGCTCGGGATGGGTCACTTCATCAACGATCGCAAAGATGCACTTACTGATGGGGACGATAGCCTTGTGAGTTCTGGTTAGCTCCGGCTACCTGATATAACGACGGCAGGAGGTACTAACGGCGATAATATCGGTCAGAGACACAACTGCCACGGCATTATCGGCACCGTCGTTGCGGTCCTGCTAACAATGCAGGTCTTATTGGCTTTCATGTGTCGCCGCCACGGTGATTTCAGGTTCCAGAACCCACGACCTCAGCACCACATCTGGTCATATCTACATATGATCCCCGGTCACTTCGTCATATCTCTGGGCGTTTTAAACGGGGGCGTAGGTCTGTGGGAAGCTGAGGGCTCGGACAGCGCAATGTTGAAGATGTACATTGTTGTGGGCGTGCCGGCGGCCCTGTGGCTATTGATCACGAAGGTGATTATTGGTTGTTTCTCGCGTTGGCGACGGTAAAGTTCGGAAACTTCAGGTCAAGAACGGTTGCCATGAACGGAGCTGGTAGACCTGGCTACCTACCTCCAACGTCTAAGTCAGCGCGGGATCCCAAGATTTGATCGGGAACAACAAAGGGATTCTCCGGCATCAAACCTGCAGCGCAAAACCCAAGAGAAGCTGTTGAGGCTGGGAGGGGGTGAAGGCAAGCCAAGGTCATCAAGGCGACCAGTCCAAGATTCGAAGCTGAGCAGGACTGGAGATCCCGGAGGGTGGAATGTCTTACCAGGGGTGGACAAGACGATGGACACTGAATTCTGCAATTCACATTTCAACCATGAACGACACGGCAGCCTACGGACCTTTCCCAAAGCATGCCGAAGTCTGTCACTTTCTCGGGAAACCCGTCGATAGGGAATTCGCTGCGGCAAGCTTTCTCCTGGAGGAAGGACGTTGACATCAACTCCTGGCAGGAGTGAACTCGCGTCGATGGATCGATACAATCTGGTATGAGGCCCGTGTCTTCGAGGACACAAGACGATGACCAGGACTTCGCTCTCACAACACACCATTGAGAAGGGAACGAAAAGTTGATACAGCGCTGGTCCGCGGGGTCTTCCATTCGAGGGCGAAGGAACGTACGATGTATTATACACAGAATTTCTTGCAATCTTTGGCAGGCGTGGTGCGATAAATCCGGGCTGCGAGGTTGGTTTTTGACAAGAACTCGGTGTCGCCTGCCTTGAAGTTGACGATGTTTTATGCACGGTGTATCGTAACGGACAAAACGCACCTGTGTAATTTACCCTCGGAGAACTTGGTAGTGTAGAATTGACGTGCCTTTCATCACTTGCATCAATCCGTCTCCAAACCCTTTTCTTGCGACAAACAACTTGTTACCCATTAAGACCGCGCCTGCTAGATCAGAGTCAAAAGCGATGCCTTTGAAACTCTGAAACGGCGTCTGGTGAATGCCACGGCAGGGAAGGACCTTCACGATGGGACCCACCCAATCTTTCATCCGGCCCGTCAGCTACGGATACGACAATGGAACAAACAGAAAATTCCAAAATTTCGCCGAGTCCGACTCGCGGCCGGTGTCTCCCTCCCTGCAGTATTTTAGCCAACGAAGTTCGTCAACTCGACAACCTCGCGCCCGCAACGTCATCCGCAGGCCGACATCTTGGATCACTCAAAAGCAGAAGGTCGACCATCAACAACCCCAACCCTGACTTCTGCAGGATCTGAATGGACTTGCCGATGAAATGACCTCTGAGCAGGTCCCGCCCCCATTGGCGGCCGCTCGCACTCACTCACCCCGGTCCAGCCATGACCTCGTCACCGTGGTGCTTACCACTTCGCCAACACCCTCGGCACCGTCCACTGAACTTTTGTCATCCATCATCGCCTCTTTCCAGAAGCATTGCGCTCCCCTGACCAAGTGCAGGGTAATCTTGGTCCTCGACACCTACGACCGCATTGCTTCCGACTCCCGACTCAAGAAAGGGACCGTCACTGCAGAGGGGGCCAAAAAGTTCGCCGAGTACAAGGAGAACGCCAAGAAGCTCATTCTCGACGAGTATTCGCGGAGCCATTGCGGGGCTGAGATTGTCTGCTACGACGACGAGCTCATCATCACCGAGGGAGAGGCAGAGTTTGGCTCAGTGGCCTATGCGCAACAGCACAATGCTGTCACTCTCACCATCACGAGAACCAAGGATGGGCGCATCACCTTCATCGAGCCTCACGCACGGGTTGGATTTGGTCTAGGCGTACGCTCGGCCCTACGGCTTACCGAGACGCCCTATGTTTGGATCCAGCAGCACGACTGGGCGCTGGTTGCCGACATCCCTTTGGCACCACTTCTCGAGATCATGCAGCAGTCCGAGTCTGCACCGGAGTCTCCCGATTCCTCTGATTCAGAAACGACGGATGGACAAGAGCCTCGAACGACTTCCGACGTACCGGTCAAGTATGTCTGCTTCCCATCGACTCGCATGGTTTCCTACGCCAAGTCGGACCACGTCATGCTCTACCCGGCACTCCGAGCCTTGACGAATCTGTACAAGCAAAACTTCTCGGTTGGAAGCGGGTGTTCGAGTGTTAAGATCCCTCTCACGCCGCTCTTTTTCTGGCACGACAAGCCACACCTTGCCTCGACGGCACATTACCTCTCCCAAATCTTTCCCAGCCGCGCTGCCATGTTGAGGGGCGCCTTCATTGAGGACACGGCTGGCCAACGAGCGAGAACGGAGATGAAGGACGGGCTGTGGAGGAAGTGGGCTTGCTGGCTGTACTACCCTGACGAGGGGACAAAGCTGTGTGTGCGACACCTTAAGGGGAGAACATGGCGGGGGACGGATGGCGAGCTTGTGCAAAGGATGCAGTATATGCGACTTAATTCATTCAACCCCTAGCGCAATGCGCATTTACGGCGGTCAAGACAAGCGTCAGAACGAAGCCAGAGGACGGGAATGACTGCCATCCGCTCCTTCATATCCTGCTGAGTCTTCAAGCGTGCGGGCAATCACCGTCCGTAGAAGCTTTTGGCGTATAGAACAGTAAACATCAATACCAGCATATCAATACCCACACATCTTAGACATGCTTCACCACAAGTCACTGTCCCCCGTGGTCTCTACAACACTCGCTTTGCGATCGGCTTCCAGTCCTTGATATCTTTATCAGTCGGGATCAACCAGACAACACCGCCATTCCAGCCATTCCCTTCGACATCACGTTCCGGCTCAGTCAGCTTGACACCGCCCTCCTCCACGACCTTGGCGATCTCCTTCAACCCATCGTCGCTGATCGGAACATCCCCACTGCAGCCCTACGTTTAGCCCAACACAGCCAACAGGGAGCAGAGAGGGAGAAAACAGGGCTGACAACTTACTACATCAAACTAACATGCGGCCCAAACTCCTTCCTCCACCACTCCAACCACTCTTGCGTCTTCGCACCCTTCGCATCTTCCTCCCCATTCACTCCTCTCGACCTCGCCAGCCCGGCAATCTTCTTGATCCCCTCATCCAGCTTAACCTTTGCGTAGCACCTCCGATAGTATGTGTCCTGAGAGTTGATGCCCTCAAACCGCACCTTTACCTCGTCAGCGGATGGCCAGGGGATCGAATCGAGCCAGCGCTGGGGATCGTCGCCGTAGAGATCGGGGGAGATGCCGGAGCTGAGGGTCATGTGGGGAGCAAAGAACTCAGGAGTCAAGCGTGCGTCGGCAGCGCCAGCCTCGGAGGGAAAGTCGGAGGGGAGGCGTTGGGAGATGAGGAAGGAGAGGATGGGGTAGAGGGGGTGGGAGGGAGGAGGGGTTAGCCAGAGGGAAGAGCCGGGCATTTTGGGAGAGAAATATGACAGTGTTGCAATGGGATCGCTGGTTTTCGTTGTTTTTGAGTATTTTGGTGACTATGGTGAATCCTCGGTATCTTGCGTTCAGAACGTGAAGACGGGTGGTGAAGATTTGGATGATGATGTTCTGGAGAATGAGGAAACCCGTTGTTCGGAAGTGATGACGCTTGGACATCCACTGATCTTGGCGAAAGTGGGGAATTTTTGTGTTGTACCGCAAGCAAACCCTAACCCATGAACTCACAAGGATCATTTGTTTACGTTGTGATCTTACCCCTGACACACCCCTTCGCAAACATGGGTCATCGCTCCAGACACACGTGGAAACAAGGTAGGGTGTGGCAGAGTCATCAAGGTCCATCGAGGAAACATTGGATTCAATCTCACAACGCGAGAGAACAAGTGATCCATCCTTTGAACCTCCGTCATTCTTTGACCTGGACCCGAGGCTGGCGTGGACAATGAGGATCTCCTTCGATTCTAAGACGCAAGTACTAAAACCAGCCCGTCAAAGAAATTGGACATACGAGCTAACATGATCTTTTACGGCAGGCTTCCAGAAACTATCGGACACAAAGAAGCTTTTGCAAACCCGCATTCTTCTCCATCTTTGTGAAGGGCGGCAACGATAAGCCAACAGCCCTACTGTTCAGTCGGTTAGCTGTAACAATGGCTTTCTAGAAGCATTGGCTTTTACTCATATAGGTGACTGTATCCCACCTCAATATCCACCGCGTGAGTTTGATCTGTTCAGAGTTTATCCAGCGCAGTCATTGATCACGGAAGTCATGTTGAACCTGATGTGGTCCGGAGATGAATCATCGGATCACCCTTCTTGGGTTGATTCATCAGAGATCTCGGACAAGGTATTGCACAATCCGAGCAAGATACATATGAAAATAATCTCCGCCCGACATGGGACCCAGGCGGGGCATAGAAGTTTTCCTCGTCTCATTAGAGTCGCACTCCGAACCAAAGGCTCATTCCTTCTATCTGCTTCAACCTCAAACCCCGGATCTCCGAACAGCAGCACACGATTAGCTATTCCTTCGTCTTCACCAAGTCCAGCACTCTTAACCCGAGATATGGCAGAATCTTCATCAGAGACATTACGTCCTAAAATCCCATGCACCTGCTTCCGCGCCTCCAAGTGTTCCCTCCGCTGCTACGCCCGTCTTCCCACCCTTTCGAATCCCCCTTCCTCTCGCATCTCCTACTCTGACAGGTGCCGCCTCAAACAGCACATCCGCATAACTTTTGACAATCTACACGGTTTCTTTCTATCCACTATTACTCCTACTTCCTATTTTCGAAATTCAGGACCTCCTTCTCTTTCCATCCCATCGACTTCCTCCACAGCCACAACTTCCGCAGACATCACTAACCCACCCGCCACCCAAGATTTGCCCAGCGCCTCCTCGGCTATCACCGACCAAACCCTCCAAACCCTCCATTCCATCCTCTCCCGCGCACACTCCCGAAAGCAAACCCTAAACTCCCTCACCTCCTCGGAGGACACCTCCACGGAGGACACCTCCACGAACACCTCCACCAACAAACCAAAAATACCCCTAAGCACCTTCACAGCCCTCTACACCTCACTAATAACCGATCACGAACTCTTCCTAACGGATCTGGCCCCGTACTACAGGGAGGAGTGGGCGGAGGGAGAAGTGAAGAAGTTGATGGCGGAGTTTGTGGGGGAGGTGACGAGCGGTGAGAAGAAATTGCGGGCGTTGATAGGGAGGATAATCACGACGGATGTGGAAGAGGGAGAAGGGAAAGGGGGATAGTTAGGTGAATGGGGGATGGGTTAAAGGGTGGGTGGGGGTGGGTGTGAAAAAGTTGGAGGGGAAGGATGATAAGACATGGACAAGGGAACATAAATGCCCTCGAGGTTAACTCGCGTTTGGGTGCCTAGAGGTAGGTACCCGGTCTACGCTACCTATTGACGGAGAATAAAATGGGGAGGTGGAGGGGGTTACTAGAGGTACCCTACCTACGTATGAAGGGGTACGGTGTGGGGTTAATACGGAGGAGGGTTAGAGAAGCACGTTCTTGGGTAGGGCGTGGCGAGTCAGTGCCCGTTGCCTTTTAATTATATTGGAAGCGGAGAGACTTTGCTAGTCCACGGGATTAGAGAATCGTAGATGAAGAGAAGGGGTGAGGATGATGACGCTTGCTCTGGAAAGCACATGCCAGGCAGGGCGGAGGCTACTGTGGTATACGACGAAGACGGGGTCTACGGCATCATCATACGTCTGTGACAAACGGTAGTGGTTCAGCAATGTCACATTGATCAAGGTGTTCAAGAAATAGCAAGCATTGTAGAGAGAACTGAATTGAAATATGAATAAACTCCAGCCCCTGGTAACCGTATCCCAACTCCAAACCATGCGCTCCATTCCAATTCTGTCTGAGACCAGTCCAACCGCCGTATCCATACCCGTCCTTTGAATCCATATTTACCTAAGAACCATCAATCTTGCCAACGCCAACCCGTTATCCCGACCGAGTCTTGCGACCAAGGCCGTCTGTGATGAAATAAGAAGCAAGGAAAAACGAAAGACATATGAAAGTGTTTTCCAGATTTGGAGCCGAGAAAAACAAAAGAAATGTCCATACACCCAATGGGGGAAAAGCAGTTTTAGTTTATCTGTGTCAGGCGTGTTGGATGGCTTGAACACGGATGTCTGGTGTTACGTAGGCGAACGGCTTTTTGGGGTGAGGTTAGCAAAATGTTTGGGTGAGGTGGAGGGTCAATGAAGGTGTCGGTTTGAGGCTTCTTTGAGGCGCCAAACGTTGTGGCGACAGTCCAGAAATTGGGCAACGACCAGACCCCGTTGGAGGCGACATCGATGGCTCATGACATCAAAGCCAAAGTTACCTCCTAGGTACGCTTGACCCATTCGCTATATGCGTATTTGGAGCGCTGGTACTTCGTCCGCGTCTGGCGTTTCCCTCCATTCTCGGCTTTGACTTCGTCGAGTTCGGATCTCCCTCAACGGTAAATAATTGTACATAATTATTTCCTCCCCTTTCCCATCTATATATCTCCCTTCCGTTGCTACTCGCAAGTTGCAACGGCGCGCCTGTCCCAACTTCGGTGGCGGCTGTTGCCCGTACGCAGATGGTTGCTGGCTATATCCGTAGGAACCGGAATGAGACGCCGAGTGATAGCCGCCACGATCTGATCCACCACGGCCTCGTCCACTATAACCGCCGCGCTGGGGAGCAGCCGGCTGTGGCTGTGGCTGCTGCTGCTGCTGCTGCTGCTGCTGCTGCTGCTGCTGATAGGGGGACTGACCATAAGTGGCATCCGCTCGATGCACATCTGTAACTGGAGGTCTTGGATGCTGGTATTATACGCCCGGGTTGGGAAGGAGCCAACCACGAAAACCAAAAGGAGGTGTTCCTTAGGAAGGAACGAACACTAGCGAGATGCTGCAGAGTGCTAGGTGTTTTATCCTCGTTTCTGGGGGCTCTCTTGTTTTGTTCCTCTTCTCCGGGTGGAAGAAGGCATTCCTCTCCGCCGCACCATTCAAAATGTCGCCCTTGTGGGGACCGTTGTTGGGACGCCTTGTCCTTCTCCTCGATCGGCAGGCCTATTGTGATGTTTCCAGCCGTGCTGCCAGCAGCTCGTCTTGCTCCAGCAAAGAAAAGTACCAAACAAACGCCTTCTTTTGGTCAGAGCCGGACGCCATGGGGGGGCACACGACGACGACGACGACAACGACGAGCGAGGCAGGTCCGGCTAGATCTCCTTTCCCTTACCCTTCCAGTCAATCTTCTGCTGACCGCCAAAAGGGTTCGCAGAAGAAGAAGCCTCAGCCTCAGCCTCAGCCAAGTTCACCTCCCTAGCACTAGCCTGCACTCCAAATTCCGCTTCAAACCCCGGAGGCACCGAGACCACCCATCCTTCTGATCTGGTGCTCCGAATCATACGGAACGACCTTGCGAAGGGGCGGGATGTTGTCCTGCTCGTTGATCGGAATGCGAGGAGGCAGATCACCGACATAGACGTACACGGGCTTGCTCTCACCCGGCACCTTGACGGGAGAGTAGTCGTAAGGTACCAAACAACCGCCTTCTTTTGGTCAGAGCCGGATGCCATGAGGGGGGCACACGACGACGACGAGGGAGGGAGGTCTAGCTAGGGCTCAAATAAGCCACAGGACGAGTCGGAAGAGGACGATAACCCGTTTGTAGTTGGAAGAGCCGGAAGTGCCCAGCGCTGCTGGTGAAGGTGTAGCTGCCTCCTCCGCTGCTGGTGATGATATCCTCGGTGTCACTAGGTACCTGGAAACGTTGATGGCGGACAGGTCCAGATTCAGGAAAGGGTGATGGAGTGTCTGCCGGCATGAGGCGGCCGTAGTTGTAAGCCATTGTAATTGTGGTAGCTTCCTTCCACATCAATAAGGATCTCTCGGATCCAAATGCTCCCCATGAACATAGGCTGCATGGGCGGCTCAAAATAAATGATCTGATTCCAGCCAAGGGCGAGATCGTCGACCTTGACATCAGTGACCTGCATCCAGTTATCCCAGTCGATACCGCCACTGCCGAGGTTGATCTTGCCGAGCACAGAGAGGGATCGAGCAATCGACCGGGTCAAGCTCCAACTTCTAGAGGTGGACTCTGGCTTTGGAACCCTAGCGAGTTGACCCCCCCTTTCTGACCTTGAGCCATGTCCACCTATTGAAAAATAAATTCCACCTGCTTCGCCATCCCTTTTTCTTCTCGTCGCCGGGCTCTGGCTGGTCTTGCTTGAAAAGCGCAGGAGGGAATAGTCGCTCGAGCGACTCTCGTGAAATGGGTATGCTCATGATGCTTGACTGGGACGTGTTATTCTGCCTTAGGAACGACAGTGAATCTTGAGGCTGTGCCTCGTTAACCGCTATGACTTTGGAGTAAGTAAGAGGGTTTGGGATTCTTGTTTTTCTGTGGTGATTCACGAATGGGTCCCTCCTATGCTCCTCCAATCCGACGAAGCCCGCATTTATGTTGGGCAAGGACTGGCCAGCACTAAGGCTGGAGGAGGACTGAGTAAGACTGCGCTGTCTCTTGGGGGGAGTCCAGGCGTCGTAACTGCTGCGGTATCTGCCAGAGTAGTCGCAGTATCGTGCACTCGTTTTGTGGGGTGTGAGGTAGTCGTTGCTTTCGATCCAGCCGATTGCCGACAAGTATTTCGTGTTGGACTCATGCGAACTAACGCTGTGGAAAGAAATGTCGTCTGGGATTACTCCAAGGTATCGGAGAGGTCTTGTGGGGTTGATGAGGGGGATGTCGTCTAGTGACATGGAGTAGGATATGAGATCGTGGATTTCAATCATGGTCGCGTCGTGAACCGTAGCGTCCATGTCTTCCCACTGGCTGCTATTGTCTACCTCAAGAGCATTGGTGTCGGGGAGGAGTGATGTCTTGTCGTTGGCTATGGTAGATGCTAGAAAAATGAGAAATGTGTGAGTGTCCAGTACTTTCAAGAACAGATTCAACCAACATCTGTCAGAGATGGGTAAGACTTACGCATTTGCTCGATGCTTGCCGTTTGTGGTTGTTCTTCTGTAGGTGGGGTTATCACCTTGACCTCACGTCTGGCTTGAATGCCCTGACTGGCCGGGCGGGATGGAGAGCGGCTCTGGCGAACATCGTCGAGATATGAAATGGGAGGTATGCTCGAAGCGTTACTTCCGCGTGATGCGGGACGCGACGGTTCGTCGAGGACATCGCACCAAGTAGCGCCCTCTTGCTCTTCAGGCTGCCCCTCGGTTATGTTGACTTCTTCGGCGAGTCTGTGCCTGGGGAAAGGAGAAGGGCTTCGATACCGAGGCGAGCCACTAATCTGACTTGTAGGCCTGCTTCCTGAAGGGGACGGGAAAAGTACTCTGGTGAGCCTGTGAAACTGACTCGCAAACCTGACCTTTCGGCGCTTCACCGATGAGCGCTGCTTCTGGCGAGTCTCATACATCGCGATTGTTTTTCCTTGGTGATCGCTAAAGTACCAACTGGGAGGTATGAAAGCAGCCATTATAGAAAAGAGGGGTGTAAAGTAAGCGAAAGTCTCACGAGGTTAGGCGAATGGAGATGTTTTATCGACTTGAAGAACTGACTCGTTGATCTGCAACTTGCAAAGAGAGAGAAGAGCGAAGCGGGAATGGGAATGGGTGGGAAGATGTAGTGACTTGACCGATGGAATAAAAAAATTGATGCCTTGTGAGAAGTGAGAAACAACTGATTGTAACATGAAATGTAAGGCATAGGAGTAAAATAAAAAACGACCAATGTCCGATGCGGGCAGGCCGGAGGTCGACGGCGTGCCTGCGTATACCTTCGACTTCAGATGTCCGAATCAGGCTACAGTCTAGAGGCAGCTGCACATGTAGCCGCCTGTAAGTTTATATCCGGACGAGGAACATGTTTAGGATATGAGCCTCTGCATCTTGGGCACTGGCATAAGTTGCTTTTCATCCTGTGTCAGGAAAATATGGACAGTTTGCTGAGCAACGTCTGAAACGCGTTCATCCGGCCGGCTGCCCCGGGGGCGCACTGCTCGACGTCAAAGTTGATATCCAAGTAAACATGTAGACGCACGTCGGTGATAAATCCGTGGATTTGGAGTTGGCTGAATGCAGGTCGTCTGCGGATTTCAGAGCCTCAGTCTGCAACAAGCACCAGTTCTCAACGTTCCGGAGTACCCAGGGTGCATACAGCGCTGCACGTCTCGGAATTTATTTTTTCGGCCTGCACCGACGCAATGCATCACTCCTTGTAGAAGTAGCAGGTAGCCACGTGAGTCGTGCCTTCCACTTCACATCCTAAGGCCAGTGCTGAAATGCTGATAAGAGGGGTCTAGAATGGAAGTTGCAGCCTGCAGAAGCTTTCACTTTGCACACAGAAATGGATTCATCCGATACCTTACCATACCTGTTCATTCTTGTTAGATACCTAGTCGTACGTCACTCCGCAGCCTCCAACTGTTTATGTGAACGTTGTGCCCGTGTGTACTTACTTCCAGGTTCCATTTCTTCCTGCCCAAGTTCGCTTTTGGTTTCGGCTTCTATATCCATTGTTTTCGATCTTTGGCTGAAACTTTGAGGGCTTTCATAATGAAGACCCTGGCCTGGGATTTGATATACCTGATATACTGGAGGGTGGGTAATGGTATTATCCACAGCTAGGTGAATCCGTATCGTGTTGTTATAATCTTGCAGTACCATGTACTTACCAAACTGTCGGATCTTTGAGGTCCGAACCAGCCCCCTTGGCCTTGGGTCGACGGTCAGGCCCATCGTCCGTAGCAAGGTGGGACATGGGAACAGACCTTACTGTGCTCGCTCTTCATTATTGCGACTTGAAGAGAAATCAAAGCTTGAATGTCAATGTTCCAGTTTATCAACCATGGAACTTGTCCAAGTCTGTTACCCTACCAGGTACACAGTCAATTTGAAGATCAGCCCAGCTCCATGTTTATGCAAGGCACTTGCATGTATCGCAGATGATTCGCACAGTTTCATGTTGTAGATCGTGGGTGAAGAAGTGCATTGGGACAAGGTGCCCGTGTTTACAAGTTCTCAAATTGCCAAGGTTGGAAGAACTTGAACTCGATAGACGCCAGATGTCAAACGACTGAAGTGAATAAATGTGGTACGTCTGAACGATACAAGACTTGGCAAGGTACCCCAAACCATCAACCTCCATGTTTAGGAAGGGTCCAGGATGATAACTGATGGCGCCTTCCCGTCAAGAGCGGAATTGGAGTTGGTTCAACGGCCCGCCGCGGGGGTGGAAACCGCTATGCCGGCCAATGTGGGGTAAGATGCGGAAGAGCTCGGCTTGCGTCGGACTTGACCCCACGGAGTTCACTTTCACTTATACTTCACCATGTTCACCATCTGGATACTCGAATTTAACACTTTTGCTGCACCAAAAACATCACGACAATGGCGCGTTCGTGGCTTGATATCGACCCCTCCAGCGACTTTTCGCTGGCCAACATCCCCTTTGGCATCATCAGCACTCCCGACGACCCTTCTCCCCATGTCGGCATAGCCATTGGCACCTACGTCCTTGACCTCAAAGTGCTGGCTGATGGGATTGGCGGATGGAACCTATTGCCATATGGTGGGCATGAATCTAACCCAAAAGTCTTTGCACAGCCTACCCTCAATGCCTTCGCGCAGCTTGGGAGAGCCGTCCATCGTCATGTCCGAGAAAGGATCCAGGATCTTCTATCAGAAAACACAACTCACCCGGATCTCCTAAAGAACAATGCCGAGCTCCGAGAAAAGGCACTCGTGCCTCAGCAAAGGGTCCAAATGCACCTTCCGATGGCCATAGGCGATTATACCGACTTTTACGCCGGTTATCACCATGCCTACGCCGTAGGTGTCATGTTCCGCGGTCCGCAAAACGCTCTGCAACCAAACTACACTCACTTGCCTGTTGGATACCATGGAAGAGCCTCCAGCATCGTCGTGTCAGGCACACCAGTGCGTCGCCCCGTCGGCCAGATCCTACTGGACCCCAAAGCAGATCCCAAGCAGCCAACCGTGGCACCCAGTCGAAGGCTAGACATTGAACTTGAGCTGGGCTGCTTCATCACCAAGTCAAACCCCCTGAGCCAGCCAGTCGGCATTGACGAGGCGGAAGAGCACGTGTTTGGTTACGTTCTCTTGAACGATTGGAGCGCGAGAGACATTCAAACGTGGGAGTACGTCCCGCTGGGCCCGTTCAATGGCAAGAACTTTGCCACGACCATTAGCCCCTGGGTGGTGCTTGCGGATGCGCTGGAGCCGTTTAGGGCCAAGGGAATCGAGAACCCGACTCCGGTGCAGGGATATCTCAAGGAGAAGAGGGGGGAAACCGTCTATGATATCCAACTGGAGGTGGACCTGACAAGTAAGTCCATTCGCATCAGTTCTTCGAGTTGACATGGGTTGCTAATAGCCAATCCCCCTTTTCAGCTCCGGAAGGCAACACAACCACCGTCACCAAGACGAGCGGAAAGAACCTCATGTGGTCGTTCCCTCAAATGATTGCCCACCATACACTGGGAGGATGTCCGCTGCGACCGGGCGACCTTTTGGGGTCGGGAACAATCAGTGGACCGGTACCGGAACAGAGTGGTAGTCTGCTTGAGTTGAGCGAGGGCGGCAAGCGGGAGATCCAGCTCAATGGCGGCAATGAAACTCGCACGTTCCTCAAGGATGGAGATACCGTCACCCTTCGTGGTTTTTGTGTAGGAAAAGAGGGCGAAAGAGTTGGGTTTGGCGAGTGTACCGGACGGGTGCAAGGCTAGCTGTTGCAGAAAGGAGTTGACGTGGACGATCTGAAAATGCACATCCAGGCCCGGACATCTGGCGGTAGTCAATCGGAGCCAGACTGTGTTAGATACCCCTACCCGTGCCTCAGGGGGTCACGGTGCGAGTCTGACGAGTCCCGAAAAAGTGGGGGCGAGGCACGGGTAGCTCTTCTTCATTATCGGGAACTGGGAAGACCAAATGCCAAATTAGTAATGCCCATCAAATGTTTCATATGGTCCAGAATGGTCAAGATTTGTTCTTGTCTCATTACCGGTGGAACCTTGTTTCTCGAACTGATTGGTGCTTAGCCCGTCGGGGACATTAACAAAGAGGTACTCCGGGTCAGGCCGGGGACCTCAAGACCTTAACAGGCTGTAGCGGAGACATTGGGAGGATCATGTCTCCATCTGTTCCCCGCTAGTAAGAGACTTAATCACGTGAGAGCACATCCATTGCTTTAATTGTTAGGTAATCCTGTACCTCTAGCGGAAACCTTTCCCGCTTGCAGGTTAGAGTAAACTGAGACCTGCAACATTTCATTTACAGCACTGGCCGCCAAATCGCATTGTCTCGCTTGACTCACGCAATTATTACCAGGGTGGCGGGCGGGCGAACCGCAAAATCGAGACCTAAATACCAACTGCCCTGACAGCCCGATAATAAGGGGAGGGGCTAAAGTGGAAGCACCCGTTCGTGCCGCAACTGGAGCTGCCTGGAACCGGGAACCGAGAAGCTAGAGGCGTCGGCAATGAAGACAGGTGGAATTTGACGAAAGCCCATCCACTGACCGAAAATGGATCTTCTCGAGACACAGGTCAGCGACTTGCGCTCCTTCCTCGGCGCCGGAGGGCTGCCTTCTGCAACAACATCCACCGCTACCACCTCTTCATCCCCAAACGCCATAGGTACAGCTGCTGCGGCTATTCGGCAAGGAATGCCTGGCTCAACACCGGGAGCCTCTGGAGGCGCTTTGGGTCTGGGTTCAATGTCGGTGGCAGGGCTGACAGGTGGCCAGGGTGGGATGCCATCATCGAGTGCCGCCTTGTCGCCGCATTCATCTACTGGATACTCACTCCCGAATCCGAACCCTTACAACACTCACCACCACAGCCAAGTGCAACAGCACCTTCATCCGCTCCAGAGTCACCAGCGAGACTTTGGGTCTCACGACCTCGCTTCCGGTCCTATGAGGACGGCTGAAAGTACAAACCATGGCCCCCCCCGACCATCGATCGCTGGTAGCACAACCGCCTCCCTCACCAACCCTCATGATCCCTACCGTCGCAACTCGTCCGTGTACTCCCCGCGCGGTGACCATTCCGCTCAAAATGACATGAACCCCATGAACTACGACTCCCCGGCAGCACAGTCGGATACCCAAGATCACCCTACCGGAACAGCATCTCGGAACAACAGCACTACCTCGGGCAGTGCCGCTAAGCGCAAGGCTGGCGATGACGATGGCGCTTCAAGCTCTACTAAGCAACAGCGGAGTAAAAGAAATAGGGTGTGTAGCATCTCAGTCCATATGTCTCATCCAGTCCTACCTCCTCTCATTAGCATGTACACGGACATGTTAGCTAACCTCAAACTCGCTCGTAGTACATTTCGATAGCATGGTATGGTCACCTCGTTCCCTTTCCATTTCCTGTATTTACCCCCAAAAAGACTTCAGGCCCTCAACGGATTTGGGGACAACTTCCTTCCCTCTTGATATGTGATTGCTGATCGCGGTCCTCAACATCCGCAGCAACGAGTGCAAGCGCCGCAAGATCAAGTGCAATGGCCAAACCCCTTGTCAGCGATGCGGCCATCTCAATCTCCAGTGTCTCTATGCGCCCAACTGTTGCTCGCACAGCCTCAAGGATTCGGACGAGTTTAAACAGATGGCCGACCAAGTGAGCCGTCTTCAGGATCAGGTCGAAACTCTCTTCAGCAACATGAGTGCCTTGCGCCAGGAAGCCCTACGTCTCGCCCCCATTCACGACCGCATCTTGCCACCGCCTTCCGCGACAGTTACTCCCTCGCCATCGACAGCCTCCATGCCCCAGTTTCCTAGGCCTCTCGCCCCTTTGCGACCACCATCGACGTTTAATGGACCGACCAGCATCGCCTTTACCATGGATGTGGCCAAAAACACCCTGCACAACATGGGATACGCCGGTGCCAGTGAGGCACTCGACGACAGTGGTGACAGTGGCGACGGCAACAGCGGCGCACAGGCCGAACCAACACCGCGTACATCACCGACACCACTACCCCCGATGCAGCCATCCCCCTATCAAAGACAGATCGATCCACTGTGGGAGTTTGACAAGGCCGAAATGATCCGACTTTGCAAGCTGCACGAGGAGGAAATCAGTGTCATGTATCCTGTTATGAAGATGGAGAGCACGATTCGACATGCGACCGAGGTCTCTGAGTGGATGGAAAAATCGAAAAGACAAGGCTTGGTTCCACCGGCAGGCCAAGGCGAGGCTTTCACCGACGACAGGTCGCTTCTACTGAAGATTGTTCTATGCTGTGCCTTGGTTATCGAGGAGCACGGAAACAGCGCGAAGGCAGCTCGGCTGTACGAATCCATCGAGGCTGTCACCATGAAGACGTTGATGGGTGGGCTTGACGATGTCGTCAAGTTACCCTATTTAGCTCTTGTCGCCGGCTACAAGTTCTTTTCTAACGACGAGCTTGCGGCCTGGCGTATCATGGGCCAACTCATGCGGCTATGCTTCGAACTGGGTCTCCACCGGCGAGATGGAATTGATAAGGTCACCGACCCTCAGGACAGGCGGAACGCTATTAACACGTTTTGGATCGCCTATGTGCTGGAGAGGAGGTGGAGCTTTGCCACTGGTTTGCCCTTTGTGTGCGACGATGCCAAGATTGACCCAAAGCTGCCCTACCCGGTAAGACCGAGATACCGAAACTTCCTACATTCAAGAGCCCCGCTGACCATCTGGCACAGGACGATAACCCGTTCTTGCTGGCCATGATCACCTGGTCCAGGTTGGCTGCCAAGACCTGGAAGTTGGTAGATTATTTCGAGCCGGCCGTCATCCGTGAACTTAAGCCTAGCGACTTCGAAGAGCTGGACCGCAAGATCATTGACTGGTATAGCAGTATCCCTGAAGAAATCCAGATCAATTCGCCGCTTGAACCACTTAAGAAGCCCATAGGGGATACCCAACGCTTGCAGATCTGGACCCGACTGAGGCTCAACCAGGTGCGTTGATCTAGCCTAGAGGGCTTCTTCGAAAAGATCGGTTGCTTACTCCTTTTTCTTAGATACGCATCTGGCTGTATACCCCAATACTGCACAGCGCCATCAGCATCGCCGAGAACATGCAGTTTGCGTGCAGGGCCGTCGACCTAGCCAAAGAGACAATTCATTATCTGACAGCTCTCAACGCCACTACGAATATCTACCGCCGCATGCAAATGTTCGGCCACCAGTTCCTCACCTCCGCCATAGCCGTCTTGTTCCTCGCTTCAACTCACGCACCACTCCAATTCAGCGCCTCCTGCCGCAAGGAATTTTACATGGCTCTTGAACTGGTCAAGATTATGTCGGCAAAGTCATGGGTGTCGCGACGGATATGGCGCACGATTGGGTCCCTAAAGAAGTACGCTGCTCGGTTGGGAATGGAAGAAGACAACTCGAACACTTCGAACCCGACGACCCGCAACAGCACTATGGCCAGGCCACTCGGGCGCTTCCAAGACAACGCTGCCGGCGGTAGTCCAGCGAGCAGTGTGTACAGCCCTGGTGGCACCGCAACATACGCCGGAGGAGGGCCGTTTGGCCGCTCCGACGCCATTTCTCAAGGGACCAGAGGCGGCGGACTTGCCTCGCCTGCCTCAACTCCGGCGGCTCATCAGAACCAGACCCAAGGATCGTCGCCGGATGATCCGACCAACGGGCTCAGGCTACATACTGAGATGTCGCGCATCTTTGAGCATTGGCAAGGTGGTCTGGCGCCGGGACGGACGCGAGTGAATCGGATTCACTCACCCGATGTGTCTTTGGGCGGCGCTGGAGGCGGTGGGCACTCTTCCAACCTGACGAGCTCTCATGATGTTGGTATGGCTGGGAGGGCATCCACGGGAAGCCCTGCGTCTTCTAACGGGGCTGGGGTGTACCAGCAACTGAGGGATATGTTCTAGATGTGGAATCTGAGGTTGCTAAGCTTGAGGGCGACTGCTTTACCGTTTAAAAGAGTCATGTACATGATACCCATAACATTGGATAGTTCGAGAGTTTTGAATAGGTAGTAATGAACACAAGTCCGAGCTGAGCTGCTCCTCGGAAAAATAGTGCAACTTATAAATCAGATCAGCGTGAATCCATATCCGAACAGGAAGCTTTTTCTAACAAGAAGAAGCATGTGGGTGGATGGTCCGGAATTTGGCAGTTAGACCGGAATTACCCCTAACCCCGGATCTTCTGCTTTGGATACAAAAGTGGTTCGTCTCGGTCGTTCCTTCTATGTGATGAGAGGGTAGCACCTGCAGATTGTTCTACAGGCCGCGGCGAGACCACACACTGTTAAAGCACAGCACTGCATCGATTACATCAGCCAAGTGCAGGGGGTCAACGACAACTCATTCATTTCCCCCAAACGTCTTCCACTCACTCGGACATTCCTCTGCACCAGACAAAACATCACCAACTCCGAACCGCGCAGCATCCTGAAAACAACCGACAGTAAAAATGGCCACCACTGTCAAAACAGTAGTAGCAACAGGTGCTTCATCCGGTCTGGTCTGTACACTACCTACCCAACCCCTCCCTGCTCCCTCCTGCTCAACCCCTCCATGTGACCATGTCTGCTTCGGCACTGCACGCCCTTCCCTCCGTCTTCAGTCAATCAACATGAACTAACACCCCCGCCATCTACACAGGGCTTCCACGTAATCAAGCATCTCCTCTCCCAGACCTCGCAGCCGTACAACTTCATCCTCGGCGCCCGCGATGTGTCCCGCACGCAAAATGCATACCGAGCTGCATTCCCCGAGTCCGGGTCCTTGGCCCCCCACTCTCTTGAGATCCTGCCGCTGGAGCTGTCTGATCTCAAGACTGTCAAGCGGTTCGCCGATCAGACGCTGGAAAAGCTCGGCGAGAAGCAGCAGGGCATTGACTACCTGCTGCTGAATGCTGGGATTACCAATGGGGCGGGGACTGAGAAGCCTGGCCCGGGAGGGAGTAAATGGTGTGAGGCGTTGGTGGTGAATCATTTGTGTGAGTTCTCTTGAGTCCTCGGCCTGAGTGCACCCCATGTCGCCACCAGACAGTGCTGGATCGGGTCTAAAGACACATGTAGAGAGAGGGCTGGAACTAACTACCCTACTGAACCAGCCCAACATTACCTAACCCACCTCCTCCTCCCCGCGCTTCTCCGATCCGACAGGACCGATACCACCGATAGCGAAAGCCGCATCGTCGTAGTCTCCTCGGGCGCCATCCGCCGCGTCACGGACCCAAGCACGCTCGAAAAGGACCTCCTGGCCGGCTCGGGCAAGGACGGAGACACGGTATACGCCGAGACCAAGTTCGTGCAGTTGCTCGGGGCGCACTGGTGGCGGAGAAAATTGAAGGAGACGAGATGCAAGGTGGTGGCGGTTAGCCCGGGACTGATTCCCGGGACGGGCATTGGAAGGGGGAGCGGGATGGTGTTGAGCATGGAGATGAAGGATGCTAAGAGTGTGGAGGAAGGTGAGTTTCCAATTCTCTTATGTTTTTTTCGGTGTTGCCACAAGCTATCTGCATATATGCCATGTGTACGAAGGGGCTGCGGAAGTGATGCATATGATTAGGTATGTTGTTTGCTGACGGAGACGCAAAAAAAATAGGCGCGCAAAGCATCCTGCGGGCTTTTATGCGGGATGATTTCCCCGAAGATCCGGATCGCATCTTCCTGACGAGCTGGGGAGAGTGGTGGGATAGCGATACTATCGGGAAGACGCTGGATAAGGAACTACAGGATCGATGGTGTCCTGAGAAGGAGGAGGTTGAGGCGGAAGAGGGTTTGAAGGGCTTGTAGTTTTTGAAGAGGGAAACACGACAATGTCTACAGGTATGTTCCAGTTTGCTCAAGGATTAACTGCTCGCCACAGTCCGTTTATTCTCTGCAGTTCTCCATGCTTTCCATGTAGTTGGAATCTGATCTGTTCCTCTAGCAGAGCACCAGAGTCTTCGCAACTGAAGTAGCCAACGGACATGCAAGTGCATGTCCAAATTTTATGATATGCCGGTCTACTTTTCTCCCAGTCCGAAGCGGACTTACAACAAAAAAAAGCCCCGCATAAAGATACGCGGACATAAACAAATGCACCACATATCAGCATCTTCGGGCTGAGATTCAGAGCCACAAGTCGACCTAGATGTATTAGATTCCCGTTCAAATTTTTTTTCCAGGATCAACTATATCACTACCTCCAAACTCTCCCTGCAAATTTTCCCATCATTCATCGCTACATCCGCAACCACCTTTCCTTTCGAACCCATACTGAAATCACTTGATCCCAAATTTTCATCACTGCCTTTGTGCCTCTACTCACTTCTTACTACGAACCCAACGAAACTTCTTGATCCCAAATTTTCATCATGGGTCCGAGAATCATGAAGAGCGAAGTGTTTGAGGTTGCCGGGGACTACGCAACATTGAAAAAGGAAAACACCCAGACGAATATACTTCGGGATGCTCAGCCGCCGCAGATTCCTGATGGTAAGACTTTGCCCCCCCCCCCCCCCCCATATCTCATCAGGGGTCGATTATGTAGTTTGCAAGTAATGAAAATAACTAGCCCTGGATGTTGGCAAGAACAAAGGTCACTGTAGCATGCCGGTATTGCCCCCCGAGATTCTGGCGATGATTTTTAGATATCTTGTGCCGGAACGTTCGGCCGCCACCGCGGACAAGCCGCCCTACGACAAGCTTTCAAGCTCCGCTTTATACAGAGGTCTGATCAACGTCTCCCGAGCCGGTAAACACTTCCATAACTTGGCTAAACCACTCCTCCTCGAGAAAGTGGTCCTTTCAAACTGCCCGAATATGTACAAGTTTTTCAGAACGCTTGTGCAGGATCCAGAAAAGGGGAAGCATATCAAACACCTCTCCCTTGATTTCCCGGTCAACGACAACTTTAACGTGTACTCAATACCACCGAACCTACTCCAAGAGGCCGCAGTAATCGTACGTACGCTACCAGAGCGACATACATTCAAAGAGGCCATATCTTCTGTGCTTGAAAGGGGAACGCGGTGGCATGGTAGATCAGCATTGATTGCTGTATTCATCCTTCTCTTGTCATTGTCCAACCATATTGAGTCAATGGACATACGGTTGCTCGCCCCGTGGACCACCTGGGTTAGGCATCATGCCATCAACGATACCGACCCCCTCCAAAGGATGTTGTGGGACTTTTTGTTGCGGCAAAGGCGACTCCAAGTTGAGAATCCGGAGTCAGATGGTCATACCCGGGTCTTCCAAAATTCCGGGGACATTCACCCGCAGAGCATCGTACTGGATGGCCGACTCGTGGGAGACCGGCATAACGGGGAACCTATGCATGTTGGCCGCCTCCATTCCTTCGCAAGGTCACCATGATTTTCAATGATCCGTATCTGCCGTATGACATACCGAGTACCTTTGCACGCGAGAAGTTGCCGTGGTATTGGAAGTGGTACAGAGACAAGCGCGTCGAGATCGATGTCGTACCACAGGCCGACAACTGGGCGCATGCGAACATGATGGTGGAAGTGGCGGAATTGGCGGAAGTAAACTTCCAGACTCCTCCCCGTGAGCTCTTGGAGAAGCCTGAGTTGATCCCCCTCCTCAGCACAAACGAGTATCTGGCGTTTTTAACATGCTTCGACCGACTCAAGAATATCCGCTACCTCAAGGATATGGGGCTGGAGAAACACATTGATAGCCTTAAGCGGCTGCAACTACTCAGCAAAAAGGAGGGCCTCTCAGGCTTGGACCACACAAAGCACGATGTATTCCTCAAGGCATACAAGCTCATTGCCTCCAATCCTCGCCAGGACAGGCTAAGGACGCCAACCATGAACTTCCACCTGCAGCTTTTCGAATTCATTGATTTTCACAGAGATCAGAGACTTTACTTCGAGAACCAGGTGGATGCCACGACAGTCACGGGTCTCACCTTAACCCGTACCAGGGACCAATGTGACGTTGCCGAATACCTCTTTCACCGAGGGAGTCGCGCCTGGCAGTGGCACTGCCTCGACAACCGACTGGCTTTCTTCCCCAACCTTGAAGTTCTCCATCTTCCCCTGTTCCTGTCCCACAAGCTCAGCAAAATGGTGTACCCCTGGGGGGCCAGGTTTCTTCTTGATCTAAACGGCGACGTGCAAGAACAAGGACACTTGGGTTGGGCGAATCTCAGGAACCTGACGAAGCTGAAGGAGCTCACCATCACCTTCTCGGGTCTCACGGGGGAGAAGGAAGCCTTGGCCAGCCTGGATTCCCTCGTCGATTTCTTCGCCAGCTACCTTCCGCCCAGCGTGGAGACGCTCAACCTCGTTGAGTGGTGGTCCGGCTACTACGCTGGGGGCTACATGCGGCTGGAGTGGCGGGAATCGGACTGGGCCCGCTGGCTGGAGGCGATGCTGGGGTTTTTGGATAAGTTGTCGTCGGCAATAGCGCGCGTGAGGCCGCCCTCACTGAAGAGGATTGAGGTGTCTTGTATTGAGGGAGAGGGGCCCGCAGAGGCCTTCTATAACCTGGAGCAGCGCTTGATAGGGGTCGTCAATATGTTGGGAATCAGCTTGGTGATTAAGCCGTTAGGTTGTGCGAGGATACCTAGGGTGACCCTCCCTCGCCGAGGCCTGAGGATAGGAGACTAAGAATAATGCATGAATAAAGCGTGGAATGCTCCTGCCGCCTTTAAGGGATATGACTTTGTCGGTAGAGGTGGTGGTGATCTTCCGCTTGCGATTGTGTTTTTTGATCTGGGAGCAAAGTCGTCAGTTGCTTGGAGGATGTCGTTATCTGCCTGGCTTCAGAATACCTACCGAACGGGGATGGAGTTTGTACAACTCAAACCCAGCGGAGACAGTAGAGATGTACGTTCGAATTTATAGACCTATTCAAGTAGTCAAAAAGCGCACTTTGGAAGAAGAAGGGGAAAAAAAAGAAAAAAAAAAGAGTTACCATTCCAGTCTAGAGCACATCACATCGCCTGTTTACGAACTGTCTGCTAACGTTCGCGCGAGGTCCACGATGTAGTGTAGTGTGTGGCGGTGTCACTCTTCTTCGCTTCGAGTCCGCTCCTAAATATTCACGATGCTTTGCATAACGGCATGAAGCAGTCAGCCAACCCATCAGGCTTCGTGCTATCGATGGAAGCATAAGGCGAGAAACTCTAACGTTCGGGCCCGTTGGTAGTTTAAAAGGTGTCTCGTGATACCGATACGAAGGAAGGGAACTCTCACCATTTAAACTTGAAATAAGCTGTCTTTTTTTTTTTTTTTTTTTAGTTCCATCATGGTGTTGGTTCGGTTGTTGTGAGGATGAGCGCGGCATCACCGCTGTCGTGTTACCGTAACCATCACGACCGCCAAGACTCACGAGCTTTCAGGGCTGAGTTCTTGAGAAGAGCCGATAGTGTGCATGTCACCATCTCAGCCCCCAATGAAGGTAGAAGGAGGTGTAAGACGGGGCGACAATTCGGTGATGAATGATGACGGGATGCCTTTTTGCTGTCAGTAATATGATGGCAGACGGGAATGTTGATGATCGGTATTCCGTTCGGCACACCCAACCCACCGCCAACCAACCCTTCTACAGTGGAGATGCCGAGCCCTTTTAGCCGTGTCAACAGTTGAGGCCATACTGGCTGGGCGCTGTCATGTGAATACATAGGTAGGGCCGCCGGAGGACAGGCCGCACACTCTACCACCCAATCCGGCATCCCGGGTGTGACGGGTGTGACGGGGTGGTTGGGGAAAATTTCCATTACAAAATGCCATGTTATGTCTTCATTTGGGAGTGTGAGGGAGCTTACCGCTATCATTATCGCAATTTGAACCCGATCCTGCACAAGGAGCTGTGGCGTGTCAAACCATGATCACGAGCTGAGCACACCATCCATATTTTGTACGTGCCGTAGTGACCACGATATTGTCCTCGTTCGGTGTGTAGTACCAGTGGGTGCTGCGGGAGCGGAATACGAGATACTAAATAGCTCCAGTAAGGTCCCTAACGGCCCCTCCCACCCCCGGATTGGGGGAATGCCAAGGGCCCCAAAGGTGGTTCCTGGTGATGATGACGTTCCGCTGTTCGCTAGCTGACTAAATGGCGTTCGGAATACGAACATCGTCGCCTACTCTGAGAAAAAAGTTGGTCGCGCCATGTTTGCGCCATGGGCGGCGGAGTAGGAAGTGCCACTACCGGCGAGAAAAGTTTGCTGTTGCGGGCTGGGGACGATCGGGAACCTCTGGGCTTGTTGGTTTTGTATAAATGAAGGGCTGTGATTGACGCATAAACGTTTGTGTCTCTCTTCTTCTCCATCTCCCTTCCGATTTGTGTCTCACCAGATTGACAGGAAACGTGCATCAACCTCAATCAAGTTCTTGTGTGACAAGACACAGCAGCTGGTTTGACAACAAGCAGAAAGAAGATCGCCGAACTTTTTCCAGCTCCACCATCCGCCATCGTTCTTTCTCAGACTTGGACCACTTCAAAAAGTTCAGTCCCACCAACACCACACATCAACCTCTCTTCCTCAGTCCTCACCACCACAACCAAAATGAAATCCACAACCACTACCCTCCTCACCGCGCTTAGCGCCCTCGCCGTCTCCCCCGCCCTCGCCGACTTCGACGGCTTCTTCCGCTTCATCGGCGGCAACTCCATCATCTCCGGCGAGCGTCTGCGCCTGAACAACTCGATCCCGTGGATCTCCCCCGGCGTCTCGCACGCTCCCTACAACCCAGCCGACCACTACTCGCGGATCTACATCAACGACACCACGCCTTCTCTCCTCTACGTCGTGCCCACCAACCCCCACCCTCCTCCGGTGCCCGGTTACTACGCGCTCTCGGGCACCGAAGGCGTTCCTGATGCGTATAGGCTGGTGCAGACTTATCGCCCGGATGAGGAGGGGAGCGTGAATCTGTATAAGGAGTGGAAGGTTAAGAAGGCTTGTGACAAGGCGAAGAATGAGACGAGGGCCCTGCTGAGGTATGGCGATGATTTGTATGGCGAGTGGAGGTGGATTGCGGTTAGGGAGATTGGGTATACGGGTGCGGAGCGCTGGGTGCCTTGGTGGGTCAAGCCGAGTGAGGCCAATATTGGTAACTTGACGGCGTGGGAATATGATGTTGCGGATTTGGAGCTGGTGAAGGCGGAGGGGCCTGTGAACTCGAATGCGCCGGGTGGTGTGGAGGAGAACTAAGGACTGGGCTTGGATTTGGGGAGTAGAGGAAGAGCACGGTTTGAGGATGGGAAAGGAAGGAAGGAAGGCCGGGAAAGGCCTGAGAGGCGGAGGACTCGGGGTAACGGCAATGGGGTGAGTGCCCCCGGGGAGGAAATAATTGGGTGTTTACCTACGATCAACGGCGGCTTGGTCAGGAGGATGACCAGCCGCGCGTTTCATATATCTTCTTGCACATAGTTTTCAACCGCTCTCGCGGTCTTCAACTTCATTTCCATTTCCTTCAATTCTTCATTGAACCCCATGCCATCATTTGCCCTTGTTCGCATCATTATTCATGTAGCTGAAGTCGATATGCTTTCTGTCGTGGTGGTATCGTTCCGCTGCCTTTGGATTTGAACAAAGAAACTCTTCAGCTAGGCATCGAAGTTCTAATTCTGGGTTGGCAGTATCATTGTTTTTCATTCCGAGGAGCCGGGCCGTGTCCACAAAGATAGTCGCGTTGGACAAAAACATCGAACTGGATACAGAAAAAGGATCTTTGACAGTATAACCCGAGCGAAAAGGAAGGTGAAACAGAAGCATGACTGATAAGGACACGAGTATCGGTTGTTCGTCTTTCAAGCAAGCCGGCAGTCAAGCCTCCAGTTTCCCCCGCGCCGCAAGCCCCTCTCGTCTTTGCCTTCTTCGATCTGTCTCATCCCGTCGACAAAGGAAGAATGTCTGGTCTCGAAGCTCCACGCCCAAGCTAGAAGCTTGATGTCTTTATCCCGTGGACAGCATGTTATCCCGCCGAACAGCATCAGGCTTAGAACTCTCATACCCTGAAAAACCATCAACATCCACGGCCTTCACAGAACTCGTCCTCAACCCTGCACGGAAGACAGTGATAGCACGACAAACAGATCAACCACAACAATGACACCACCCGTGTTCGATGCCGCACAACTACCGAGCATTTTGGGTATAAAAACGGCACCATCACCCCAATCTGATGTTCTCTCTTCTCCCTCAACACCAGCCTCGACAGAAAGCTATTCGAGACCGTAACAAGAACATCATCACAGAGAGAGCTTTCCCCCAGCCAGCCTTTCACTACCTTACCCAACACCCAAAATGCCCGAGAAGAAGCTCACACCCAGCTTCATGGTGAGGCGGATGACTGCCCCCGATCCGAACAAGAAGAAGGACGAGGGCAATAATAAGCAACAGGACAAGAAGGAGGACCAGAAGAAGGACGAGAAAAAGTAACTTCTTTTCTCTTTATTCTACACAGCGGTATTGAAGGAACGACGACATCCACTGTGCTCCATCGACAAGACAGAAAGGAACAAGACCAACTCCAAAATCAAGCGGAAGGAGAAAAGAAACAAGAAAAAAAAAAGAAATGCGCGGTCCGGGATTCGAACCCGGGTTCTTACATTACTTTATTTGTACTGCGGGTCGCCACTCCGCTTCTGCCTCACACATTGTGTGTGGTGCGTCCTCGGGTCCTGCCTCACCCTCAGCACAAGTTTTGAAGTGTACGCGTTATACCACTACGCCAACCGCGCTTTTTTGGTTTGTTGAAAGTTGCACACAAAGACCTAATACATATACCATGAAGCAAGGGGCACGGGTACTTGGTAGGTAGGTACGATACGTACCTAGCTACTGGTCGGTTCTCTTGTGCCTTCCGTCTTCCGGTTCTTCTGTATGCGGTGGTCTTGCTGCCTGGGTTTTCTGTCCCTCAGGCCCAAGCTTGCCTTCCGCATGGCAAACGAGCCGTCCCGCCAGAACGGACTATGAAGCCGGAATGCCCCTCCATAGCGCTATATCGTCGTTTTCTTCTGATGTTCTTTGGTTCGTTCGACTCCATCACCACCACCGCCGTCACCCACAACGAGGATACATGCAGGATCAACGATACCGAAAAGCGGCTGCAGCATAACAGCGAAGTTGATACATCAACTGCTCTTGTACAGTTGCGAAACTGTAGTTTCTTCTTTTCTTTAGGTACATTTATTTGGAATCTCTCTGCCCTTTTCTATTCCCCGCCAGACGCCCGACGCTGCCTCCCAAGCCCTACCGTATCCGCTTGCCTTTAGTTATGTTTCGAGTAATAAGAAATATGAAGCATGTTCTGCTCCCTTCACCGTTTTCTCGTTGGTATCCCCTTGTTCGTCGTGACCAATTTTGCGTTCTTGATATCGTGGAAACTTCCCGTCATTTTGGAAGCTTATCGTATACTCGAGGCGGACTTGAGAGCATTTCCCTTCCCTTGATGTGAAATCCATCGTCTTTCTAGACCTCGATTGTCCTACGTTGCTAGTAAGTAAGGTATGCTCCAGCTCAACAGAGGCGGTTGGGCAGTGGGAAAATGGCGATTTTCCTAAGACACCGGCCGATGCTGCTGATGTTACTGAAAACACGCTCAATAAGCGCAAGGACACAGTCGAATCTGCTTCGTTGTTTATATCATTTCTGGGCTTTGGTCCAGCGGTGACTTTGGTGTTTACGGCCAGCCGGGTCAAACAGGCAGTCCAGTCCCGGCACTATTAGAACAACAGCCGAGGAATTACGGCTGGTCGAGCGCTGGAGATTTGTCGGAAAGTCAGAGAGTGTTCCTTATTTGAAGAGGAGACAGTAGGGGAAAAGGAGAGTTCGCGGATTCCGTCTTCCATAAGCCGTGATGGTGGGAGAGATTCGAGTCGGCGTGGGAAATGCGCCAAGACCCGAGATGCAAGGCACGTTGAGAAACCCAAAAAGGAATTCACCGCGGATGTTATTGCGCTAACACCGTTAGCATCAATTATGTAGTAGCTAGGATAACGCGGCATCTAATCCAGTGCATGCATCCACTCTGACCATTGCACCTCCCTTCGGGTCGTGCCTACCTGGAGAATTTCCTCCACCACCAGACATCGAAAGAAAGAACGACATTGCAACAGAGTTTTTCGAAGTTCCGCACAACCAACAACGACGACACAACACCCGACTTTCCACGCTCGGATATGATATCTCTCCCAACTGACGAGTCTTCGCTTCCGCATCGACAACAGCGCCACCGCAAACCTGCCCCAGACACTCCACCGTTTCCCGATATTACCAAGACCAGCAGCCTACCGCAAGGCGTACCGATTAATATTGCCATTCGAGGTCTACGACGACGAGGATATACAGGGGCATCTCACAGTTTGCCAAATCAAGAGGACACGGAGCGTGGAGGACCAATCCGGATGGCGATACCTAAAAGAAAGGCGACGAGGAGCTCGGCTGCGGTACGGTATCGGCTACCTAGTGCAATGGCGAGGAGGACTCGACAAATTATACCCCGCCTGTTGGCTACTCAATCCAACGCAGTCATCTACTTTGTTAGGAATATGGCTCTCCGTGTGCTGCCGCACCGATATGGGCGAGCTGGACTATGAGATCTTCGACGGTCGAATGCTCGATCTACATCTGGCTACGAACACCCTATATGCGCGCAGACTCAACGTTAGGTTACCAGCAAAGCTTTCTGGCCATGCTTTGTTGTTCATCAGCCACCCGTCGCAACACCCAGAACTCACAGATCAAGCCTAGTATCTCCGGTCTACATGTTTGAGATCGGGCATGGGTCCGACAATCGCAAATGTGGGCGGCGGGGTTCGTCTGACGGCAAGCCCAGAAATATCTTTACGGACATATCATGGTTGCGGGCAGGCCGTCCGGCAGCTCTTCGAAGATAATAGCCAAATCTCCTCACCGTGCCTGTCTCCCTCTAGCTTGTCTCAGCCGTCTCCCATATTGTGTGACTGCAAGATGGAGGAACGATCTAGTAGTGTCAACAGAAAGGTCACCAAAGCCGTGCCTTGGAGCGCTGCAGCTGGTGGATTCTGACCCTCTTACCGACTTGGAAAAGACCGACGACTGGAATTTGAAAAATCTTGTGGTCATAAGGTTTGGGACGAAGGAGTGGGACTACGTGTTTGAGCTTCAGGCAACAGTATTGCCAGTTCTTGAATAGGACTGGAAGGCAATTTGGGCTTTTGCGTTCCCGAGCAGGTGGGAAAAGGAGAGCAACAGCGTCACCCGACTACAGCATTTTCTGAGCACACAGTGCTATGTCCAATCAGGGGAGTTCTTTTCTTCGAGGTCAGGACGGGAACCGGCAGTCACTACAATCTGAACTCAACGTCAACAATTTCTCAGGATTGGTGTCCGACAGAAAGCACACACTCGAATCTGCCGTTCAAGCACCTTCCTTTCCCGAGCTTGAGCGGTGCGTTCTTCTAATCACTTTACCGTCGCAACAATCAACGCGTACCTGTATACTCGCATCTGAGGTCTCAAATACCACCTCCATCCTACTACCTTTCCTTCCTTCGTCTATTACCCCGCGGTGCTATGAGGCTTCTCGTCGCGTGATTGTAAATATTTGCGCGTACTCGTAAGTACCTTATCCCCTTGCCTGGCCCCTTCAGATCTTACATTAACCAGCGTGCTAACTGATGGTAGCTTCAAGAACAAGATCGCCGGCGGTCACCTCCGCGCACCTTGAACATTCCAGCCTCTTCTTGAGTAGAGCGGTTCTTGGGAGTCGAGGTGATCAGCGCAGCTTGAATACCATCAACTGCGAACCTTCTTTGAACCACATCATCGCAAAAACGACAACAAGCCTCTTACCAGTCCTCCAGAGCTCGCGGCACTCGTCTCCGTGCGCCATTTCACCTCCAAGCGCAATCCCAGATAGAGCACTGTTTATTCCAGGATCAAGAGTCTCGCAACCAGGAGCAGATATACCGTTGTTTGTCGCGACCTCAGCAATAACGCCAAGTTACCATCGCCCGTATCTAACCTCCCATCACCATCATATGACACCTACCTACCTCTAACAACCACCATGGGCCGTTCAAAGTCTGCTCTTCGCGCCTCTCGCGAGAAGAAGGCTGCGTCCAAGGCTGCGGGAGTCAACCCCAACAAGCGCCTTGCGATGGCCTTGAAGGCGAAGGGAGCCCCTCGTGCTATCTGGAACCCGTCGAGAATGTCCGCCACACCTTCTCCCTCGAAGCCTGAACCGGCTTCTCGCAAGGTCAAGGCTGAGCCGAAGTCCCCTGAGCCGTATTACGGACCGACCCTTCGCTCCTCGACCGCTTCCGCCGCCGGTAAAGTTAAGAAGGAGCCGTCTTCTGGGAGAACTCTTCGCTCGTCCACCACTTCCTCTGCCGGCAAAACTAAGAAGGCAGCCATTCAGAAAATTAAGGACGAGCTGTCGTCTGAGTCGTCTTCCGGCCCGACCCTTCGCTCGTCCACCACTTCCACTGCCGGTAAAGTTAAGAAGGAGCCGTATTCCGGGCCGACTCTCCGGTCCTCCAACGCTTCCTCTATCCGCAAAATTAAGGAGGAGCTGTCTTCTGGGTCGTCTTCCAATCCGGCCTCTGACTCCATCACGGTTGCAAATGGCGCAGAGCGTCAGGATGAGCCTGAGGACGAGCCTGAGGACGAGCATGAGATTGAGCCTGAGGCTGAGCCTGAGGACGAGCCCGAACAAGAGCCTGAGCCCGAGCCTGCAAGGGCCCAAAGGATCATGGCTAGAGCCCACTACGCCGACCATCGCACATGTGTCAGATGTAGCGTTTGGGGCTGGGAGTACCCGCCCCTGCATGTCATCGAGGAGGAAGAGGAAATCTGAGATGTTGAGGCGAGTCTGGCAAGGTCATCTCCAAGAAGGTCGAGGTCAAAGTTGGCAAATCGTAAGGGGCCAAGTGCATGGCGGCAGTCCCAGTTGCGGTTTATATATGTTTAATTCCAAATGCAAGTTCGAACCAACAGCTTTCCATCTCGGAGAGTAACAGCTCTTTTCCACTGTCTTCTTGCTGTTCTTTGCTTCATGCTCGTCACCCTGATTTCTCCGGCACGTTCTTGCTTCTGCGGAAGCGTGCCCCTTACCACAAGTCTACGTATCTGAGGCATCTGTTTACTCTCAATGACTACATCCTGAACGTTCGAAACCTTCCAGGTTGGATATTCATATGCTCCACCCAGTCCAAATCCTTCACTTATAGTAGGATATCCGGTGAATACCTGGATTATTCAGGTCTCTGAACCTCCAACCTTGACGTTTGGCTCGCGACCATGGAGCCAGGTCACCGGGCGACCGTAAAATGGTTTCTCCCATAAGTTGAGCGGTCGACATGTCCTCGCTCCCAAAGTATTTTCCCTTTTCAACTCAGGTCATCACAAACCGATAACCATCCACCTCAATCTTGACTCCGGTCATTAGCACCTCATCTTCCAGATCTTCGGTCATCGACCGACACATACCTGAACACCTTTCAAGGTAAGCCTATCACCCACAACCTAGACAATTCACATCATATCGCTGACCATCTACTCTAAGGAAGTTCGCTTTCCTTCAGTCACGATGCCAAGAACCCTCGCTACAGCACGCGGGCGCTGTCCCCAGAAGGCCGCCTTGAAGGAACAAGGCATTAACCCCAACAAGCTCCTCTCAAGCTCGCGAGTTACGCCGCGGCGTATGACCGCCGAGTCCAAACCTCCCCGTCCTCGGTGCCGTCAGACCACCGAGAAGATCTTCCAATTTGCGCTCGGAGAAGTCCATGCTTCGGACAAGAGCTTTCAGACCGAAAGCGTTCCCCAACCCCCGAAAGAAGAGAAGGCGGAAGCGCACCGCGAAGTGAAGCAGGAGGTTGTCGACAGGAAGAGGACCGCGGAAAAAGAGATCCCCACGAGGAGGACCATGAAGAGGAAGATCGCGAAGAGGCCAATCGCAAAGAAGTCGATTGCGAAGGAGTCGACCGTGAAGAAGAAGGTCGTCAAGAGGGAAGGGAAATCCTAAGCCTCTCCGGCTAGGTAAAGGAGGTATGTAGAGGTAGACAAAGGACCCATGCCACGTGAACTTGGTTACTGAGCGGGCTCTGACCTTGAGGGTGTTTGATTTCATAGGAAATATTGCCATATCGCCGCTTGACGTCCGATAACACACAAGTCTCGCGTCACCAACTTTTCACGAGATTTGATAACCATAGAACTTGACCATTTCTTTGTTGGAAGGCGGAGGTGGAGTGCTTGGAAACTTTCAAGTTGTACATGGCTGAGGGTGAGCAATGTTTGGAGATAATGTGGCAATATCGATATTGTCCGAGGAAGCAGTAAACAAAGCAATCTATCAGACAATGATTTGAGTCGCCCATCTTTGTGTCGTCCCTTTTTGGGTCGTGCCCCTTTGCGTCGTCCCCCTTTGAACAGTCTACCTTTGAGTCGTCTACCTTTGTTTCGTCCGGCTTTGTGTCGTCTGCCTTTGAGTCGTCTACCATCAAGTCGCCTTCGAGTCGCACCCTCGAGTCTTTCCTCCTCTAACAACATATCTCTCTGATTACCAGTTTCCAACACATATATAAACTCCATTGAAGGTGAGCATAGAAGATGCCATCCACATTTTTCCAGTTTAACAACATTGCTAATTGTCTCCCCTTCAGCAATCCGTTTGCCTACAACCACAATGCCTAAGAGGACGCTCGCTTCCGCCCGTGGGGCGCACTCAGACAAGGCCCAGGGGATCAACCCCAACAAGCGTCTCGTAGGGATGAATATTCGTACCGTTCCGCAAAGGATGACCGCGCAGGCCGAACCTTCAGGCCCCGGGGAGGAACCCGAGGAGGAACCCGCTGAGGAGGAACCCGAAGAGGAATCCGAAGAGGAACCAGCAGCCAAGAAGCGCAAGACAACAAAAGCGGCGGGCGGGAAGAGGAAGAGGGCATCTAATGACGAGGATGAGAACGAGGACGAGGACGAAGAGGAAGCCGAGGAGGAGAGCGAGGCCGAAAGACCTAAGAAGAAAGCGAAACCCGCCGCCAACAAAAAGGCTGGCAAGGGCAAGGGCAAGTCTCCGAAGAAGAAGAAGAAAGCGTCAAACAAGGCCAAGGAGCCCGAAGAACCCGAAGAACCCTATAATCCAAACCAGTTGTGGGCGGTCCGGGACATTATTTCGCAGCGGACTACTTCAGAAGGCGTACTCCAATACTATGTCGACTGGGAACCCACGAATGGTAGGAAATGGGATCCAACTTGGGTAAGTCCTGACACCCTGTTCTGTTTTGTTTTGTTTTCATATGCAGTTTACTAATCACTATTGCGTGGTGTACAGGAGCCGGCCGAAAATGTTGTGGACACATCACCAGAGATAATCGCTGAATGGGAAGAGAGAAGGGCCCAGAGGGCGATAAGTGAAGAGGAAGTCATGGCCGAGGCCGTAGACCCTGATGATATTGAGGTGGAGGATGTGCCCGAGGAGGAGATGCCCGACGAGGAGGTGCGCAGAGAAATTGTCTATGGCAGGAGGAGGGCAGGCCCAAAGCCGATGACGAAGTCGAAGTATCCGGGGAAGAAGCTTGTCGCTATGACTGCTCCTAAGTAGATAAGGTATGTGTACATCTATGATCGACCCATTCCACCTATCTATATCTTAGTGTGCTAGTACTGACCGAAAGTTTAGCCTATCCAGGGAGCACAAGAATGGCGCCGCTGAAAATGTTCGGCCAAACTTCAAGTGGTTGTGTTGCGACCCAGCCTTTGTCTGATTCGAAGTCACCCGACCGGCAATTTCTTTGTTCGATGGTGAAGGCGGAATGTCTGAAAGGCGTTTTACGGAAGTGGAATGAGAAAGGAGCATAGAGGTATGACTCGGAGATAAACAGCAACATTGGAATTGTGAGCACATGTCCCAGCCAAGCAATGTAGTACTAGAGAAAGGGAGAATGATTTCTGTGTATCATAACGAAGGGTGGATGTAGGATGATAGACCCTACTGTTTTTTACAGCATATAGTATCTCATACCAACCATTCACAAAACCATGTTCAATCACGCCTCTATGTTAATTTCACTCTGTAAGTATTTAGGTCAAACCTAGGTGGCACATAGCTTGTGTTGTTGGAGGAGAAATCATGAGTGTCTCAGGAGTCATCGGTCGCGTAGTTTGAGCCTGATGCATGAGTTTGCGGCATCAGAATCATACAACGAACAAACATCGGCATCCCTTAACCTACGATTCAAATTGTGCATATGAATGATGACCCTGCGTTACCCGTTGTGTCTTTATGTCCTGCTCCCCCAGATATCCAGGTCTTCGAGTCGTTCCGTGAAAGTCGACCGGTCACGGCAGCATGATTTCTTTGTCGTAAAGAATTGTCTAGCGTTACATCTACTACTTCCCCCACGAACAAATCAGATCAACTTCCTTTTGGCCGCTTACAAAAGATACAAGATGGGCAGGTCCATCGCCGGCATGCGCGCTTCCCGAGAGAATGAGGCCGAGAGGAAGGCGGCGTCGAGATCACAGGGCAAGAACCCAAATAAACTTCTTACGGCAGCGGCTCAAGCAGCTGGCAATCCTCTTACTAGCCCCCAGAGAATGGGTAGGTATTAAGGCTGGAGCATCGAAAGTCAGCTCTGGTGAGGTCAAGGAGAAGATGGAGGAGAAACAGAGCGGAGATGTCGCCGCCGAGAAGGGCAAGGCCGTTGATGACGAAGAGGGAACCACCCAAGCGCAAAATAAGAGAAGAACTAGAAGCTCCAGGATTGTTTCCGAGGATACAGAAAATGAAGAAGACGATGAGGATACAATCCAAGCCAAGAGGAGGAGGAGAGACAGCGGAGGCCGCGAGATGGTCGCCGAAAAATCCCAGGAAGACGAAGGCGCAGATGTCGATGACGAGATTTATGATTAGTGCCATAGTGGTCGGGGGTGCCAGATAATTAGCCTAGAGGTAGGTACCTTACGTTATACTCTGTACGGGCGCTTCAAAATGTGGCCGTGGCCAGTAACGCCGAGATCCAGAGACCGCATGCAGTTAGGACACTCATAAATATTTTCCCAGTCAGTTTTGTTCAGCGCAAGACAACCACAGGCTCAATCACGTCTATTACACATCCTCTGTCCTAGACATTTAACTGCCAGTGAAGAGCAGATATTCGCCCCAATAAAACATCCCCATAATGGACATCGGCAAACCGTATTCGACACAAAGAGTGAAGTGATCAAAACACCTCCTCTACAGGAAGCAGCAACCGCTGCTCGCGAACCTGTATACGGAGGATTAACCTACTTATTCACATTCACTGGCCCTGTTCTTGGTGCCCCAGACGTACCGAGATTGGGCGTGACTTTGCGACCTTAAACCTTCACCTTTTGAACATTTAATACCTTCACTGTCCACCCTAGATCGCTTCCGAACTTGGAGGCTCCCTCACTAGTATTTAGAGCGCATCCCATCATTCCAGAGTTATTTTCATTCTGCTACAAACAACATCTTCCACCCCAGTCACAAGCAAACCGGACAACCACTTCCCAGGAAACATTCCATCTCTCCAGCGTTGCCCGACCAAACAATCCAAGACTTTCAATGTATGCCACCCATCTACCACCTCATACTAGCTTGAGCTAACGTATATAATCTCTAGCAAGCCCTTCCAGCAAAATGGCTACCACTAAGAAGACGATCAAAGGTCTGCGCGCTTCCATTCGCAACCGCAAGACCGAGAAGACCGCGGCCAAATCGACAAGACGCTTGGTCGCAATGACTGCCCCGCCGCCCTCGTCGTCGTCGTCTTCGTCGTCTTCTAGGGCCGAGACCACCAACAACAGCGCTGCAGTTGATTTTGCCTCCGACTATGGCAGCGCTACCAACGACGGCAACGTCACCAACCCGAACGACACCACCGATGTTGAACAGAACGCTGAGAAAGCTTCATCGAAAGACATCGACAAATGGAAGTCCAACTCTGGCAGTGCCAAGCGTTGGCGCCTCGCCCAGCGACGTCTGGCGGAGCAGGCTGCGAAGCAAGAGGCCGAGCGTCAGACACCAGAGGAGGCCGCTCGCGCGGCATCTGTCAGACTCGCTCGACAGAATAGATCCGCCGAGAACCATCTACGGGTAAGTAATGGAAGTCACCGTTACCTTATCCTAGAGTACTTTATCTCAATGGAGACGACGAACGTTGGCTGGCAATCCGCAGGAAATGGTTGAATTTTGGAAGACACAGCCAGGAGTCGAGGTCAAGATCGTGAACCTTAAGACATCTGAGTCAGCGGTGAAGCGCGAAAAGGAGTAACGTGTCGTACACGACATCAACCTAGAGAATGAAACATGAAGCAAACTGGTAGAACGCGCTTACAGCTGGAAGTGTGAAAGAATTCATAGACTTTATGTTCCTTGCAAAACATGATGAAATAACAAAGTATCCTAGAGCATATTGTATTTGTACCATATCTCACGAGGCGTGATCTACCCGTACCCTCGAAGGATTACTATAGTCTCTTATAGATAGAAGGATCAGGATAGAAATTCAAACCTACCTGATCATAATATCACCTCAACAACTACATACAGGTAGTAAACGGGTGGAAACTGGGGATGGAACGTCAACCCTACCTGAATATAGCTCTGATACTACATGGACACTGTGCTCCTCTGCCTCTTAGCTTCTTCTAGAACGAACCTCAATATCTTCCAGATTCGATAACAGGCAACCTGGGAGGCTCGGACCATTCACCTGGGATGCAAAGATTCACGTATTGGATTTTCGCCAGTGAACCTTGAATCCCTTCACTGGTCACCGTTCGGTAAATTACGACCTTGGCGCTTCCCAATTTCGTATTTAAAGGCTCAATCCACCACTCGAAACTTCTTCCTTTGCTTCCAAAACATCCTCCTGCACCTTCCAGTCCACAGAAAGTCGTCCACTCCGAAACACCCTACTACACTTTTCAACTTCACCAATGTATGTAGCGCATCGACTACTACCTTACCTGTATATAACAATTACCACTTATTTACCCTGCCTCTAGCAACGTCATTCCGAAAATGGACAAGAAAAGCGCCAAAGACGTCCCCGCATCCACCGCCGCTCGCCCCGTCGAGAAGGCGGCACCCGCCAACAATAAGCCCAAAGTACCTCTAGACAGCTCGCGCCGTGCGCTTGAGATTCATCTTGTCAGTGAGCAACTGCTCTTGATGATGCGGGAGGTGCAAGATGCGCAAGAGAAAACGGTTTCCTAGGTATCAGAGGAGTCCGCCCTCCTCCATTTAGAAGGTATGTAAGATACCTCCCTTCTTCTACGAAAATATCTGTACATTGTCAACCGCTAACTCGAAGCAGCCGGGGCCTGTTTTGAAACACTGCGACAAAAGGTACCTTACCTACCTCTACTTCACTCAACCTACGGAGCACGACATAACTCGGCAATGGTTGGGAAGCAGTGACGTTGGGGGTAATTTGGATCAAAGTCTGGCCTGAAGAACTTGAGGGGACATCGGAGAAGATGGTAGAAATTCGCAATAGCGGTTGTGCTTTTGGAGGTTTGCTTATGAGATAGGCCTGGTTCGTTCTTCAGTTTTTCGAAAGCATTAGCACCTCTACCTAGATAGTTTTCGTCTAAAGCGAAGGGCTGGAAGTCAAGGGCGGTTTTACTTGCCTTAATTGTTCGTCTGATATCGCGCCAACAATGAGTGATTCTAGGTACCTACATACCTAGTAGGCTCCTTCCGTAGAGGTAACTCGCTCTTTCCAACTGGAAGTACGAAGAGTACCGCCAGCGTATGAACACCGACTTCCGACAAAAAAAAAAGCGTCACTGGTTTCCCCCTCACTAGAGGTATCGGTCGATTTTTTCCACGGATGTTTGGCGTCACCCTTGATTGCCTTCATTACTCACCCTGGGTAAATTGCGGCCTCAGGACTTTTATATATCCATCCCGCGGATGTTTTTACAATTCTCTCCAAACATCATCTTCCACAGAGCCTTCCACCTCGCAGCACCCTCCAACAACTTTCATATTCAACAACGTACGTGAATCATCCACCACACACGTAAATTTACACAGTAATCACTTACTTACCTACTCTACGTCAGGCAAAACCATCTCGACAAAATGCCGGCCAAGGAGACATCCGACCATGCTTCCGAGACCGCCGAACATGTCGAAAACGTGACTACCCCCACTGCCGGCATGACATATGTCGCCAGCCCGAAAGTCACTTTGACGGCGCTTGCTTTAGAAGTTCTTCGGGTGCAGATCCTAGAGAAGATTTTGAGGGAGGTCAAGGACGAGGAGGCAGCTTCTCAAGCGAAGAAGCAGAGAGCTTCTAGAGCGGCTTCTAGAGCGAAGGAGTGATTCCACAGTCGTCACTTCCATTGGTACCTATTCGTCCACAACCAAGGTAAGACGCCCTTCTTTCACTGTTCAAGCACGTTGTCGACCGCTAACTCGTGGGAGAGGGCATCCGTTCAACCCAGGTACCACCAACACAGCACGGCTCGGCATTGGTTCGGCTCCAGGATGAACTCCAAGTGCGCTTCGCGTGACGGTCATAAAGAGGGCGAGGCATCTCGATTCTGGAGATGTGAATGGAAAGACGTTTGGGGCATAGTACCTAGTAGACCGTACCTGTGCTAGGCCACGGCCTTGATCCGTTCTAGCGCATATGTTGCGGAAGACGTTAGCATGGTTCTGGTGTGAACAGAAGGGTTGAAAACAAGGGACAATCTCACCTGACCACAAATTCACTATTACCTGAACATAAAGTGATCCCTTCTCGTAGAATTTTTTTGTAAAACTTTGTTGGTTCAATCCAGATGGAGCTGCGAATGGTACTATCAGGCCAAAAACACAAGATCTCCTCGAGCCAGCTTTAGCGACGTTGACGAAAAGAAGGAGACAATTAGGAAGAAACGAGGGACGATCGACGACCAGTCTAACTCGGCTAGGTACCTCCTTAGCTGGCGTCTGGCATAACCGGATGTGGAACCGAGATCCGAGGTCAACCTTTTGTTACCTCAACACACTCATCTTGCGTGAGCACTGAGCACTTCTTTCTGTCTCGTTGCTTGGCTTCTCCCAGAACCTTGAAGGAGACACCTTCAGGTTTGCAAGTAGGGGCAGGTTCGGAGCTATTCACCGACGTCCCGACGTCCTAGCTGTCTACAACCTTGGAAACCTACCCGCCGGCAGTAAACCTTGCATACATGTACCTTCACTGCCGCTTACCCCTTCACCGTCCCTCAATTTTATTGCGATCTTGGAGCCTCCCTTTTCCATATTTAAACCCATCCAGTACTCCCAGTTGGTTGATCTTTCTGTCTAAAACATCATCGTCCAACTTCCACTTCCAAGTCCACCGACAGAAAGTCGTCCACTCCCCAACTTACCACACTTAACTTTATCAATGTATGCGGCGCATCGAACACCTTATATAAAGGCCATCACTTACTTACCACTACCGTATTTCTAGTACATACCCTCCTTAAAACCAAAATGGAACCCAACAAGGTCACCGCCCCCGAGGAAACTCGCGCGGCCAGCGCGTCCCCCGCCCAGGAGACTGCTCTGAACAATAGTAAGACGCAATCAAACCGATTATAATGAGTAGTCCAAAGCTAACAAGTAGAAAGTGCGCAACATTTTTGTCTCAGAGGTCGAGAGCAGCTTGTCTCGCCACGCTTTGGAAACCATTGCGAAAAAAATCTTGCTGGTGACCAAGGAGGCCCAGGAGGCCAAGGGAGAGGCAACCGAGGAGAAAGCGACGGAGAAAGCTTGAGGCGTTGCGCAGGGCTGAACAGGAATCTTAAAGTCATCCAGTAGATCGGGCAAGTCAAGGCGCTTAGGGATTAATAAAAGCGAATCCAACTGCATTTGCGCATATAAGGTCGACCTTCAGAGATGCGTGAAACACTAATGATACCATCGAACACTTGACGTGAAACTAAACGAAACGGACAATAGCTCGATTGAATCATCAAGGGGTAATCATTCGAACTATAAGCCACTTGCTTTATAAGGTAAATATTGAACCGCTAAGTGGTTATCCAATACGCCCAAAACAAGACTTCCGCCGCCACCGACGCCGAGTATCCATTCCAACATCATTTGTATTTGTGACATAAATCGTGTAACATGTGGCTCATGGAAGTCAAAATCATTATCATAAAGAAGGGAGCGTATAATTCGGGTATCCAAGAACATTTTAAGAAAGAGCGTATCCAAGTCTACTAGTCATAACCGACAACGCGTCTAGCCACTAGCTGACCGTTTCTTCTCAAGTCAAGGTAGCCAACATGGCCTTCATCAACCTCGGCGGGGGACCTGTAAACAAGAAAGTCAGCACGTCTGTCTCAAGACATCCCACAACCCAAGAAATCACACATGACAAACGCACCGCAAGTGACGCTTTATCGGCGATTCCTCGGCACACTGATAGACAGCCTACCTCTCTTGTCCTTCTCAAGCCTCACGCCCTTTCTGGGCTCCTCGATCCTCTCGACTTTTTCCTCAAGCAGGACCACCTCGCCGGTGGATAGGCGCTCAGCCATGACGATATCGCCCCTACTGCCGTGTCGTTCCTTGCGGGCCAGTTGTCTCTCGAGGCGGCTAATCTCGGACTGGATACTCTCTGACTCGTACGAACGGCGGCGGCTACGGCTGCGACGGCTTCGACTGCGATGGCGACGGCTTTGACTGCGATGGCGACTGCGGCTTCGGCTCATGCTGTGACTCTTATCAAGAACCATCAACTCTTTGGAAGTTTCTCTCAACTCTTTGAAAGTTTCTTCGGGGTGAGCGACGTGAACCACTTGGGGGGCGTGTACATGTCCTCGTGGTGTGACAGTTGCGGTTGAGCAAGTGGAGCATGAGGTACCCGTCGTGTAGGTTGAGTCGGTCCAAGAGGAGGCACTGTCCCATGAGCTGTAGGAGGAAGCCCGGGATGGAGAGACTTCGCGGACCTGGACAGTCTTTGCGAAGTCGACTTGTTGAGTCTGTACGGGCGGAGCCGCGTTCACCATGACTGGCTGGGTATATGTGGCTTGAACAGGTGGGTGGGTGTGCACGGTGGTAGTATGGACATGCGGGTGAGCATGAGTAGTGGTTTGAGTGTAGTGTGTTGTATGATGTGGTGGCCCGGGAATAGTTGTGTCGGTGTATTCGATGATCTCCGTTCGGCGCTCTTCGTGCTCCTCAATGATATCACCGGCACTCGAGCGAGAGGCTTGGATTTCAAGTTCAGCTTAATATGGGTTAGCTTGAAGTCGATATCGACTGGAAACTGGACACTTACCCTTCTTGTACTCGTCACTCATTTTGAGCAGATGATCGATATGCTCTTGACCGAGAGCTTTCTGGATGATGGTAGTAGTGCCCTTAGACGAAAATGTTAGCAAGAAGCTGTACTGTTGAAAAAACAGAGTTGTCAACCTACCTCCTCGACAAATGGATAGCCACTCTCAATGAGGGCCCGCCTCGACAGTAGGCGAGAAGGAATTCTTGTCTTTCCCTTCTTCGGATACTCGCTCTTGGATGTAATGGTGGTACCGCCGCTGCTACTCGAGGAGCTGCTAGTGCTGGATGCCACAGAACTGCTTCGGCGGCTGCTGCGATGGCTGCGACTGGTAGCGCGCGAGTCCCTGCTCCGGTCTCTCCGGCTGCGCCTTGTGTGGATAACCTCCTTCTCGAACTCGCGCTCGCGGACCTTTTCTCCCCCTTGGAACGCGTGGAACTCCTCGTCACCATATCGATGAGGATCCGAAACTTGAATATCTCGGAAGTAGTCGTGTTCGGCGTAAACTCTTGGTGGAGGCAGCGCCCTGTGCCGGGGCAGAGGGATAGGTACATTGGCAGGAATGCGGTAGTCGGACCTCCTGGCTGGCGGGCCATACTCTTCGCGGTCGTAGAAGCCATTTGGCTTTCGGTCATAGGTATCGACGCTGGAAGTACGTCTCATCATCCTAGCAGTAGGGCGTCTTGGGGGAGATGGGCTGCGGAATCTTTCTCTTTCGGGAGATGGCCTTCGGCGGGTGAAGGAGCTTTCGGAAGGAGACGGCCGTCGGCGTATAGTAGAGGGAGGGCGGGGAGTCTCCATATCGTCGTATATAACACGGCGCCGTTCACGAACAAGTAGTTCATCGTCCTCTTCCTCGTCGATATGTGGGTGACTGGCTCGGCGGTCGTGCGTGAAGCGTTCATCGACGGAGTGCTCCCTTGGCGGAGGTACACGACGGCTCTGGCGGAAGTAGTCATCATCGTCGTCTGGGTTGCGAGTTCGGATAGGAAGGGCATCGAATCGGTCGCGATCAGGGCCGCGGCTACGCTCAAGGGTCATGTTATGTTCCCGTTCATCAAAGAAGCGATCTCTGTCCCATCGTGCAGAACGATCGGGACCTGGGGCGGTCCGACCCAGGTTGGGATACGAGGCTCGACCAGCCATGGTAGGGGTCGGGTAAGATATGCTGATGCTTGTAGGTGATCGGATGCTCTTCCTTCGCTGGAGTACAACTGCCTCTACACTAAAGTCGAGCGTGGCGAAGACGACGGATGGGCTAATGCGTTGAGAAGGCGAAAAGATAGAGCAGGTGGGTGGATATTTTGATGGAAATCGGTCAGCGTTGAATGGCAATGTCGGGTGTTCCTGGGGATCAGGGCTGGTTTTGGTAGAATTGGGTGACAACCAGCGGCTAGCGAGGACTCGGAAGAGATGGGACGAAGTTCAAGTTTGGACGAACGATGTCCAAGATGTTGGTCCTATGACGACAGTTGCATCAAGGGTGTCAAGCTAGTGGTGGGGATAGCGTAGGGTCTTAATTGCTTTGGAGCCCTGTGAGTGGTTACTTCCTCACTACCCACCCTCCGCTTTGGCACTCGTGCAGTTTTTGTCCGCAAGGAACGCTCTGCCGCTGTTTCAAAATGTTGAAGAGGGTCAGTTGGGTTGACCACAAGGGTTCCCAGAACACGATGGAATCTTCGTACAACCTGTCAGATTCAAGGGTGGTTTTAGCCATACCATATGGAGGTTAGCGCTCCAGCCACCTGATATTGCCTGATTTCTGGGCATATCTGGGTTACCCCAGCACCCCCCATACCTTCTGGGCGAATCAGTTACACACTCTTCAATCAATCAATTCTGTACCATCACATTTAACAATTAATAATCTAATTTGCGTATTTACATTTAACGCTACGATTATCAATTACAAACAATATCCCTACGAAACTAACAACGTTAGCTATATCCTTATTAAAGGAATCTACCGATAAGACTATTATAGTCATCCTTAATACCCCTACTGACTAGCCTAGCTAATATAAAGCTCTCAAAAGACTTGCTAATAGTAATTAGGACTTTAGTAATAATTTGGGGAATTTTTTCTGGTTTTTTTTAGTGTAGACTAAGGGGGTTATTAGAAGTAGAGTGATTTGGATAGAAAGGAGCAGATCTATCGGACCGTCTCTCCCGAACTCCGAAGGTAGGTAATTATAGTAGAAATCTCTAGGGATAAAAAGGGTAGTACTCCTCTTTAAGAAGAAAGGAAAAAAAGGGGGGGTAACTTAAACGAGATATCACTTCGATTAGTAGAATACATTTAAATTTTATTCCTAAAAAGATTTAACTGTTGAATTTATTTGTAATCTCTTCCCTAAGAAACTAACTTCTAGATCTATTACTTTTTATAAAGTAATTAATTTAGGGGTAAAGTTTTGCTTCCCCCTCCCTCCTTTAATAATTAATAGTTACGGTTTAGAGGTTTTATTTTAATGTTTTCGTGAAATTATTTTTAATTTTCAAATTAATACTTTATTCCAAAGTTTTGGGTAGGTTATACTTTTTTGTAGTAGTATATTTTTACTTTATTTTAAATAGTAATAAGGATGAAATGAGTTTTAAATTCTTAATTAAATTAATTAATATAAATTTGAAAAATTTCCGGCCGGGACTTGTCGTAAATGCGGAGGTTATTCCTATAGCCCTCGGGATATTAATTTAAACGCCGGAAGTTGAATAACGAATAATTAATTAATTCTTTTGCTAAAAATCTTTTTTATTCAATTTAATAGAGACTTTAATTCCGGATATATATGGATCTCCGTTTCTTCGATTAATTTATAATTTACTAATATTAATCGATAAGTACCCTAGCCCCTTCCCCTTTTAAGATTAAATTAGTAATAATTTAGATTATGAGACGAGATTAAGAAGAAATTAGATTAGAAAGATATTAATAAAAGATTTAGACGATAAATTAATAGAAAAGAAGTACGAAAATTGAAATAAAAACAAGGAGTAGATCTACTCCTTACTTATTGAAACCCTTCAGTAGATAGACATTTACGTTTTTTATACCGAATTCTTCTTCTAATTAATTAGACCCTTATTCGGAATGATTATTATAATATTCCGAATTTTACTTTTAATTATTATAGCGTTAAGAGTATTTTTAACCGAAGTAAATTATATTAGTTAAGAGGTAATTATTGGCAAGTTGGATAAGGGATTTCGGTATTTTAGGTAATAATTAATAATAATACTTTAAACGCTATGGAAGAATAGATTTTTAACCGAGGATTATAAAGACTAAATATTAATAGTATAGAAGTATTTATATAAAGAAAATTATTTTAATAAAAGATATTAGATTAATTCCCCCTTAATTATTTATTTCGATATTAGTATTTATTCTATGTATTTACTATTTATAAGCCTTATTACTATTCCCCCTTCTTATTACCTCCTTATTTTTAATAATACTTTCCTAGGAAATATATTTAATATTGCTATTAATATTAAAAATTTATTAATTCCTATTGTTAAAATGTCTATTAATACTACTATTGCCCTCTTTATTAATAACGTTATCTTCGCTCGCAATATTATTCCGAAGAAGAAATTCGATAGCAAAAAAGTCTTTAAATATTTAGAATTCTTCGAAGATAAGGTCGGCTTTTATAATTTTATTAATAAAGAAGTTAAAATTAATATTTAGTTCTCACAGTATAAGAAAGTGCCTAAGAATATTAGTAAGGGTTTCTTCCGTTGCCTTAAGGACGAGGGGATTTATATTTAGGAGGAGTTCTTTAAAGCTTTTAAAGTCGTTTATAAAATTAAAGACCCGGAGTAAACCGATAATATTTCTATTATTTTAAAGAAGTTCTATAGTAAACGCGTCTATAATGGGGACAGCATGGTTAATACAGGTACTGGTCGTATAGCTTAATTGAAATTCTATAAAGAAGGAAAGTTCTATCTAAGAGGCGGCTCTACCGGAGATGCGAGGTTTTAATAGGGGCTATATGAATACAGCTACGGCGCCTTATAAAAAATTTAATCGATAATTAAAGCGCTATAGCCTAGGCTTTAGCTCTATAATATTACCCCCCTCCTCCCTCCTCCTACCCCTCTATGCGTTCGCTCCTTTTATTTTAATTAACGAAAGTAATAAGTAATAGGTAGTACCGTACGTATATATATACTTTTAAAATTATATATAAAAACCTCCCCTCTGATTTATTTCCCTTCTCTCTTTCCTTTCCTCCTTTCTTTCTAGCTATCATTCAAACTATTAAAATAAATATTACTATCCCCCAACCAATTCTTCACCTATCCTTCCTAATTAAGGTAAATACTTTATTTAATTTTGTTTAAATTATTTTTATTTTCGTTTAGCTATTTGAGAGCGAGGCCCCGTCCTCACCGTTATTACGCGGCTCCTAATCACCTTCCTAAGAAGCTACCGCCTATTGTAGGCGTATTAAAAACCCTATTATTACTTTTAAAAAGCCTAAATTTATTAAATTTAAATATTTATTAGTAAATCCTCTTTAAAAATATTTTTTTTTAAAAATTGTTATTGATTTTATTTATTCTTTAGGCGGATTGTAAGTTTTTTGAAATTTTATATATTTCGTACTTAAATATCCCGTACGAATATTATATTAAGTTTAGAAATAGGGCGTATATAACCTATTATAATAATAGTAAATAGTACGACCGGGCTTCGTCTTTAATTTAAAAATTCGTTATAATTTAAAAGGTAGCGATTTCTAATAAAATAAAAACGACAACTTTTAAGTACGTCCGTAGAATTGAAATTATTTAACGTTATACTACCGAATTATATAAAGATAACGCTATTTCTTCGTAAATCTTTTCTATTTTATTTATTTTAATAAAATAAATTGTAATTAAACAAAATTTTTAAATAGGAATGTAATTATTTTTTTTCGGCCTTCGGTAACGCCGCCGCTATTTTTCTAATTTTTACTATTTTTTTTACTCCGGCCGTTCCCCTAACCCCCGCCCTCCCTTTTAAGGAATTTATTATAATAGAAGTAGTGGCCCGCTTCGAATTATTCGAGAAACGGTAAGAGGTTATAAAAATTAAGAATAACCGGAAGCGTAAAATACCGAAAAAGAATTAGAAAAATTTAAAATTAATATTTACTACCCTCTTTTTTTCTTTTTTTATTACTATTTCTATTATTCCGTATACTTTATATTAAAACATTCGATTAATTTATTATTAATATCGGCTAAACTATATTTCGCTTCGAAACGGTCTAAGGCCGCTATATTAGCGAATTTTTCTAACGGGTCCTAAAATTATTATATTAAGCTAATTTAATTAATTAAGATTACTTGACGACTTTTTTTAGTTGTATAATAAAGGATTTTATTTATGAAGTATTTTTCCTCCCTATTTATTATAATAATAAGCGCTTGAAAATTAGTAATAATTTAGCCCGGTAGAGGGTTATTATAAGCCTTCCTAAGTAAATCTATATAAAATTTATTAAAAATCTTTAAAGAAAGGTCGGAGAATTCTATTAGGAAAGAGCTAAGAATTTTAAATATTATATACTTTATATAGACTTAATCATATTTTTTCTTAGAGTATACTATAGTAAAATTTTTGAAGTTTAATTAAACCTTATCTTGTATTTTAAAAATTTCAATTATTTATTTCTTATAGTTAGCGAAACATTTTTATTTTTATATAGAGATTACTATAATCGTTTAATATAAATTTTTAATTAATTATAATATTGCGACGAAATCCTTAGTTTTTATTTATAGGTTTTTAAGATTTGCTTCTATTAGGGGAATTATTAAAGCTATTAGGAATTGCGGATAATAGCCGTAGGTAGTAAAAAATAGAAATATATTAATAGAAGTATTAATTCGGCTATTAATTATTAATTATATTATTAGGTATTAACGATCCTAATTATTTTGGGCGTAATTAACGAAAATTTTTAAAAAGGTTTATACTTCCTAATTTATTCTTTCGGGGCTACCGTCGGTTTAGGGGTAAAAAGCGGTACTTAAAAGTTAATCGATACCTAGTAAATTATAAAAATACTTTTAAAATCGGTTAGTTTAATTAATACTCTTATTATTAACGATAGATTATAGCTATTTATTATTATGGGGCT